TGTGTGTAATAGCCTGGAAGAGGAGAAGGAAGAGGAGTTTCAATGGCTTATTGAAAAATTAAGAGCTCTAGATCTTTCAAGCAGAGCTCTTTTCCATAATCCGAATCCATATGATATCTCAAATTCTGTTACAAAGTAAGAGAATGATGGTCAAACTAGACAATATGCTAAATACATAGATGCTGCATAAAATGGCAACCACATGTTTGGCTCCCCATTGTATTACTCCATGATGTCTAACAGACCTTATTGCACTAAACTAGTTTATTCATTGATGAGCCATCACAGCACAACCCACCTAGGGTGCAACACTAGTTGACTGTGCACGTAGATAGAAGTGATGAATATTCATCTTAAGGGTTTGCACTGGTGTAGACAGGTCATTTGCGCAACATCATTGGGTTTTTTGCTTCCCTGAATGGATTAGGACAGGATTACCTGAAAGGCTGCCTATGCAAAATATCAATCTCTCTTACTGCCTTAAGATCAGCTTCAGAAGCTCTGCTTAGATGCGCACCAACAAAGACAATTAGGGTTGATGGGCAGAAGGAACAGTGTCTTCTTGGTGAAGAACCCACAGTCATTGAACTCGATTCTGCATGTTATGCAGGCTCAATCACTTGCTGTCTTTAAAGGAGACTTAAAGACCTACTCTTTCTACTGTTGCTTTTATCAGATACAGTGGTACCTCGGGTTACATACGCTTCAGGTTACATATGCTCCAGGTTACAGACTCTGCTAACCCAGAAATAGTGCTTCAGGTTAAGAATTTTGCTTCAGGATGAGAACAGAAATTGTGCTCCGGTGGCGCGGCGGCAGCAGGAGGCCCCATTAGCTAAAGTGGTGCTTCAGGTTAAGAACAGTTTCAGGTTAAGAACGGACCTCCAGAACAAATTAAGTACTTAACCCGAGGTACCACTGTAGTCTATTGGTGTATCCAGTTTTTGCTATGGCCATGTCTTGCTGTTAGCTGGTGCTACTTTTAGTAGTATTTTGTGCTTTTAGTTATAATGAAATGCTTGCTTTTATCTAGTTTTAAATTTGTATATTATATTATATTATATTATATTATATTATATTATATTGGTTTGGTGTATATTGTTGTGAAACATTTTCTTTGAAAAATATTATATAAATCTAAAAAATAAAAAAAATACTCTTGCATTCTTCATGTGGTTCCACAACTGGATTTTCTGGCAATATTGTTTTAAACATATGTACTTTTATACTTTATTTAGTCTGCCAAGATTGATTAGGGCTGAAGAGTTTGAAATGAATATGTGCCTCCATTATAATTGCATTGAACAACAAGATTTGCATTCCAAAATGACAAAGTCATTTATGTTTATGAAAAACGAGACATGGATTATGATTCTAAGATCACAGATACGAGTGGTATTTGTTTACAACTATTTTAAACTAATATGGAGAATCCACAGCTCCCATTCATTCCAGTAGATTGTGAGCAGGATAGGAATACCATCCCAACGTATTAGCAACAATGAACCAGCAACCAATTAGGCTGGTTGGTGACATGATTATTTTCCACGCCGCCCTTTTGTACAAGTGACTGGTGACTGGGAGTGGCCGCCGAGACCACATAACACCGGTCTTGAAAGACCTACATTGGCTCCCAGTATGTTTCCGAGCACAATTCAAAGTGTTGGTGTTGATCTTTAAAGCCCTAAATGGCCTCGGCCCAGTATACCTGAAGGAGCGTCTCCACCCCCATTGTTCTGCCCGGAGGTCCAGCGCCGAGGGCCTTCTGGCAGTTCCCTCATTGCGAGAAGCAAAGCTACAGGGAACCAGGCAGAGGGCCTTCTCGGTAGTGGCGCCCACCCTGTGGAACGCCCTCCCATCAGATGTCAAAGCGATAAACAACTACCTGACATTCAGAAGACATCTTAAGGCAGCCCTGTTCAGGGAAGTTTTTAATGTGTGACATTTTAGTGGAAGTCTCTGTGGTCTCTGTGGAAGCCACCCAGAGTGGCTAGGGAAACCCAGTCAGATGGGCGGAGTACAAATAATAAATTATTATTATTATTATTATGTGTGGAAAGTAGCTACAGCGATACAGCCATGCGTGAATGGGCATGTAGATCATTATTTGGAATCTAAATTATGGGCAAAATCTGCCAGGCACCCCCAGATGCTGGGTGTGGAGAATCTTCACCCTCTACAGCAGGCCCTTGTACATGCAACAGGAGTAAGTCTCCTATGGAAAATTGCCTCAATGGTTGTATGGATGTACCCTTTACTGGATCAGGGCAATGGTCAAGAAGTAGTTCTCCCTTCTAAACATCTAATATTATCACATCAGCATCTTTCAGAAGTGATCTAATGGATTTTAAAAATGTGGACTACTTCATCACCCTTGAAGATTGCATTGCCTGGAGACAAACCATCAGGTTGTGCATCAATAATAATAATAATAATAATAATAATAATAATAATAATTTATTATTTGTACCCCGCCCATCTGGCTGGGTTTCCCCAGCCACTCTGGGAGGCTTCCACAGAGACCCACATTAAAAACTTCCCTGAACAGGGCTGCCTTAAGATGTCTTCTGAATGTCGGGTAGTTGTTTATTGCTTTGACATCTGATGGGAGGGCGTTCCACAGGGCGGGCGCCACTACCGAGAAGGCCCTCTGTCTGGTTCCCTGTAGCTTTGCTTCTCGCAATAAGGGAACCACCAGAAGGCCCTTGGCGCTGCACCTCAGCGTCCGGGCAGAACAATGGGGGTGGAGACGCTCCTTCAGGTATACTGGGCCATAGCAGTTACCAGAGAAGGAATGACCGCTGGGAGGTGTGCAGAGAGAAGAAACACCATGGCGCATCTGCAGCAGCACCACCAGATGCCTTCCTCTGCCCCAGCTGCAACAAAACATGTCTCTCCCATATCAATCTCTACAGCCACAGCTGTTGTTGCAACCTTCTAATAGCTTGACCTCAAAAGGCACACTCCTCCATTGTCTCCTAAAACAGATGCATGCCAGGCAACCAACCTCATCCCTTGAAAAACAAATAAGCAGACCACAAAATAATCTGATAAGAACAAATCCCCAGTTTACTAAGAACCTTTGGTACAAAATATGCTTTACTATTTTCCCCCCTTGACATACATTGGCATCTAATGCAGAGTGCTTTCTACCTTTCACTGCACATATTCTGGCTGTGTCTGACTGCACGTTGAACAAATCCTTTGTCTAATCACTGATTACATTATTTCTGGCTGTATTGATGAAATAAGGCGATTGGGAAGAAAATGATATAGGAGGAACTATTGGGAAGGAAAGGCAGTCATTGTGACAAGAGAACCCTTATGCCTCTTGGGGAAAAAATCCACGCAGAATTTGTTTATATAATCTTTACAAAGCTAAAAGTGGTGCCCAAGGGTGACTGCCAGAGTCCTCTGCCCCTTCTGATTTCTTATTGATGATGATGATGATAATGTTTGATTTGAAGGTTTCTGGGTGAGTGTTGCCTTCATTTTTTCTGGGGTTTTTTTTGCAGGGGTTATAGATGTTTTGGCTGTTTGGGGATGGGGCTCTGATCTTCACCTTTTGTAAAATGGGTACATTTTGGTGCTCATGTCAGTTTCTTAGATTACAGTGGCAAAAGCATTGATGTACCAAGTGCTGTTGTGCTTCAGACATGTTCATCTAATAGGCTCAGAATAGCAGTTGCTCAGCTTCCTTTTGAGGCTAGAGATCTTAGGCGTCACAGGACTACCTGCTCTCTATCTGTACACACACACCACCTTGCATCTCTGAAGAGATGCTGCTTTGGGTGCCACTGAAGTTGAGTGGTGGCACTTGTATCATGTTAACTCTGTCCAGAAGGAAATTAACCAGATCCCATTCTATATGACTTTTTAAAGGAGATCTGTAAAGACTTTATCTTATTATCCCAGGCATCCTAAGAGGTGATATGCTTTATTATGAGAGACGACTGTTTGTGTGTACAGTGGTACCTTGGGTTACATATGCTTCAGGTTACATATGCTTCAGGTTACAGACTCTGCTAACCCAGAAATAGTACCTCGGGTTAAGAACTTTGCTTCAGGATGAAAACAGAAATCGTGCTCTGGCGGGGCGGTGGCAGCAGGAGGACCCATTAGCTAAAGTGGTGCTTCAGGTTAAGAACACTTTCAGGTTAAGAACAGACCTCTGGAACGAATTAAGTACTTAACCCGAGGTACCACTGTATTTTGCTTTCCTTAATTTTTTCATGCTTTTGTGACTCTGTTTGGGCCCTTGTGGCTGAGAAACAAACAAACAAAAGTCTATGAATTTAAATGCCCTGTTCATGAATGTCCCAAAGCCTCCCACAGGGTGCTGTTAGAAACAGGCTGAAGCACTGGAGGAACCTTTGGTTTGGTCCATCAAAGCAATTCTTATGTTTCTTTAAAAGGTAATTTTAAGAAGAATGCTGCAGATGGTCACTGGGTGCACTGTTATGGGTGCTGCCTCCAACGCTGCCACAGTTCCTGAGAAGCTTTCCAGAGCTCCTGCCAATTCTCAGCTCCATTGATTTCAGTGGGGAATCCATCAATTCATTCCAGCTGCGACCCATTAGTATAATTGAAACAAACCATTTTGTCATACTAGTGTTACAAAGTTTCTCTCTAATTGATTTTGATTATTTTAAAGCTCCACGATTGATTACTAACAAACTAAAAATTTGCACATGGGTACTGCCGAACGCAGCATTACATTTCAACCATGCAATGATAAATGCGGACGCTTTGAGCATGAAATTCCTTAATGGGACCACCCTTCACAGGAGACCATCTCGTTTAGTATCTAGAGAGAGGAAGAGTCTGTATTCAGACAATATAAGGAGGGCAAGAACCCAGAGACAAGATGGCTTCTGAATTCCAAGTAATGAGAGAAATCCTAAAGTGGCAGAGACCAGTTTTGGTTCTGAAATAAAACAAGTCACAAAAAATTGTTTTTACATTATATTATAATTTAATTAATTTTAACTATTATCTGTCACATGCTTTTGATGGGACGCGGGTGGCGCTGTGGGTTAAACCACAGAGCCTAGGACTTGCCGATCAGAAGGCTGGCGGTTCGAATCCCCGCAATGGGGTGAGCTCCCGTTGCTCGGTCCCTGGTCCTGCCAGCCTAGCAGTTCGAAAGCACGTCAAATTGCAAGTAGATAAATAGGTACTGCTCCAGCAGGAAGGTAAACAGCGTTTCCGTGCACTGCTCTGGTTCGCCAGAAGCGGCTTAGACATGCTGGCAACATGACCCGGAAGCTGTACGCCGGCTCCCTCGGCCAATAAAGCGAGATGAGAGCCGCAACCCCAGAGTCGGTCACGACTGGACCTAATGGTCAGGGGTCCCTTTACCTTTACTTCACATGCTTTTAGTTATCAGTGTTTTATCCATACTGGCTTTAATTTTTGTAAGCCGCTTTGAATCCCAGTTCCGGGGAAAGTGGAAGACTGTATAAAAATAAATAAAATAATAATGATTATCTCCACTTTTGAATTCCATAACTGTATTTCTATATGTTTTAGGTCTTTTTAAAAATCAAAGCATAAATAAATAAATATGTCTAGCTGCATAATACTATGTAGAGGACTACAAAGTATCAGGCTCTCTTCATAATGGCACCATTTTTGACATGGCAAGACAAACATGGCACTATACCTCACTTATGTCAATAGATGATATTATTGATGATCTAGATATGTTACCTCAACAAACGAAACAGGTCATAATTGTCAACCATCACTTATGACTTGCAATCAACAGCTAGGTAAATGTCACCAAACTTCAAATATACAATGCAAAAAATATAGGCATAAGGCATGTTAATATTATTTTACTTTACACTCTGATCTCAGATTCATTAATCCTACTTCATTTCTCAGGTCTGTGTATGTGTGTGTAGATACACACACACACATTTAATATTCAAACAAATAAGTTCACTAAATTTATGTGCAGTAAGATAACAGGATTAAAATGAGCCACCTTTCTTCTACTGAAGAGCACTACTGAGGAAGCTAAAGCCTCAGAGAATAAAAATAATTGGAAGTGATCATAAATAGAGATAACTGAAGTAAAATACAACCTTGCCAGTATGTCAGGGAAAGTGGGGTTTTGGAAGCCAGTGAGGTGTTTGGTGATGCTACCTACTTATTTCCAAGCTTCTAGACTATATTTTAAGATAATTAAGATGGGAAATACATTTGATAATGTGTGGTGTCCCTGAGAGAGCAAAGGGGAAGCAGCTTCTTGCCCTCATGGAAAATTGATTCATTTCTTTCTAAGCTTTGCTAGGGAGAAGAAGCTGGGACAGATTCAGCGTGGAGACTGAAACTGCATTCTACTGGTCCAGAAAATCATTTAAAAAACATTATTGTCAGGTGGTGAGGTGGTTGCTCACGGATAGCCAGGCAGGACTCCGACCTGTCTTTAGCGGGTTTTTATTTGTGCAAACTATTTACAGTGCAGAACCAGAAAGTTCATGTCCATCTCAGTCACTTGCAGATTCCGGGAGTGGCCCCTTCCGGTTTCTCCCCCAACATAATAACTTAGACACCCCAAAATCTCTGCCTTCCCTCCTTACGTTTCATCCCTCTGCATAAGCTGGGCCTGGCCAGCTGGGCTAGGTGAGGCGCTTGGGCTCTTAGTAGCATCTTCGAGCCCTCCCCTCGCTTGGCTGCCCCCTTCCCACTCTGCTCCACTGGAGGTGTGGCTTTCTCCACCGCTGGACAAGGCGTTGCTCCTCAGGAGCGGCAGAGGCTCTCTGTATCCCCCTGGCTTTCTCCCGTTCTGATGGCAGTCCCCTGACAATTATTATAAATGAACCTGAGAAGTTAAAAGAGGTCATTAGAATATATAAGAAAACAGAAACCTATTTTGATGATTAAAGGTAAAGGGACCCCTGACGATTAGGTCCAGTCGTGACCGACTCTGGGGTTGCGGCGCTCATCTCGCTTTATTGGCCGAGGGAGCTGGCATACAGCTTCCAGGTCATGTGGCCAGCATGACTAAGCCTCTTCTGGTGAACCAGAGCAGCACATGGAAATGCCGTTTACCTTCCCGCCGGAGCGGTACCTATTTATCTACTTGCACTTTGACGTGCTTTTGAACTGCTAGGTTGGCAGGAGCAGGGACCAAGCAATGGGAGCTCACTCCATCATGGGGATTCGAACTGCCAACCTTCTGATCGGCAAGTCCTAGGCTCTGTGGTTTAACCCACAGTGCCACCCACGTCCCAATTTGATGATTAGTGATTTCTAAATTCAGGTACTGTTATGTCTTACTACCTGAAACTTTAAGGAAGTACAGGCTGTTGAAAAGATAATGTTTACATTACAACAGTTTAATAATTGATGAGGTTTCAAATTTATGGGATAGTATGTTGACCGTGGGAGCTGTATATTAGATCAGCTGAATAATTTGGACCATATACAATATTGTACTTTAAATATCACTTACCAGTGAATGCTGAATGGCATTATCTTCAGTCACAACACCTGTTGATGTGTAATTATGGACCCTCTGCTCTGACATCATTGGATCTTCACAGGTGGCTAAAGGAATGGAATGGGGAATTAAAATGTGCTATACAACCCACGCAATGGAAATTACTTTAGAATCTATACATGATGTTTCCTTACAATTTAAAATTTAGATTGATCCAGCAAAAAAATAATGTTTTGGGTATATTGGACCCCACAACATCTTTATAGGAATACACTGTCTAAGACAATAGATGCTGGAGGTGTAATGCCTTGTTAAGACATTATGCATTTTATATATATATATATATATATATATATATATATATATATATATGAATAAAAAATGCGGTATATATATGTCCAGTTCTTTTATATATATATGAGAGAACTGGATATATACACACACACATGCACACAGGGGTGTGTGTGTATTGGTCTGAGGTGCTCTAGCTCCAAGGATTATGGCAAAATCCTTGATATCTGCAGATGTACACCTGCTTTTACATTATATTCCTGTAGTATGAAAATTAGTGGCAGGACCACGAAAGCAGATTTTTACATTATATTCCTGTAGTATGAAAATTAGTGGCAGGACCATGAAAGCAGATTGCATGCCTTTTCAGGTTCAAAACAGGAAATATTATTGAGAACAGTTATACATCATACATAAGATATCACAGCTGCGTGTTCCACATTTATTCATTTTTTATAAAAAATGAAGTATAAATTGTTAATAGACTTGCTAAGACATACCACAATATTAATCTAAACATATTCAAATCAGTTGTATTAAAACTGGCACACATACAGAGATACAAATACGCATCCCACAACAAAAATGAGAAAAATTGAGAGTACAGATGTACTTGTCCTTGCAAAACCTTACGTTATATCTATGTAACCATATTCTGATGTTTTCTTTTTCCTTTCATTCTTTAAAATCAACATCCCTGTGGTATGTAGAAACATAGTATTAAACAAAGTATTAAACTGCATGTGCTGTAGCAGCAAGTGAGGGGCAGATGGAGCTTGCCAGACTGGTAAGGTAGCCCATCTAGGAGAAGGAAAACTCTGACCCTAAACCTTCTAGAGAAGAAAAAGCTCAGGAATAAACCCAACACAAATCTGGAGTAGAGCCCAAGACGGTTGGATGGCACCTTGTGCGCCTCCTTCCGGCAACTCCTGCAGCCAAGTTGGTGCCAAACATATTGCTCTGCTTTCCTTTGGACCGTATCAGCGAGGCTGAGACAGGAGTCTTATCATCTGGGCAACCCAACATACTGCCCCTTCGAAGTTACTTCAGGGCTGCTACCGCAGTGGCTTGACTTCACCCCAGGAGGCATACTCCATTGTGTCTCGAGGCAGACGGATGCCAACAAGCTGAGATTTGTTATGTTTTCTGAGTGCCTCGGGACTCATTGTAGGGCAGAAAGGCAAAAATAAAAAAGCATTTTACAATAAAAAACTCTAGCCCCTGGTTATTGTCAAAGTGCTTTAGCTTTCCATCTCTCAGTTGCTGGATCATCACCTTGTCGTGGTGAGCGGGCTTGCATGTTCCTATGACCCTTGTGAGCGAAGCCGTCGGGAATCTCGTACTCCCAGCAGGGTCACCCAAGGCGGTAAGGTCAAAGGGAAGGAGCTAGACAAAGAATGATCCAATAAGTCCTCAACGGCAGAACAAGAGGATGATAACAAGCAGTATGTTACAACGGCTGTGAAGGCGGATGAAGGCTGCAGCAGATAAGAATCTACCGGTCGTTGTGACTACTCATGCCATGGGAACAGAGCCTTACTGCGAAGACTGTGCATTGGTCAGCGTGCAACTCTCGAACTCCTCCAAAGATTCCATCTGAGCAGGCTGAAAGCAAAGAGTAAGGTTACCGTAACTTCCATCATAAGCTTCAGTATGCTGATGACAACGTAGTGTGTGCACGCCCAGAGGATGACCTCCAAACCATTCTAAATATCTTCGCAGCTTATGAAAAACTTGGCCTATCACTCAACAAACAAAAAACCAAAGTGCTGCACCAACAAGTACAAAATAACCCCTCTGCAGCGCCACAAATAAAACTCAATGGTGTAACATTGGAAAATGTTAATCACTTCTCCTACCTGGGCAGTTATCTTTCCACAAGGGCCAATACTGATGCCGAAATCCAGCATCAGCTGAGCTCTGTGAGTGCGGCTTTCTCCTGATTGAAGTGCAGAGTGTTTGAGGACCGGGACATTTGCAGGGAAAGCAAAATGCTTGTTTACAAAGCTATTATACTACCAACCTTACTGTATGCTTGTGAAACATGGACCACTTATAAATGCCATCTCCAACTCCTCGAAAGATTCCATCAATGGGGTCTCTGAAAAATTTTACACATGACTTGGGAAGACAGGCAAACTAATACCAGTGTACTGGAAGAAGCAAAGATCACCAGTGTTAAAGCAATGATTTTCAACATCAACTTCATTGGACTGGTCATGTTGTGAGGATGCCTGATTATCGTCTTCCAAAGCAACTACTCTATTCCGAAATTAAAAATGGAAAGTGTAATGCTGGTGGTCAACAAAAGAGGTTTAAAGACTGTCTCAAAAAATGGTTTTGCGACAGAAAAATCCAAATTGGAAACTGAACTGTTAGATACCGATGTCAAAATTCTATCCAAAATGTACAATTTATTGTTGGAATGGCATACAAAGGATAAACAAGTTAAATCTGTGATGATTGATTGGGCAAGAGATGTTGGACACAATATAATTTTGGAAGATTGGGAAAGGCTGTGGAAGAAAGGGGTTAAGTTTACTGCATGTACTGTATTAAAAGAAAATATTATGAAAATGATGCATAGATGGTACTTAACCCAGGTGAAATTAGCAAAGATATATCATACAAATGATAACCAGTGTTGGAAATGCAAAGAAAAAGAAGGTACCTTTTATCATATTTGGTGGACGTGTCCCAAGGTGAAAGACTTCTGGGAAAAGATTTATAATGAGTTGAAAAAAATGTTGAAGATTACATTTATTAAGAAACCAGAAGCCTTTCTACTTGGAATACTAGGACTGGAATTGCCCCAAAAAGATGCTAGACTGTTTTTGTATGCCACTACAGCGGCAAGGACGCGGGTGGCGCTGTGGGTAAAACCTCAGCACCTAGGACTTGCCGATCGTATGGTCGGTGGTTCGAATCCCCGCGGTGGGGTGAGCGCCCGTCCCAGCTCCTGCCCACCTAGCAGTTCGAAAGCACTCTTAAGTGCAAGTAGATAAATAGGTACCGCTTTATAGCGGGAAGGTAAACGGCGTTTCCATGTGCTGCGCTGGTGCTGGCTCGCCAGAGCAGCTTCGTCACGCTGGCCACGTGACCCGGACGTGTCTCTGGACAGCGCTGGCCTCCGGCCTCTTAAGTGAGATGGGCGCACAACCCTAGAGTCGGACACGACTGGCCCGTACGGGCAGGGGTACCTTTACAGCGGCAAGACTTTTATTAGCCAAAAACTGGAAATCGCAAGAAATACCAACAATATAAGAATGGCAGATTAAGATGTTGGAATTTTTGGAGCTGGCTGACCTGACTGGAAGAATCCGCGATCAGAAGGAAGAGGAGATACAAGAGGATTGGAATAAATTTAAAGAATATTTAGCTAAATATTGTAATATAAGATAATTAGAAAATTCTTGGAAGTAATGAATAGGCTTAGGGGTAGAATAAGAATATGTGGTAGTAAATATTAAAGACTAGAATATAAAAAAGAAGAAGAGGTTAGTAAATGAAAGGAGTTAATATTATTAGAAATACGAACTTGGAGAATTGTTATAAAGGTGATATAATGAAATTCAGAGAGGGGACTCGAGGAAGTCAGTCATCAATGTGATGAAAGTTGGATATTTGAAGAGATAATCTTTTTTTCTTGTGTGTTTAGTTTATTGTAGTGTGGTGTGTTTTTTTTCTTTGTTGTGTATTTTGTTATGTTATTTTTGTGATAAATGTTGAAAATCAATTAAAAAATTTGGGGGAAAATAAAGACTGTCTCAAGGCAAATCTAAAAAAATGTAGTATAAACACTGACAACTGGGGAACACTGGCCTGCGAGCACTCCAGTTGGAGAACAGCCTTTACCAAAGGTGCCATGGGCTTTGAAGACACTCAAACTCAGGGCCAAAGGGAGGAATGAGCTAAGAGGAAGGCACATTTGCCAAACCCTCACCGTGATCAACTCCCGCCCGGAAACCAATGTCCCCACTGTGGAAGGACGTGTGGATCTACAAATGGCCTCCACAGTCACTTATGGACTCATTGTTAAAACCATGTTTATGGAAGACAATCTTACTCGAATACGAGTGATCACCAAAGAAGAAGAAAGAAGACTTCCATCTGTAATCATCTGAGCCCCTTCTTCGTGTGCCTCCTCAAGAACTCTTGATGGTGGCAGCAGGAGAACAATCTTTTCCTGCAATGGCTCCCCATTTGTGGAATGCTCTCCACAATGGTGCCTTATTTACCGTATTTTTTGCTCTATAAGACTCACTTTTTCCCTCCTAAAAAGTAAGGGGAAATGTGTGTGCGTCTTATGGAGCGAATGCAAGCTGCGCAGCTATCCCAGAAGCCAGAACAGCAAGAGGGATTGCTGCTTTCACTGCGCAGCGATCCCTCTTGCTGTTCTGGCTTCTGAGATTCAGAATTTTTTTTCTCTTGTTTTCCTCCTCCAAAAACTAGGTGCGTCTTGTGGTCTGGTGTGTCTTATAGAGCGAAAAATATGGTACATATCTTTAGGCACCGGGCATTCCTATTCTTCCAGTCCTTTGGCTTATTAAACAACTCAAGGCCTTTTAAATGTGCCTGGGCAGGGTGTGTTGTCCTTCTGTTTCTTTGCTACTGTTTTAGATTTTGTGGTTTTACGCTGTGAACCATCCTGTGATCTTTGCATGAAGGACAGTACAACAAATAATAATAATAAAAGCTCAGTATTTTCCCCTGATTTTGTTGCTAACGTCTACAGTCACTTTGTCGCAGGCTACTGAAGAAGTGAACATGAGGGGCAAGTATTTCAAACATGTTAATGACCAACAGCAGGGCCGGCCCACCTGCCAGGCAAGGTGAGGCAACTGCCTTGGGTGGAGGATCCTGATGTTGTTGTTGTTTAGTCGTTCAGTCGTGTCTGACTCTTCGTGACCCCCTGGACCAGAGCACGCCAGACACTCCTGTCTTCCACTGCCTCCCGCAATTTGGTCAAACTCATGCTGGTAGCTTCGAGAACACTGCCCAACCATCTTGTCCTCTGTCGTCCCCTTCTCCTTGTGCCCTCCATCTTTCCCAACATCAGGGTCTTTTCCAGGGAGTCTTCTCTTCTCATGAGGTGGCCAAAGTATTGGAGCCTCAGCTTCAGGATCTGTCCTTCCAGTGAGCACTCAGGGCTGATTTCCTTCAGAATGGATGACTGGCAGAATCCGAGACCAGAGAGAAGAGACGGTGAAAGAAGACTGGAAGAAATTTAAAGACTATTTACAGAAATATTGTAAAATTAAGGAATCTTAGAAGGATGTTGGATAGAAACTAAGGGTTTTTTAGCTGTAATGCTTTAAGAGATATGAAAAAAGGTTTGCAACTGGGTAATTTCAATGGTAAGGATTTGCTGAATCAACAAATTGAACTGGAATACAAAAAAGGGAGGTATGAGGAGGTCCGGGAAATAAGTATAAGGAAGATAGGTTATGGAAATTTAATGTCCTTTTAATTGTTTTATTTGGTATGTTTTCTTTTATTTTTTACTTCTTTGGTTATATATTTTTTAAAAAAACTTTATTCTTGTTCTTTCTGTATTCTGTATTTTTTGTAATTTTTTTTGAAACTTTAATAAATATCATTAAAAAAAAAAATTCCTTCAGAATGGATAGGTTACAAATAATAATAATAGTTCAGTATTTCCCCCTGATTTTGTTGCTAACGTTTACAGTCGCTTTGCCTCAGGCTACTGAAGAAGTGAACGCGAGGGATGAGCATTTCAAACGGGTTAACAATCAACAGCAGGGCCGGCCCACCTGTCGGGCAAGGTGTGGCAACTGCCTTGGGTGGCGGATCCTGATGTAGATCACAGAATCCTAAGGTGAAAAGGGACCCTGAGGGTCATCTAGTCCATCGCCCTTGTTCCTGACATCCTCTTCACTCAGGCTTTCTTTCCTCAGAGAAAGAGAGAAGGGAGAGGCGGCGGCATTTTGTGGTTCGCCTCAGGCGCCAAAAAGGCCTCGGGGTTCACCTCAGGCACCAAAATGCCTCAGGCCGACCCGGCCGACAAGCAAGCACGCCTTGAGTTTCCCTCACGCTCAGAGGCTGCTTTTCTTTCTATCTTTCTAAAGCGCAAAAAAGAGCCCTGGAAGAACAGCAGGTGCAGGCGGCGGGCGAGGCCGCCTCAGCGCGGGCCCCGCCTCTACGCGAGGCTCGGCGGCCGGCCTGTGTTCCCCGAAGCCCACGTCGCGCAAAAGCGGCCGGAGGAGGAGGAGCAGCGGCGGCGGCGGCGGCGCTGAGGAGACCCGGCTAGAGCCGCCCAGCCGCCGCCATGAACTCCAGCAACCGCACCGAGAGCGACTGGCAGGGACTGGTGAGCGAGGTGAGAGGGGGCGAAGGAACGAGGCCTGCCGCGGACTGGAAGGCGGAGCTGCCTTTTCCCGCCATTTCCCCCCACACGGGCCTGCAAAAAACCCGCCTTGCTGGTGCAATGGGGCTTTCCTGCCAGCCGGCACCGGGTCGCCCATCCCTCTCCTTCCCGGCGTTTCCGGCAGCCTGCTGTGTGTATATATATATATATATACGATCTACAGTCGGAGCGGCTTGCTTCCCTTTCCTCTCTTCAGTGCAATTAAGCTTTGCAGCCCCACTTCCCCCGATGCGTGTTTACTGTGCAGCATGTCACGTGTGAATCCAACCCCCCCCCCCAGTTAAGCGTGCATAAGGGTTGCAGTGGTGGGGGATTTTTTTGGGGGGGGGGGGTGGCGTCTGAGGCAAACGACCTCCCTGGCCCTCCAAAGCAGCTGGGCTAAGCTCAAAACTTGCCTCAGTTTTTCCAGGTGTGGCCAATGCTAAAAGCTGGGTGGTTGCGTGTCACCGCAGGGATGGTTGGCACTTGTTGCTTGGAGGGGTATGACGGATGTTACCTGTATGCCACTTTGGGGGCGAGGGGGTCGGAGCGAGGTGTATATCTTCCCTTATCCCTGTTAAGCTGAAAGCAGCAAACTTTTGCTATTCCCATCTCCCCATTTTTATTTATTTTTTACTTAGTAGAGAGACCTTGGGTGTCAGGAATTCCCAAAAATGAGTTGCCAGGTCTCAGGGTGCGATCAGAGGTTTCTGCAGCGCTATTCACTCAACACAAACTTTTTTTGGTGAATGGGAGGGCTTCAGGTGCACAGTTAAAAGTCTAAATGAAGTCCGTGAATATGCAACCATATGCTCTTCGATTCGTCACCATATCCAAGTAAATATATTTAGGTTGGGGGTGGACATGCGCCACGATCCAGACGGATGCCAAGGGATTTTGCTGTCATTCTCCTCCTCTTAAGTTGTCAGGCAATGTCCCCCACTCGGCAGGGTATAAGTAAATTATTATTATTATTATTATTATTATTATTACTGCATGCTAATAGGATTTGTCCATCTCCCATCAGGCTTCACCTTCTTGATTCTTGCCCTCAAAAGACCTGGCCACTCTGGGCCAAACTAGATTTAATGTCCATTGCATGATTGCAACTAATGTGCTGTTGCTGTTTTTTTAAAATGTAAGTAGGCAGCTTATGCATAGCATATTTGCCCTGTGAAGGCTTCCCTCCTGATGTAAGTTGCAGCTTCAGGGGAATAATTTCCATAGAGACCACAATAGGTGAGACTAATGGGTTAAATTCTTCACCCCCTGTGATTCTGTTGCTGCTCCCCCTTTTCTGTTTTCCATTTTTAACTTGTGCCTATTAATTCATTCAGTTGTCAACTTACTATTTTTCTTCTGGCTAGGATTCTGTGTGTTTTTAACAGAATCTTTGTTGGTTGAATATGAGCCTATCATTTCCTTGTTAGAGAGGGAAGGAGAAATGACACATTCACCTGCTAAATTTTGACTACCCCGTGGCTTTTCAATGTACAAGAGGAGAAAAAAAGAAATTTGCAACCCCACTGTAATAATTGCCGCTGTAAACTTCATAAATAGACCAGAGGTGATTGAAGTGTTGTTGGAACTAGTCAACTTTGGCAAACACTGACTAGTGTTTTCCACAGTATCTCAAAATGGCTGCTTCCCTAGGTTTCAATTCTCTGCTGATGTTCTCAATAACATCTTCCTTCTGTAGTCATAGAACACTTTGATTCCTATATTATTGTACCACCATCTCACACCCACAGCTGAGTAACACAGCCAGACTCTAAGATTATAAGAAAGGGTGTCAATCAGAGTGTAAGCAACTTTCTAAGCAGCCGTTGGGTCAGCAACGCTTCTATAAAGTGGGTATTGCCTGTCCATGATTCTTTTCACTTCCATGATATTCATATTAATTTGGGTTGGGTTTGGGGTCCTAAAAAAGTGTCAGGCAGCTGTGCCTTCTTTCAACCCCAATCTTACTCCCTGCCCTTCCATTAGCACCCCTCATGCCATGTTGCTTCTGCTCTGAGAAAACGTTTCTAAGAAATGATGGGAAATGTTGGCACAGGCAGTTATTGGCAATTATGAATGATTATGGTCACATATGGAGTACCAGCATTCTAATACTTAGAATCATAGAATTGGAATCCCAAGGGCCTTCTAGCCCAGCCCCCTGCAATGCAGGAATAAAACAACAACAACTATTGTACAGTGGTACCTCAGGTTAAGTACTTAATTCATTCCAGAGGTCCGTTCTTAACCTGAAACTGTTCTTAACCTGAAGCACCACTTTAGCTAATGGGACCTCCTGCTGCCACCGCGCCGCCGGAGCACGATTTCTGTTCTCATCCTGAAGCAAAGTTCTTAACCTGAAGCACTATTTCTGGGTTAGCGGAGTCTGTAACCTGAAGCGTATGTAACCTGAAGCGTATGTAACCCGAGGTACCACTGTATGTGGCAAAAAATGGTAGTGGTATTAAATGTTTTGTGGTGCAGAATAATGGTGGCCTTATGAGACCAAGATGAAGACGACCTGCAAGAGATTCCCCTCCATGTTCTGTGAAGCTTTGTGCTAACTAGGGATGTGCTATGGTCTAAACCACTGAGCCACTTGGGCATGCCAATTGAAAGGTCGGCGGTTTGAATCTGTGTGACAGGGTCAGCTCCTGTTGCTCTGTCCAAGCTTCTGCCAACCTAGCAGTTCGAAAGCATACCAGTGCAAGTAGATAAAAATATACAGCTGCAGCAGGAAGGTAAATCACATTTTCGTGTCCTTTGGCACTCATCATGGTCCTCTGTGCACCAGTAGTGGTTTAGTCATGCTGGCTACGTGACCGGGAATGTCTGTGGACAAAGGCTGGCTCCCTCGGCCTGAAAAGCAAAATGAGTGCCACACCCTTTGACTGGACTCAACCGTCCAGGGGTCCTCTACCTTTTACCTTTACAACTTTTCACTCTGGTGTGACAGTTCCTCTACATACCAGAGGATGAAGCAGGAAAGTAGACTGCCTTCATGTGTTGACCATGAGGATAGGGTAACTGCTGGTGGGAAGCTAAATATTTAAACATTCCTGGGGGGTGGGGGTGGGATTTCTGTAAGAAAAGCAACAATACACAATGAATTTGGGTGTGTATTTTCAAATAGGCCTTGCAATCTTGGCCATGATTTGTGTAAGATGCTCTTTGACTCTAAAGGCCCCTAATCTTGAACCTATGCAAAATGTAGGATTAATAACCTGTTCAAGATGCATTTTTGGTTGTGTGGGCTGGAAGGTAAATAGAGATAAGTTATTGGCAGCAGGTGATGGAAAGGGAGAAGAAATGGTCTTTCCTTCTCTTTGCCTCCCCAGCCCTCGCAAATCCACAATATTTTGCTCATCCTCACTTGCAGTGCTCAATTATGTACATTATTATATACATCTAAAGCTACCATATAATCCTGTTTGGTAACTTACCATTAGTTTTAAGAAAAAGAGAAAACAGTTTCATATTATTAAGCAGGAAATTAGTCAAGTGTAATTATTTGAAAACATAGCAAAAAAATAAGAAGCAAGGATAGGAACTGAGATGGAAAACTGGAACTGCACATATTTATTGGGTTTCTTTGCCTATTGGAAATTTTAAGGGTCCATAAAATAAAGACGTAAAGACTTACCAATGTTTTTTCAGAAGTAAGTCTTGCTGTGTTTAATGGGACATAACACCCAAGTAAGTGTGCACAGGGTTACATGGGAATAAACTCAGTTTTGCTAATTGGGATTTATTCCTGAATAAATGTGCATGAGATCATGCTGCCAGTTTCTCCCCACTACCTGTGTTCCTGTCTATTTGTACTGCTGGTCTAAAGACCTGGCACTTGATGTCACTGTGATAAAGCAAACCTTCCTGGAAACCAGCTCTGAAACTTGTTTTGCACTGGATGATTGGATTTTATGGGCTCTTTGAGGAAATGGTTCTTGTTTAAAGCTTAGATCTGCAGCTGCTTCTCAAGAAAGCGCCACACAAGGTTTCACATGCACTCACCTGTCGGCAGGGTTAGAAGCAATGGTTCAAATGATTCAATACAGTAAAAGCTACAATCCCCCCTCAGCTTACACAGTAGATGTTTATCACAGACATCTTCTGAGCACTATTTCACACACTATGTTGCATAAAATCTGGATTTGCCACCAAATGGCCTCTGTCTGTCTGTCTGTCTGATGAATATTCGCATTCAAGACATGTGTATGGAAACATCTGCTTCTCACATTCAAATGTTACATTTTTAAACGAGCATGAGGTTTTTGTTTTGTTTTTTTAAGTGTGATGCAAACCTTAAATGGGGTACAAGTGAGGAAAGGGCTGCTTTACAGATGGCTAACTCAACTCTTGTTCTGTGATAACACAAATATAGTACAGTACTATATCTGTAAAGTTCCCTTGCGGTTTAAAGGGCTGCCCTAAAGGAGATGAATTGGTGCTGGAGGACATCAATGCTCACAAGCTAGTTTACACCCACCTACCCACACCTTGATCTTCTAAAAAAATTCCCCATGTATCTACCTATTATTACCTCATGTCAACAAACATTCAGTGCTTCTTGGCTTGCACATTCAACCGCAAGTCACCAAGTGTTAAGTGAGCATGTGGTGTACGTCCATGTGTGAACCAGTCCTTAGCCATTCTGATATTAAAACTGTGAAAGCATTGCATTTTTTTTGGCTGCTTAGGATTATTATTGCCCAGACATTTGCATATGAGAATAAAATAGTGACAAATTCTCAGTACATAGCAGGAAGTAGATACGGCATGTGTAGCAAGGAGTGGCACTGTATTCCACATCCTTACAGCTAGTTTGGCTTCTATTATCTATCTTCTTTCTTTCTTTCTTTCTTTCTTTCGACTGCCCTTCATTAGAAAATATCAGGGTGGTTCGCAGAATAAAATACATAATTTTTAAAAAGGAAATAAGTAAAACAAAACAGCAAACAACTGCTGCCTTTATTGGGTTCTGAGGGTCCTGAAACTTCAGCTTTTCTGTACATTTGATTTGATACAAGCTGATACAAGGAGAAGACAGAGACAGGTGACTCTGTGTGTGTGTGTGTGTGTGTGAGAGAGAGAGAGAGAGAGAGAGAGAGAGAAAGGAGTCCACAGGTGACAGAAAGAAGGAGAAATCTGTATGAAAGGGAGGATATCATTAGTTATTCTTAATTAAATTAATATGCAAATCCTTTATTTTAATAGGACTTACTCTTAAGTAAATATGCCACTTTAATATTTCAGTGTTGATTTGGAATGAAAATTAATTTTATTTAGTTGAGTGATAAAATGGTAAGATTTTGCAAACAGAAAGGGAAAAAAACACTTGTTTTGGAACTACAGCCATATGCTGCTTGAATGTGGAAGAATTGGGAATTTCCTCAAAGCATTATACAGCTAACGGGCAAGAAAGAACAACTGCCACCTACAGTATACTAGGTTCCAAGAGTGATAAGTGCTGCTAACTTTGATTTCAGGTCTGCTGATGTTAAAAGTGAGCAAGAGTCACAGAGAAGTGAATCGAAGGTGGCAGAGAAGGTGATAATAAGGTGGAAGAAAGTGAGGAAAGGAAAATTTGAAGGAGGCAGGCAATAATGAGCAGGTGAAATGAAGTAGAAGGAAGAAAGAATAGAAAAGTTTGAGAAGGTAAAGAGAATGGAGAGAGAAAGGATTGTGAAAGATGGTGAGATGGGAGTAAGTGATAACAGAGGAGGAACTGGGAGGTGCAAGGAGGAGGCAAGGAGAATGTGGGAGGTAAGAAGAGAGAAGAGCAAAGGCAAGACAGGTGATGCAGGACCAGAAGGTAGGGAGAGAAAAAGACGGAAGCAGGTGGCAGAGACAGGAGCTGGTAAAATTGATAGGCCTTTTTGGTAACAAAACACAAGCATAAATAGCGATGGTGACTTGCCCTCTTTCTCAATATCAACCACAGGTTTCAAGGAAGAGAAGAACCCGAGAAATAAAAGAGAAGCTATATGTATTAAAAGGGTTCGAAAGTTTGCCCAACAGTACGTGAAATATTGGTTTACTTGCATTTAGAAAAATTGTATGCCACTACCTCTGTGTAATAGGTGGTGGGACGCTAGTACTATTAAGTATAAATCAAAAGGGGAAATGTAAAAGTGAGTCCTGTGTGCCTGGCAAGGAATATATGGTGCACCTTGGGTCTAGACTGGTTGATGACCACTGCTCTAAATGAAGATAGGCCAAAGCTGATAAGTGACACCATAATCTGAATTTCCGAAGTTTATAATGGTGTGTCTTTCACTTTTTAGATTTCCCCTCTCCAATAACTTGACTAATGTCCTGGCATTATCAGATTATGAGGTCATTTCTGTTCAGGAGTTAATGAGATCAAAGCGGATTTGGCACTAAAAATAGCTATGGACAAATAGGGACCATTTGATGGAGAGGAGAGCTGTTTCACCTCTCTGTAATGTTGTCTTTCTCATTCTGTTTTGTTTAAAGCAGTTAGCAGGCAGTAAGATAGTTCAAGCAGTAATGTAAGACAGTTCAAGCAGTAATGTATTATATCAGTCTTTACTTAATAGGATCTTGTAGCGATCATAGTCCACTTACGATGGTAAATTAGTGGTAGATAAAAGTCAATAGACAGCAATGAAAATTATTATTTTGAAGGTATTTAGACTTAGAGAAATGCAGATGAAATTTGAATCTAACAACTGTTTAATGAAAGCATTAAATAGTTCATTTTCACAAAAATACACGAAGATGTATTCAGAAGATTCACTTTCTAAAAAATACCTAAAAACAAATAGCAGTAGCTATAACCATCTGCAATAAATGGTGGCTCTTTTTTTAAAAAAAGAAATCAAATAAAAGTGGTTATTTGCATCTTAAAAGTAAAAAAAAAAACACTGTATTTTAAAACCAGTATATCACAGTAGCATCACTTGCATGTCATGGTAAGCTGCAGTTGATGGCTCCCACTTTATTTGTTTCATACAATTTTTTTACCGCTTGATTGTAGAAAACCCTCAAAGCAGTTCAAGTGGGAGAAACAAAGCATAAACCCTGACTTAATGTTTCAAACTTAACTGGGATTCATGCTTGGTTGTGATTTGCTTGGAGCTGAACAAACCACAGTCCTCAGTTTAGATGTAAATCTCAGCCCGGGTTTGTGGTTGTTTCTCACACTCAGTCTAGGGTAATTGTTCTTGGCATACCAGTTGTGGTTTGTTTGACTGAAAGAAACCAGGATACAGTGGTACCTCAGGTTACATACGCTTCAGGTTACAGACTCCGCTAACCCAGAAATAGTGCTTCAGGTTAAAAACTTTGCTTCAGGATGAGAACAGAAATCGTGCTCTGGCGGTGCGGCGGCAGCAGGAGGCCCCATTAGCCAAAGTGGTGCTTCAGGTTAAGAACAGTTTCAGGTTAAGTACGTACCTCCAGAACGAATTAAGTACTTAACCTGAGGTACCACTGTACCTGGTTTGGATTTAATGCTAAGCCAGGGATTGTGGTTTATTTGATCCCACTTGTGCTTGGAGCGAAGTTGGAGCAATCGCCACATACACAGCGAACCATTAACTCTTGAAGTAGTAACAAGGTGTCCACAACCATATTTATTATCTGCCTATCTGCAAGTTTCATTGTTGTGTTTGGTTACTCGGAGTATGAAATGAGGCTTGTGTTTCTATTTCCGTCTCCTCTTTAGCCCTAACCATAGTAAGCCATAGCATCCAAATTGGCAAACCATAGTCAGTGTTTGCCTTCCAAATCAAAATAAAAAACTGTTTGAAATGGGTTTCTGATTTGGTTTTGGAGAATAAGTGCCAACCGGAGTTTGCCAATCCAAACTTCATGACTAATTATGTTTAGGGCTAAGGAAACCAAAACAGAACTCCTGGATCTGTTATGTCTAGCATTCCATTTCTCCATGTTAAAGATGGGAGCTGAGGCTGAGAAAACAGTGACTTACTTGCTTAAGGCTACCGTCTAAGCTTGAACTGGGGCCTTGTAGCTCAGACTCTTAACTTCTTTAGCATATAGCAGTTTCCTATCCAGAGTTCATCATTATTCCAGGTTCCAATGTCATTTCAATGGTGCATAAAAAGCTGCAGATTCCAGATGCCTTTTTAATCAGGGAATTGGCCACTCTTAAAGTGTCACTATATGGATAAGAACAATAATGTTGCTTTATTGAGGGTAGTGCCAAGGCATCATAACCCAGAAGGTTTATGGCAGAAATTCAACTTTGCTGCTGCCAGTAATAAAATTAATCCAAGGTGGAGGTGTCCTCTTCAGAGTTCATTACCCTAGAATGATTTCTCCTTCCCTTTAAAGGACTCTTGAAAGGATGCATTTGCTACTTTTGGGTACCACTCAATGCATTATTATTTCTTCATGACCTGCAGGTATATTAATGCACCTTGACCGGTAGAAATAAGCGCTGTAAGGTTCAAGAAATCCCTTCTCTACATTTTCCCGTCTTCAAAAAAGGAGCAGAGCAAAAGGGGTCCTTTTATTACAGACCAAGTGTGAACAGAAAGAAATTCTGCAGCTTTTTACACATATGAAACACTACAGCACATTACATATTTTAGGTGCATATAAATGTCCTTTTTAAAGGGATGGGCTTAAAAACCTCACACGTGGGTAAGATGATATTGCATTTGGAAGGCTGTAATGGAGTTCGTGAGTAGCTAGTAGAAAAAATATTGGGCTTCGTTGGATAAAAGGGTGTCATCAAAATGAAGGGAATAGGATAGCTTTTTTTACTTTTATAGAGTAGTGAAAGAAAATGCATCTCTGCTAGCTGAATTAAGCACTCTGTGGTCTGATACTTCAATTATGTGTGTGTTTATGAAGAAGTAATTCCCATTATGTTCAGTGGGGCTTTCTCCGATGTAGGTACATATAGGGTCACAGCCTAACTACAATCCTCAGTATGTTTACTTAGAAATAAATCTATTTTCATCCTAAAGGTTGTAATGTTAACCCAGAAACTGACACAGCCCATAGTTCCTTTAAAGCACTTAAATGTGTGTGCCCCTGCCTTTAAAGTAGCGCTTTTGCACAATGCACTTGTCTGGTTGGTTTGGTTTGGTTTTCTTTCGTTTTGTTTTCAAGCAGCATGTACAAACTTTTTGCCTTGACTTTCTTGCAGTATTTGGTGTGTAAAAGGAAGCTGGAAAGTAAGAAGGAAGCACTGCTAATTCTTTCCAAAGAGCTGGACACATGTCAACAAGAAAGAGACCAGTACAAGCTTATGGCTAATCAGCTACGGGAGAAGCACCAATCACTGAAAAAAAAATACCGGGAACTGATTGTATGTAGCTGGTTTGATAACTTTCTGTTAATATCTGCTTATATTAAATCTTTTGCTTCTTGTAATTCATTGTGCATTATTAATCATTTCCTTGTAATCCTTTTAGTTCTGTGTTCATGATGCTGTTTTTGTTCATTTTTGTTCATTTTTATTTAATTCATAATTATGTATTCACTATTATTTAAAGCACAAATAGAAACAGCTTCAACCTTACAGTCTAAACCTCTTAGTGCTTTGATTGCAGTACTGCAGTGCTTCATTAAATTACTTTTTTCAAGCAAACTAGATTACTTTATAAAGTCCTGTTATTTTTCCAGTGACATGTAAACTCCCTTCTTGTAGGATGGGGACCCATCTCTTCCTCCTGAAAAGAGAAAGCAGGTAGGTTTCATTTTTGCTTGCATGCACATATAATTTACTGCTCTATGTCATTGGTTGTTGGTTTTTTAAAAAAAAAATTGCTAAACTACCGTATTTTTCGACTCCACTAGATCAATTGGTCCAGTAGGTACCATCAAGTTTTAGGAAATAACTAGAGTAACAAATTACTTCGTCACAGGCTCCAGTGGGCCTGGCAGTGGTACTCAGATTAAGCACTTCTCGCCGCACCGGCTTCAGAACAGAAGTCACGCGGGACAGCGGGAGGCCCTGCTGCGTCTCCCAGCTGGTACCTCAGGTTAAGAATGGTTGCAGGCTAGCGAGCGGAGCGCTCTTCTCCACATTGCCAGCCTTCAGATCAGGTCCAGGGACAGCACGGAAGACGCACTGCGTCTCCCAAGCCTGTATCCCATCAGAGCCTGCAGGGCTGGTCGGTGAGAATCCATACCACGCACAGTCAGCCTGCAAATCAACAGTCAAGAGTTCAAACAGGATGGCGCTACTCGCCTCCCTCTGTCCCCAAAGCTGTGTGCTCATTGGAAAAAGGGCTGTCATCCTAGCAGGGCCTCCCCGATGATGAGGTGGAGATGCAGCCGCCGCTCGCACTCCAGGCTTCAGTAAGCTCTGCCACTGCCGCCATAGGACGCACGCAGCTTCTCCTGCGATCTTGTGGTGGGAAAAGTGCGCTATGGACAAGAGTACGGTCCTGTTATTTTGATTCCACTAAGCAAGTCTCTACAGTGAGTAGCCTCGGGTTACAAACACCTCGAGTTAGCAAACTGACTTAAGGCTTTCAAGGACTCTACTAATCTGGAGGTAGTACCTCAGATTAAGAACTCTGCCGCAGGGCCCCACCCCCCGCATCACAAGGATGGCATCAGGGCATTTTGTCTCTTGCCAAGATGCCTCTAGCTGCCCCTGCTATCATCCCAGAAAGAAGGAGTGTACCGTTCTTGAATCAGGAGTATATCAGAGCTGTAGGGTCCCCTGCTTCCAAGACACTGCTTTCTCATCAATATCCTGTGCAATCATCCCCTCTGCAAACTGTTCCATACTTCTTAGGACTAGGTTCCCAAGTCATGGTCCATAAACCATCATTGGTTTGCAAGTGTCAATCAGGTGGTCCACAGCATATCCACGTTAAATATCCATACTGATTTTTATTGCTTCTTTTATTTCTCATATTGTATTATTGTTACAATTTGATTTTCACAGAATTCAGATTGTAATACAATTTGAAGAAGAAGACTAATACAATTTGAACAAGAAGAAAACACGTTAAAAGAAGCAATAAACATAAAATTAAAAATCACACAGCGTCTAGTACAGTGCATTGCAGTTGCTAGAACAAGAAGAAAAATCATTAAATGGTCCGCCTTAGTCCTTTTCAAGCACTCGGCCAGGAAAAAAGTTGGGAACCACCGGTCTAATAACAGAGAAATTCTGAATCGGGTTTGCCACAATCTAAACTGTAACTAACAAGTAGCGCAAACACTTCTATCAACAATGAGAGGGAAACTGAAAGTGCCCTCTGTTGAAGTAGATTAGAGGATAGCAGTGGCATATTGTCAGTTCTTTGGGCATACTAGAATTAGTAGGTCAACAGTTTTCAGTGTCTTCATTCCCAATCCTTCCCCCGTAAAACCCAAACATTGTGATGGAAATGAATGCTTTGGGTTGTCACGTCTTTAAAATATTTAAAAGCATTCCATTTGAAAATAATTTTCAAGTAAAGCTTTGAATTTATTTGACTATAATATTTTCAACTTGAAAGGCCCACACAGGTTAATCAACAGTGGCTTATAGGGCTAAGGAGAAGTGTTGTGCCACAAATTCCCTCTTCTGTTTTTTTTCATGTGCCTTAATGCAAGGGTGTTTGTTAAAGCCACCATTTTTCATTGGGTCTAGGAAAGGGAAGGACAAGTTGTGTCATAACTGAAAATTGTGGTTTAAGTTCCAGTAACAATTCTGGCTTGCAAACTAAGATTGAACCATGGTTTCCAATTTTGGTTTGTCAGAGCTTAGACCACAGTTTCCTACCGTATATTTCGCTCCATAAGACGCACCTAGTTTTTTAGAGGACAAAAACAAGAAAAAAAATATTCTGAACGAAACAGTGGATGGATGATTTCACAAACATGTGATTTGACGGTGAGTTTGGGGTATCCCAATGCAAAAATCCTGAGTATCCATGTGGATCCGTGCTTTGTAACCATGTTTTTGCACCATTGCAACCCCATCCACAGTGGGTGCGTGATTTTTTTTGGTGCAGGCTGTAGCCATGGACATGCTACGTGATCTGATGGTGAAATTGGGGTGACCCAATGTAAAAATCCTGAGGATCCATGGGCTTTTACCTCACCACTCCCAGGCAGCCTCCTTTATTGCTAGCGTCCCTTATCTCCCTCCCAATCGCTTGCCCATCAGTGGCTTTGTTTCAACACCCCCTTCCCTCTTTCAAAAAAAAAGGGGAAAGCATGATCTGCTTTTTGCCTCTGGGCAATTCGGCTCCAGGGCCCACTAATCTGCTCCATAAGATGCACAAACATTTCCCCTTACTTTTTAGGAAGAAAAAAGTGCATCTTATGGAACGAAAAATACGGTAATTCAGAATGGTATCTCCCTATACCAAGGAATCTTTCACCAGCTTCTGGATTGCGATACCAATTAAGAGTTTGGGAAAGCAATAGTTTCTGGCCAGCAGGAAAGGGCAGAAAAATAATTTGCAGCCTGTTTTTATCTGGGGCACCGAGGATGTGTTGGAACTGGGCACGCAGAAGATGAAGCACATCTAGGTGCTGGCAGTTGGATTTAGAGTGTGTGGAGTTGCTTTCTACCATGGGGATGTCTATTTTTATTTATACACTGCTTTCTTGTAAAACAAAAACCATCCAAGTGGCTTACAACAAGTAAAACAGTAAAATCATGAAAAAAGCCACAACCCTATTTAAAACATACAACAGTTAAAATACTAAAACAGATGAAAATTACCCCAACTTTCTAAGCATCAGGTCGGTTTAGAAGCTGCTCTGATTGCATATATGTAAATACAGTAAAGCAAATAGGTATGGTGTACTTACAAACACCCTAGGTGCTCCATCAAAGGAGGCCCTGGAGCACATCATTGTTCCAGGAAGTGGGGAATGCAGAACAATATATTGGGTCTATCCTCACTTTCATTCCTTTTTTAATTCTAGTCTTAAAACATTGTTAGAAGTGTTCAAAGCTGGAAACTTGTTTTACAAAACTTTGTCTGGTTCTTCTTACTATGTACCACCTCCCTAGTATTAGGAATATGTTGTTTGGGCACTTTGTTAAACAAAGTGTTAGTATTTCTCTGGTGAATCATATTTATTATAAAATCTGATGGTGGGTTTACTTTCCCTCCAATACACATTTGTTTGATTGTTCATTTTGTTGGAAATATCCTTCCTGGAGCTCCAAAAGCATTTTATTTGCGTGGAAAGACCGTGACAGGTATCCTTCATCACTTGAAAATTAATGCATGAAAGTTTGTTTCTACAACAAAAATGTAATGCTAGCAGATATCATCAATTTTTGTGGTTGGTGTTGAGCTCTAGGGTCTCTTACTAAGCAAAGCAGGTTTTACTGCATTAAGTTGGGTGCCACAATCATACAAAACCATTGAAGTAGAAATTGCAATAAAAATTGCTATCAATCACACTTCTGAAGTGTACTTGATGTTTCATCAGATTTTTCTACCTGTTCTCCTTTATTCCAGTTGTCTAACTTGAGCTGTGAGCTTAAACACTGGAAAATAATTTAAGCTTCTAAGAGACTTGAGCGTGGTTTGAACATTTCTGTCTAAATGGCTCTCGTACTGTTGTCTCTCACATTTGCCCCTCTTGTTCCCCCCTTCATCCAAAAACCTAGTTTACAGGGCACGGTTGTGGGAGGGGATAACAACTTCTGTGCGCTAACTACGATTTATCTGCCAAGGACTGAAGGGTGCATTAAGTTTGTTACTATCCACCCTTCAGTAGTCTGAGGCAAAATAACTTGTGGCAGGATTTCAAAAGCTGTGTTACGGAAATCGAATTTTAGGGTAGTGGGTGCTTTAGGGAGAATGTTACTTCGGTTACTGGCTTTTTTCTACTTGGGGTGGGTAATGAGAGAATTTATCAAATTGCCATATGGCAAGTGTACAGTGGTGCCTCGCAAGACGAAATTAATCCGTTCCACGAGAGTCTTCGTCTAGCGGTTTTTTCGTCTTGCGAAGCAAGCCCATTGACGGATTAGCGCTATTAGCGCTATCAGCTGTTTAGCGGCTATTAAAGGCTTAAAGGCTTAGGGGATTAGCTGCTAAAAGGCTATTAAAGGCTATTAAAGGCTTAGCAGATTAGATAAAGGGGGGGGAAAGCGAAAATAAAATCTCAAGACTCGCAAGGTATTTTCGTCTTGCGAAGCAAGCCCATAGGGGAATTCGTCCTGCGAAGCAACTTCAAAACGGAAAACCCTTTCGTCTAGCGGTTTTTCCGTCTTGCGAGGCATTCGTCTTGCGGGGCACCACTGTACTTTGGTTTATTTTGGTTTACCCTTCCCCAAAGTCTTCTGTTCATTGTGCTGACCGAAAAACCTTACTTTTGAAGCTTTATGTCTTGGGAGCCCTGGGGGGGGGGGGGAAATACTATTCAGGTTGAGGCTGGTTCTGCTTATGTAAAGAGGCTTTCAAAGAGCATCTGCTGCAGATGGCTCCATAGGTCCTCTTCCTTTTGGCAGCCTTTGTCCTGGTGACATTTTTGTTTGTGAAGGAATTCCCTCCCATTTTCATCAGTATACAGTCGTACCTTGGAAGTTGAACGGAATCGGTTCCGGAAGTCCGTTCAACTTCCAAAACGTTCGGAAATCAAAGCGCGGCTTCTGATTGGCTGCAGGAAGCTCCTGCAGCCAATCAGAAGCTGCGCCGGACGTTCAGCTTCCGAAAATCGTTTGGAAACCAAAACACTCACTTCCAGGTTTCAATCATTTGGGAGCCGATTTGTTCGGGAGCTACGGTGTTTGAGTTCCAAGGTACGACTGTACTAACACTTTATACTGTTTTATTGGTAAAAGAAAAAATGACTATTACTCATACTTAATCTAAACACAACTACAAGGGCCCTTGATTAGGCATTTTATCTATGTGATATTGAATGATATCTTAATTTTCTTCTATCCTGTTTCCTTAATGTTACTGTTTTTATTTAAACCACTCCATGAACCAAGAACTTATACATTGAATGCTAATAATGAACCATAAGTTGTAGATCCTACTGCAATTTTTTTGTGCTATTTTGGTGATGTACAAATGACATGCGAATCTCATGGAATCCCATAGAACTGTAGAGTGGGAATCTAGCTCAACCCCTGGCAGTGCAGGAATCCTGCCCACAGCTGTCTCTGGTTATCATTTATTACTCCTATGATCCCTGCTTAGAAAGCCCAATAAAAAGTTACTGAAATAAAAATAAATAAAAAATAAAGGAAATGATGGCTTTGCAGATGTGTCAGTGGATAGCTGTTTCAATGCTGCTCCAAACCATAGTTTAATGAGATGTGCACAAAATGGAACAAGGCTTGGCAAGCGATGGTTTTGTGCACTCCTCTTTCCTCTCCCCCCGCATGGCTAAGAGGGAGGTGTTTGGAATTTTCATTTTCCAGTTTTGTTTAGTACAGCCTGTTTCATCTGAACTAACTGACTGGTTAGTAACGATGGTTTGTTTGAATCAAGCCAACTTGAAGCCATGGTTGAAGTTCCCATTGACTCCTGTGGGTGCTTTCCTCTAAATTCATATAGCCGATAAAGGCTGCACAAACCAGTTTGGAACCATAGCAGGAATTGTGTCACATTAGATAGCTCCTTTATCGAAGCAGTTTCCAGGAAGTTATAATAGACATTCTAAGGGAAAGCAACAGACAAATAGAAGAAGAGAAGAGTTTGGATTTGATACCCCGCTTTATCACTACCCGAAGGAGTCTCAAAGCGGCTAACATTCTCCTTTCCCTTCCTCCCCCACAACAAACACTCTGCGAGGTGAGTGGGGCTGAGAGACTTCAAAGAAGTGTGGCTAGCCCAAGGTCACCCAGCAGCTGCATGTGGAGGAGCGGGGAATCGAACCCGGTTCACCAGATTACGAGTCTACCACTCTTAACCACTACACCAGGTCTTCCACCACCTATTATTTGTAAATAGGTGTATGTGATAACTTTTCTAAATAACAGCTTTGTGACTTTCTTGCAGAGTTAATAACAGCTCTTCATACTTACTGCCAGCAATTGTTTATAAATGATAATAGGTTGACTAAATAACTACAGCTGAAAGGAATACAAGTCCATCCTTTCATTTCTTGAATGAACACTGGTTAGCAAACACTTTCCATTTTTGCTAACCATGGCCAGCTCTAAAGCAATAGACGTTAGAAGCAGTTTTGCAAACTGCTGTATGGGGTTAACCATGGTTAGCAAATCACCAGTGCAGATGGTTCACTCTGAAAATGAGAAAGTGCCTGAGATTTGCATGAGAAGCAAAAAGCTGTATAGTAGTCCTCATTACTTCCACTTGTATAAGAATTTGCACAAGTTGTTCTTTTCTTGCACAATGCTCTAGGAGGCAGAAGATGCCTTTTGCATGTAACACGGCACGTTTGGCTCCAACCCAGTGAGCGAGAGCTGTGCAAGAACGTGTTTAATATTCTTGTGCAGCTCCCATTCACTTCAGGGAGCTTTGCCCAGGATAAATTCCCATTGGATTGCACCAGTTGATAAGGTACACTTGTAAGTGAGTGACGATGTAAATAATATTTCTTTTCATAAACTTCCTCATCTTAATTATGGCCTTGTGATATTTAGCCACTGGTCTCAATCCCTTGTAGTAAACAAAGTGTGGCAGGATTTTTCCCCTGTGGTATCAAACGATATTTGTGCTGCCATCTGTCTTTGTTTATGTACAAGGTTTATGTGCACACATGGTTGATTTATTTTATTTTTTGCAGTAATTTTAGTTATAGGAATGATGCTTTTTGGCCTAATGAAGCGTTTGGTTCCCCTCGCCACCAGTCAAACTATATACAAATGTCGCACTGCATAAAGCTTAATGATTTTTCTCAGTCACATCTTCATCATCCAGCTTTTGACTCACTCTTGTTTGATGAAACTTTGCAATTTTCCTAGGCTAATCTTGCCCAACTCCTGAGTGATTCTCGGGATCGAAATAAGCATCTGGGAGATGAAATCAAAGAACTTGAGCAGAGGCTGGGAGAAGTCCAAGGGGACAACAAGGTATTGTACAAGTTGCATTTGAAAGTAAAAAGGTTATAGCTTTTGAAGTAATCTAGTCTCTCATTCAATTTGCATAACCGCAACCAAAGACAGTTTTGCCTGCAGTTTTCCAGATTGTGATCTATTGGTATTTAAATTGGAAGTCCAATCCAAAAAGAATTGATAACATCTATGCAACTTTTGCACTGTGCCTTTCATAGTGCTGTGTATGTGTTTGTAGCAGTTGCTCAGTATTCAAAACTCATAAATCCCAGAATAAAAATAGCAGTCCCTTATATTACAAAAGGGTTTTAATATATTGTATAATTATTATGCCACTTTTCTCGCAAAAGTGACCCGAAGCAACCTACAAAAACAATAAAACTAGTGTGGGGAAAAACACCCAATAAAAAATTTAAAAAACAACTATACAGATAAAGACAACCCTTCCCCACTAACAGAGGTCACAAATACTTGAAACTCTTCAAATTAAGGGCCAAAAGCCCAGGTTAAAAGGAAAATGTTTGCTGTACTTGAGCTTTGATCCTTTAAGGTAGATCCTTCACATTTTGGTTTGTATGTGCATACGTTTCAGGAGGTCTTAAAACTTCTTCAAAAAGGCATTACATTTCCCCCCTAGAGTTTTATCTGTTGACTCTCTAACAACTCATATCCCATTTGTAATCAAGTTCTTAATTGGCAGTTTTTCCACCCTAGTACTGTGTAGAATTCTCCCTCTTCAAACGCCCATTTCCTTCTGCAGAATATCATTTTATAGTTGGAGAATTCAAACAGCAGAGCTGATACTTTCGTATATGATATGATTCTGTTTCAAAGATTAAATGAGGAAAATATTAAAATGCAGTTAGTTCTGAGTGTCACAAACATTTCTGATGATACCTGAGAAAGGGTAAGGGGGCTTCTCTGGTTTGTTGTTTTCCTTCTCTCTTGAATGTAAGAAGCACTGGCTCCTGGCTCCATCTAAACCTAATCTAAGAATTGTAAAGTGGATGAGGCCATAAACTCCCCCACCTGCTCCATTAATCCCCTACTGCAATTTGCAAAATAACTTTCTATATATTGTGATTTAAAAGCCAAATATTTAGAAGCTTGACATACCCTTTATACTGCTGTTTTGAGTTAATCATTGCTGGCTTTCATAGTTTTAATTAGTGTTTCATAATAAATTATCACTAGAAGGCGAGGCAGATCACTTTCTGTTGTGATTTAGTATTTTCTTTTACTAGAAAATTAGTATTTTCAGTAAGTGCAGGCACCATTTTAAAAGGTCCATTATATGAGGAGTACATTCACATTTTGCTGCTTAAAAAGACAGATGGGAGGGTTCAAATATATACATATATATTACTTTTTTATTTTAAAACATTGCCTGCTAATCACCACTTTATAAATTCATTCCTAAATTTAGCAGTTTATATGGAACATTACTCGTAATTCTGGCACTAGGTATTAAACAAATGTCACTTGTCTGTGTTAACTAATATATATGAACTCAAATGCATTTAATAATCGTAGCTTTATCCATGTGCAAAGCGTTGAAAACCAGGATTTAATAGTGCAATCCAGAAAGTGCAAGATTAAGGAAAAACAGGATTTTAAAGCAGAGCAGCAGTCTTCATGGCTGCACTGACCGGGGCTGATGGGAATTGTAATCTGGAATAGCTGAGGAAAAGGCTTCACTAGTGCATAGGCAACATAAAGTTCAACAGTTTAGTGCTCAGGTAGGGAAAGAGGTCTACATTGCTTCCAATCTGACCTGCAGAGGCTTCCCATCTGCACCCCCCCCCCCCACTGCCATGTTCCCTGAAGCACTGTCTTTTAATTCACATCCATGTGATCAGAGCAGAGGCTTTGGCAGAGTTCTCAGCTGCAGGCTCCTATGCCAGGGAAGCAAATATAAGGCATATGGGACAAAGTATCTGAAATGTCTAAAGAGGAGACCCTGCTCAAATTTTTGTGTTGATTCTGAGAAGGAGAAATGTAAAGAGCCCCTTGTGTCTCAATCTGTATGGAAGAATGTTGCTGCTGAGCTTTTAGGCCTTGTTGTTTTTTAGTCGTTTAATTGTATCCGACTCTTTGTGACCCCATGGACCAGAGCACGCCAGACACTCGTGTCTTCCACTGCTTCCCGCAGTTTGGTCAAACTCATGTTAATAGCTTTGAGAACACTGTCTAACCATCTCGTCCTCTGCTGCCCCCTTCACCTTGTGCCCTCCATCTTTCCCAACATCAGGGTCTTTTCCAGGGAGTCTTCTCTTCTCATGAGGTGGCCAAAGTATTGGAGCCTCAGCTTCAGGATCCGTCCTTCCAGTGAGCACTTAGGGCTGATTTCCTTAAGAATGGATAGGTTTGATCTTCTTGCAGTCCATGGGACTCTCAAGAGTCTCCTCCAGCACCATAATTCAAAAGCATCAATTCTTTGGCGATCAGCCTTCTTTATGGTCTAGCTCTCACTTCCATACATCACTACTGGGAAAACCATAGTTTTAACTATACGGACCTTTGTCAGCAAGGTGATATCTCACCTTTTAAGATGCTGTCTAGGCCTTAGTTCAAAATACCATCCTGTTTAAAATACTTTGCTGCCATATATATTCATCATCATCAATCTTTATTACAGTCCAGAGACCCAACAAATCATTGCAAAGTAATACACAATTCATACAGCCTACCTTCAGGTTAAACAAGCATTTTGTTTAGAACAGGGGTGTCAAACTCAAATTCATCGGGGGCCGCATCAGCAGTTTGGTCACCCTCAAAGGGCCGGTTGTATCTATAGGACTCAATATGCGCTCAATATAAAAACAAGTGGAGGTTTCCTGAATGCATGTAAAGTGGAGGTTTCCTGTGTAGAACGGCCGGCGCCGCTAGAGGGCAGACGTTCTCTGGCTTGTAGGCTGCCGCACATGCGCTGAAGAGGCGGCTTTCTTGTGTCAAAAAAAAAAAAGCGAGAATAAAAAGTGAAGGCCGGCGGCGGCTACACAGGCCACATGACGAGGTCTGGCGGGCTGGATTTGGCCCGCGGGCCTTGTGTTTGACACCCGTGGTTTAGAATATAGGGATCATTTGTTCTTGCAACCACCGATAAAAACTTTGCCACTGCTAATGTTGTAGCATTTGTCCGGTCTTCCAGTAGGAACCTGACATAGTGAGCCTCTGATTTTCCCGGGAAAGGTACCAGCAAGGGTAGTATCAGTTCAGCCCTGGCTTGCTCATATTTTGCACAATGCAACAAAATATGTTTTATGGAATCGATGTCTTCAGCACACGAGCAAAGTCTGTCCTGGTATATATTCCCAACAATATATGGAAGAATAGAGCCAGCAGCCTGGTTCACACGTATCGAGACACTCTGGTTTGATTTTGTTTTGGTATAACTGGTTTGAACAAAGCACAGTTTCTCATATTCAGTCTAGCAAGAAACCAGTTTGTACCAAACTGCAATAGGAAGATTTAAACTTCCTCCCCTCTTGCATAAAGAAGGATGGTACATGGTTGAGGCTCATTGTGATGCAGTTGCTTATCTCTGTGAGTTGTTTGAGGATAAAATTGCTTGTTTCTGCTGGAACATCAGCTCCATTGTTATTGCAGATGAATTGTAAGAAGGGTCCAGATCACTGTCTAGTCTAGTTGTATTTGATGTGAACAAGGCAGTTGGTTTGATCTGGGACACCACGTGCTCTTGATCTTTGCCCATTATGGCTGAATAAAACTAGTAAGGAAGGGATGGCTGGCTGGTGATGAATTTCTTCTTGCAGGGGGATGAGGTGCCTGTCTACCTAAAGGTGCCAGTGGTAAGACCATAAGAAACCCTTGCAGAATTAAGAAAACCTAAATAACTATCAGCAGATTGCTAATAAACCTTCTTGAGTTCTTGAGCACTTGATTGTGGCCAGATCCCAGCTTTCTTGGAAAACTGATTATCTAGATCCATTTCAATCAGGGTTTAGGCCTCATTTTGTTGGATGACTGTTTTCAGAGTGTAGTGCCTGGGCAGTCTTATTTAGCCCCATGTGGGGTGCCACAAGAATCCATTTTATCCCCCATGCTGCTTAACATCTACATGACACTGCTGAGTGGAATCATCAGGAGTTTTGGTGTGTATTGTGAGCAATATGTGTGGCAATGGATGTAGTAAACCAACGTCTGGCCTCAGCAGTGAGCCAACAAACTGAAGCTTATTCCAGATCAGACTGAGGCACTGTTAGTGGGTTGTTTCCTAGACCACATGGGCAGGGCAGGGCCTGCTTTGAATGGGAGCTTACACGCCCTCTGAAGGTGCAGGTGCATAGTTTACGAGTACTTCTGGATTCACTACTATTGCAGTGGTGCAAAGTGCCTTTCATCAGTCATTCATTCAGTCATTCATTCTATTTGTATGGTGCTTTTCTGCACAGAAAAAAAATTATGCTCAATACAGCTTGCAACAAAGAAAACAGGAATAAATTTCAAACAAACACTACAAAAACAATTTCGTAATGACAACAAAACAATAACGTAATAACAATTTCATAATAACACCGCCAAACGATAGCAAATATAACAATATACAAACAACCACATTTGAATACTATAAATATAGCAAGATTGTATAAATGGCATACATAATCCGTTAGCAAAAATAACAAGGGAGGTTCACAGTTTCACCTTATTCCTCCCAGGATGTTGCTGGTGGCCCAGCTATGCCCCTATCTGGACAGAGAGAGCCTAGCTTCTGTTGCTTATGCTCTGTAACCTCTAGTTAGATTATTGGAATGTGTTATACATGGAGTTGCCTTTGAAGACAATTTGGAAACAGCAGCTGGTGCAGAATTCAGTGGCCAGGTTGCTGAATGGGACAATGTGGCAGAAATCCATTGGCAATTAGTTACTGAAGTCAATTCAAAGTGTTGATTTTGACCTATAAATACTCAAGGACTTTATACCCTAAGGACCACCACACTCCTTGAGAACCAACCCTGAACTTGTGTTTGTCATCTGATGCCCTTCTCCTTCTCCAAAGAAAGTGTGGAAGTTGGCAACATGAGAATGGTGCTCTCAGTGGTAACTTCCTGCTTGTGAATTGCTTTCCCATGGAGGTATGCCTGACTCACCGTTATTTATTTTTAGGACCCAGGAGAAAACATTTTTATTCACTTAGGCTCTATAGCCTTAATTTAGAGGGTATTGGGTCTATCCGTGGCCACCTTTTTGCTCATCTTTTTAGTGAGGTAGGTTGAGTTAGATCTGCCCTTTTATATGTATTATGGATGGGCATCTTAGGTTCCTATTACAGTTTTTATATTTAGTTTTAATGTTGCTTCTGTTTTTTTGTGAAAAAAAGCATTTAATAAATAATACAACAACAACAATAGGAAACCACTGTTTCCCAATAGGTCTGAACAAGATTAATGTTTTAGCTTATAGTGGCTAAATTTATCATAGGCCTGCTGTGCAGCACTTTTATAGAATTAAAAGAAACATGTAATGTTCAGCAATGAATTGCTTTCTGTGGTGGTAGTTTTAATATTTGCCAGTATCTCACATGTACAAGATTTGTGCACATTCGTTTTTCTCTGCAGAGTGTTCTGTTTAGAAGATCTTTCAAACTGAGAGTCCCAGCATGAGTTAAAACCTTGTTTGTTTACACTGGCATTAATCCTCAAGCTGAAACGCAGTGATGCCCCATTTGCATTCATGGATTCAACTTTAAGGATTGTAGCTAGGAGCTGGGTTTGCACATCACAGTAAGCCATAAACCATGGCTTACTGTGCATGAGTGAAGAATATCCACTTTGCTCCTTCCCACTCCATGATCTGCAGCCAACAAACCACAAACTGTAGCCAAGTTTTGTTCTTGTCTGACTGTACTGCTGATTGTAGTTTGTTGGAGCAAAAGAAATTACAGTCCCTGGTTTGGATGTCTAAGGTAGGGATCATTTCCTCCCAGCATACTAGCAGAGAGGAGACAAAAAGCCCAGATAGAAGTGTTCACAGCAAACCATAGTTATGTGCAAACTGGGATGCATCTTGTTCTTTCTTTTCTGAACTATGTATAAGAACCCAAAGCCAGTAAACTTTGGAGGGGAAAGCAGTGTGGTCTTATGTCTTGGCACAGATCTTTTTATTTATTTACATGTTTATAGACAGGAGGACAAATGGATGAGAAACAGCTGTCAGCATCGGCAGTGCTTGCCCGAGGCAAAACCCACAAAGCTTTTAGACTTCCACAACCTCTGAATACTTGAGCACTTCCAGCTTGTATAAAACTGCCTGTTTTATTTTCACCTTTAGCTTTTGCTATCTAATCTTAATTCATTTATTTGAGGCTTTGCCGACGAGAAAGTAAAAGGCTTTATTCTTTGTGATGAAATCTGATGTCAGTAGTGTGAAATCCCAGGGAGGGATAGCCTTTTGACTGCTTAAAATAATGATCAATCTGCTTCTTTCCTGGGTTGGAAGGGCATACACAGGCTCCAAAAAGTAAAAGAATATAAAAGAAAAAAATCTGCTTCAGTGGAGGCCAGATATCTGCCTGAGCAGATGGGAGGCTACTGCCACCAATCTTCACACTCGGGGGATCTTGTTGAGGACCACAAAACAGGGTGCTAAGGTGGTAGAACTGGGCCAGTGGCAGATCCACTGGATCCTATGCCATCCCATTGCCAGATGAATGCCCAATTTGGACCCCTCTCCTGTGCCAGCCTGAAGTTTCTAGATGATGGCCATGTTGTACCTCCACTGTCAGACTTGCTGGGAATTGCAAGTGTTCTGTATGTGAGCTTCCTATGGACCTCTGGTTGGCCACTGTGTGAGTAGGATCCTGGACTAGATGGGCCGTTGGCCTGATACGGAAGGCTCTTCTTATGTTCTTACGGGGGAAGGCATTTTAAAATGTGTGCCTTGAACCATTGGGTTCAGCAAAGCGAGCCCCGCTGCGCTGGCAGATTGTTAATTTTGTTGGAGTATTAGACAAAAGCACTGTAATAATAATTAAAGCATGCACACTCCCCAAAGAATAATTTCGGTATCGTTTTGATAGTTGTGCTTCTATCTGTTCCAAAGTGAATGCCCAGATGGTCTCTGCCAGTGTCACCTCTGGCAAGAGATGAGCAAGCAGCTGCTTTTGCAGCCTGAAAAGATGCTTTATGGGTGAACTCTGCCTGGATGTGTGATTCATACAGTTGTTTTTCCCCAAGCAAACTGGGCCATAGGAGTGGGAGGAGGAGGGGAAATACTTCAGTAGACATATCTATCAATAGGAGCAGAGGCATGGTTTTTACAGGGTTTGGGGGGATTTTAAGTTGTGCAGTTGCTTAAAAATACTTGATAATAACTAACCGAGAACTGAGTGAAGAATGTGCTTTAGCCAATGACCTTTTCGGCTGTGGCCAAAAAAACCCAAGTTCAAGAGGATTAAGTACAAAAGCAAATTAATTACATAATGTTATTTAAAAAAACACAACCTAGGCTTTTCATTTATTTGGTGCATCTCAAAAATGTTACAAAGCACCCAAAATCATTTTCTGGAAATCTGTTTGAAGAATTTGCAACAGCAGTTAACAGAATTGTGGTAGCACGCACACACTGCAGTTTGCAAGTTGAGTTCTAAGGCTGTTTATTTTTGTGACCGATCACAATCTCTTATCAGGCCTGACACACACCACCAGAACTGCTCCTGGATGCAGCTTGCCTGAGGTTTAAAGGTATCTTTGTTTCATGCCACCACAGACAGAATGTGCCTTTTGGACAATAAATGCAAAATACTAGAGAAATAAAAGTGTTTCCACTATTTCTGGGCTAGAAGATAGGAAAATCTGAAGTTTTCTGGAAGAACTGCTCAATAGTTCTGAGTCATCCGTAGTGAAGTATTATTTTGAGTAGGAGTGGCAGATTGGTTTTAGGGAGTGTGTTGTTCCTTGCGTTGTGAAGCAATGCTGGAAACATTAAATAATTTATTGTGCTTTAATACAAGAGAACTGCATCTTAGTTTACTTCCCAGCTTCTTTTCTCTGCTTCTAGACACATCTTTTCAGTTCTGATGATTTTGTTTTTTCCTCTTCCCCATCTCTTAAAGGAGCCTTACCTTCATGGTGAGAGAAAAAGATAAACAGCTTACTGGGGGAAGCTTAGAAGGGTTCCCCTTTTAACTAGGATTTAAAGCCACATTTTAACATTGGCTTTTTTCATCTCAATCCATTTGGAGCCCTACCCCAAAAAAGCTTTCATTATCTGCAGTTAAGATGGACATTAACTTGAGGAAGGTGAAATGTGCAGGTAGGGGTTGCAGAATTCCATGGTTGACTCCTAACATCCCCTTTGAAGTTAGAAGGCAGCCAGCATTGCATCTGCATCAGAGCACAGCTTCTGTCTTTTGTGTTCTTTCTTCTTCACAGTTTCTTCTAATTTTAAGCAAAGATTTGCTTTAGATGTACCCATTCCAGTTTAGGTCCCCTGAAAGCTACCAAGCAGCAAAAATTTACTGAGCAGGAAATAATAATCACCCGCCCTTCACCCTAAGGTCCTAGAGCAGGTTACAGCATTAAAACGTAATTTTAAAATCAGTTTGAAACAACTTATAATCGCAAAAATAAGGTGGGTTCTAAAATATATATACCTCAAGTGTCAAAAGCCAGAGGTGCATTTTCAGCATTCACTAGGAATTGTATACTAAAGTTGCTGGACACACAACTCTGAGAAGGCATTTCCACAGCTTAAGGGCTTTCGCAGAGAATTTGTTGTTGTTTAGTCGTGTCCAACTCTTCGTGACCCTATGGACCAGAGCACGCCAGGCACTCCTGTCTTCCACTGCCTCCCGCAGTTTGGTCAAACTCATGCTGGTAGCTTTGAGAACACTGTCCACCCATCTTGTCCTCTGTTGTCCCCTTCTCCTTGTGCCCTCCATCTTTCCCAACATCAGGGTCTTTTCCAGGGAGTCTTCTCATGAGGTGGCCAAAGTATTGGAGCCTCAGAATTCAAAAGCATCAATTCTTCAGCGATCAGCCTTCTTTATGGTCCAGCTCTCACTTCCATACATCGCTACTGGAAATGCCAACCCCCTAATCCCGAGCCTCTTGAGGGTGGAGTAAGAGAGCACTCTCTGCTGATCTCATAACCCGAGAGGGTCTGTAAGGAAGGAGGTGGTCCTTCAGATATTTGGGACCTGAGTCCTTTAGGGCTTTAAACACTAACATGAACACTTTGATTTGGGCCCAGAAACAAACTGGCAACCAGTGCAGCTGTTTTAAAATGGGTTATATGATACCTAAATGGAACCCCGGCCCCTAATCTTGCTGCTGTGTTATGGACCGGTTGAAGTTTCCGAGTTACCGTATTTTTCGCTCCATAAGACGCACCAGACCATAAGACGCACCTAGTTTTTGGAGGAGGAAAACAAGAAAAAAAATATTCTGAATCCCAGAAGCCAGAACAGCAAGAGGGATCGCTGCACAGCGAAAGCAGCAATCCCTCTTGCTGTTCTGGCTTCTGGGATAGCTGTGCAGCATGCATTCGCTCCATAAGACGCACACACATTTCCCCTTACTTTTTAGGAGGGAAAAAGTGAGTCTTATAGAGCAAAACATACAGTATCTTCAAGGAGAGCAGCTCCACACAGAGCACATTGCAACAATCCAATCTGGAAGTTACTAGAGCATGGATTACAGCGACCAAAAGGGGCCACTTCCCAGATGTGAGAACCTGGGCGCGCATAACACCCTTTGTCTTTTCAGGATTCAGCTTCAGTTTATTGGCCAACAGTCAAAGCATCAGTGTCTCCAAGCACTGGTCTAACACCTCTCCTGATTCAGATGAAACACACAGAGGGAGAGACCTCTCCCAATAAATGTCATCCAAACAGTCTACAAAGACAGTGCATGTGAGTGCATTACACTACTCCAGTCCAGTTGTAACTAAGGCATGCAGGAATGTGGCTTGGCCTGTCCTGTTTGGGAAAAGGTGGTTTACCAGTCTAGGCTTAGCAAAGACTCTCCTGGCTACAGCTGCCACCTTGGAAACCCAGGAGGAGCGTGGAATCCAAAATCCTGGTTTGCAGTTGTATGTCGTTTCCCCACATACCTTACATTCAAGCTGTTCGCAATCGTGCATAAGAGAAAGAACCCAAAACACAAGTAACAAGTCATTATCCATAATAATTATGAACTCAGTTTTCTGAGTGTTGGTCCATAGCTGAAACAGCACTGTGCACGTTCAAGAAGGACGTGTCATCAGGGCTGGAAGAGTCCCAAGGTTCGCATCAGTACAAAAAGCTTAGGGGGGGAAAACCCTAAGGGATGGACCCCCATAAGCTGGTAGGCTGTTGAATTGGGGGCTTGGACATGGAAGAACAACACCAGATCTGACCCACAAACGGCTAAAGAGATCACCTTACCAGAATTCCATCTGCAATAACGGCTACTTCTAAGGCTTCTGCTGTCAGATTAAAACTCGGGCTTGATTCTTTGACCACCAGCTTCTCTTAGTCCTCTTTTCAACCATCTTCCATTCATGTCTTTATTATTAGTAAAAATGTTTTTTAAAAAATAAATAAATTGGTGCTTAAAAACATACACATAACACCTTCCTCTTCTTCCCCATTTTTGCTGGCAGGGAATGCGAAAACAGCCCAATTTGCCAAAATGAAAGCAACGTGGGGGTCAATGCCTCATTGAGGCCTGCAAGTCAGTCACCCTGTGGAGCTTGTCAAATGAAGAATAGCAGCCACAGCAGCGTGGGCTTAATGGGGCTGAAGCAGAGGATCGCGGGTCATTTGCATCAGCAATATTTTAATTGGCCCATAGGTACTTAAGTGATTGGCATTCTGAAATTGCTTTAGGTAGCCTTAATATGTGATGCTCAATTTCAGAAGAGTGATCTTCTATTTCATGAAATATAATGATGTGCATTAATTCTGTAGCGCAGCTGCAAAATGTTAAGTCATGGGAGTTTTCACTGCAGATTTCTCATGCCTCTGCGTCAATTCTACAAATTGGACCACTGAGATGTAATTCTTTCTCTCTCCCAGCAATGCAGAATGTGGAGGGGGGAGGGTTGGAGTTAAATAGTTGCATCCACTATGGCCTCATCATTTTGTAGGTAACTTGCACACTTTATTTTCACTCCTTAAAACATTTTTGACGGTAGCTTTGAAAATGGTTGGCTCCGAATTGAGTTCATGCTAGTTTGAATACTTGCTATTGGAGAACACATAAACACTGGTGAAATATTTTGGTTTTTCATATTGGGTACATCTTGCCTGACACGGGCATTGATGAGGTTTTTTTAACTGCAGAGGTATTTTAGAATTCTCATTGTAAATAAACAGATTGCTGTGTCTGAAGCATTGAACAAAGCTGTACAAAAGGCAATCCCAGATTGAGGACTTCATTCACTGAAATTAGGTACTCAGTGGAACTTAGTTCTGAGTTAAGGGTAGCGGGTGGTGCTGTGGTCTAAATCGGTAAGCCTCTTGGGCTTGCCGATCGGAAGGTCGGCGGTTCAAATGCGCGTAGTGGATAGAGCTCCTGTTGCTCTGTCCCTGCTCCTGCCAACCTAGCAGTTCGAAAGCACACCAGTGCAAGTAGATAGATAGGTACCACTGTGTAAGAAAGGTAAACGGCATTTCCATTCTCTCTGGCACTCGTCCTGGTGTCCCATCATGCTGGCCACATGACTCGGAAAGCTGTGTGTGGACAAATGCCAGGTCCCTTGGCCTGAAGCGAGATAACCGTCCAGGGGTCCTTTGCCTTTATATTTTAGGCGGTAGGTATTTTTTAAAAGTGATAGTATGGATAGATTATTGCTACTACTGATAGGGAAGTTTAAGAAAATAATTATATGATCTATATGTGTGTTTAGTTGTTATTCTCATAATTGTCCTCCAGCTAAAACTGAAAGAAAGCCTGAGGGCTATTTGAGACATAACACTGACAAACACATAAGTGTCTAAGTGTGTTCTAGATTCCGGTAGGTAGCCATGTTGGTCTGATGGAGTCATATATATATATATATATCTCCAGTAGCACCTTAGAGACCAACTAAGTTTGTTCTTGGTATGAGCTTTCGTGTGCATGCACACTTCTTCAGATACTCTGAAACAGAAGTCACCAGACCCTTCTATATAGTGGGAGGATGGGGTGGGTTTTTTCTCAGGAAGGTAGTAGGAGATGGGTGATTGACTCAATGGGTATGGTCTAAGTGTGTATAAGTGCAGGGAGGGGCACATGGACAAGAATTGGGAGGGAATCTAGCCCTCCAGGTGATGCTAAACTACAACTCCCATCATTCCTGGGATGATGGCTGGGGCTGATGGGAATTGTTGTTTAGAAACATCTGGAGAGCTGCAGATTGCCATCTCTGGCCTAACCCTCAAACTGAATCCATTCTCCCCATGTGCTTTACTTGTAGTCAGGCTTGCTTCTGTTATCGTAACCCACCCAAGGGGAAAATGGGGTGCGGGCAGGTAAGATTTGAATAGGGAAGTTGTAAGTGGTGAGAAGATTGCCCCTCACATGTGCACACATTTGTTATAAAACAGGACTCGCAGACATACCGATCTGTATCATCATCATATATTTCTATATCCTGTTCTTCTGTTGATGTACTCACATAACCTAACAGCACAGATAAAAGAAAGTCCAATAAAATAAAATACAATAGAAATAAGTGCTTAAACAAAAACAACAATATTACACATGCTTTGTACATATTGGAGACAGATTTGGGTTTAAACACACTGTTCTGCTTCCACTACAACAGTGAGAAAAAGGGACATTTAGTGGCAAAACTGAGAGTAGTTCATGCATGAATGTGCATTGATTCATCACAGCAGAACATCTGAACTGTCACAATGTAAAAAGGATTTTGTATGAGACGATATTAAAGCTATTCCTTCGCTCTATGATTGATACTCTACACATAGAAGCCATTGCTTGATGTTGCCTAATGGGACAGACTTAATCACCTAGCATTGTGTTTCTTTCTATGGTAGATGAACAGGTGAGCATACTCCTTCAGTGCACCATATGGTAATGTATGAGGCTGTACCTGCGTACACCTAATTTGCATCTGGGTTCTTCCATTTGAGGTGAGATAACTGCACCCAGGCCTCCACACATCACCTTAAGTGTGTAGTACAGAGTTATGCAATGCTCACTTACTCTTCTACCAACCAGAGAGGATAGCTGGCCAGATAAATGTGTCTGATGGCATATATGGGTATCACACAGGTCAAGAGCCCATTTGGGGGGCCTGTGATTGGCTACAACTACCTGTTAAATCGACCACAGCAAACTATGGCAAGTTCTTAAAGAAATGTGAGTGCCTGATCACCTCATCTGTCTCCTGAGAAATCTCTATGTGGGACAAGAAGCCACAGTTAGAACCGGATATGGAACAACTGATTGGTTCAGAATTGGGAAAGGAGTACGACAAGGCTGTATATTGTCTCTCTGCTTATTTAACTTATATGCAGAATTCATCATGCGAAAGGCTGGGCTGCCGGAATCCCATGCCGGAATTAAGATTGCCGGAAGAAATATCAACAACCTCAGATATGCAGATGACACTACCTTGATGGCAGAAAGTGAGGAGGAATTAAAGAACCTTTTATTGAGGGTGAAAGAGGAGAGCGCAAAATATGGTCTGAATCTCAACATCAAAAAAACGAAGATCATGGCCACTGGTCCCAACACCTGGCAAATAGAAGGGGAAGAGATGGAGGCAGTGAGAGATTTTACTTTCTTGGGCTCCATGATCACTGCAGATGGTGACAGCAGCCACAAAGTTAAAAGACGCCTGCTTCTAGGGAGAAAAGCAATGACAAACCTAGACATCATCTTAAAAAGTAGAGACATCACCTTGCCAACAAAGGTCCGTAGAGTAAAAGCTATGGTTTTCCCCAATAGTGATGTATGGAAGTGAGAGCTGGCCCATAAAGAAGGCTGACCGCCGAAGAATTGATGCTTTTGAATTCTGGTGCTGGAGGAGACTCTTGAGAGTCCCATGGACTGCAAGAAGATCAAACCTCTCCATTCTTAAGGAAATCAGCCCTGAGTGCTCACTGGAAGGACAGATCGTGAAGCTGAGGCTCCAATACTTTGGCCACCTCATGAGAAGAGAAGACTCCCTGGAAAAGACCCTGATGTTGGGAAAGATTGAGGGCACAAGGCAAAGGGGACGACAGAGGACGAGATGGTTGGATAGTGTTCTCGAAGCTACCAGCATGAGTTTGACCAAACTGCAGGAGGCAGTGGAAGACAGAAGTGCCTGGCGTGCTCTGGTCCATGGGGTCATGAAGAGTCGGACACGACTAAACAACAACAGCCTGTTAAATGCATTGTTGGTGGTAAACCTAGGTTTATCTCTGTATATGTGTGTGGCAATCACACAGGGTTCCTGGACATTTGACGGTCTATTGATCCCTGTGGCACCACTGTGATTGCTTTCTCGCTGACACCAACCCGTTTCTCTTGGGTATGCACCGAGTCCAGACAGTTGTTAACATTAAAACAAATAATCAAGTTTATTTTATAAGCATGAACAAGTTTATGGTTTCATATAATTTTTCTTGTCAGTTTCTTATCCTTAGTTTCTATACCGGCCTATACCTTCCTGATAACTTCTAACTGATTATCCCAACTGTCTGTCTGACTCATCCTAACAGTTTCACTCACTCTCTCACATCAAAACTAGACCAATCCACAGACTTATCCTCCCTCTTCCTTCTCCAACTCCCAACTGACTTCCCAACAACTCTAACTATAACTTCTCCCCTTGGGTTCCCACTGGCCAATCACTTCACACTCATTTAACCCTTTCCTTATGACCCACCTAGGAGGGCAAACACCACAATGTGGAACATCCCTTATACTGCCTTCATTAACCCTCATTAAACTGCCTTAATTCAAGCACTAACTTGCTGGTGTTTCTTTCAGCTCCTTAGGATGACAATAGCTAAACAAAGACTCGGAGATGAGGAGGTGGGGGCACGCCACTTCGCACCACATGAACGTGAAGACCTGGTCCAGCAATTGGAGAAAGCACGAGAACAAGTACTTACCAATGAGCGTGGCTTATAATTGTACATCTGTTCCTGGTACCTCCAGAATATACTTTTGGATCTTGAGTTGTTTGTAGGTCAGAAGTAAAAACATATACAGTGGTACCTCGGGTTAGCTACTTAATTCGTTCCGGAGGTCCGTTCTTAACCTGAAACTGTTCTTAACCTGAAGCACCACTTTAGCTAATGGGGCCTCCCGCTGCTGCCGTGCCGCCGGAGCACGATTTCTGTTCTTATCCTGAAGCAAAGTTCGTTCTTAACCTGAAGCACTATTTCTGGGTTAGCAGAGTCTGTAACCTGAAACGTATGTAACCCGAGGTACCACTGTAAAGAGACATTCTGTATCAGGCCAGACATCATATCTTCTGACATCCAGTTACCTTACAGCATTTAGTTGGATGCTACCCAGAAGCCCACAAGCAAAGCATGAAATCCAAAATCCTCTCCAAATTCCTAACAGAATTTGTCTAGTTCCTTTCTAATGGCCATCGCTACACCTGGGCTTTGAATTTCATAAATAAATGTGTTGTGTGAAGAAGTATTTTCTTTTGGGACATAATCCAGTTTTAATAGTTCCCCTCCTGCCTATCGCTTCTGCTCAGCCTCCTCCCTTGCCTCAGCCAGGCTCCCTACCATAAGGAGAGGTGTAATTTGGGTATTAGGGACGCGGGTGGCGCTGTGGGTTAAACCGCAGAGCCTAGGGCTTGCCGATCAGAAGGTCGGCGGTTTGAATCCCTGCGACGGGGTGAGCTCCCATTGTTTAGTCCCTGCTCCTGCCAACCTAGCAGTTCGAAAGCACGAAGTGCAAGTAGATAAAAGGTAAACGGTACCTTTAATTTGGTGATTAACTTCTCTTTTTCAAAGCTTTGCTTGCAGAAACAGGTTATTTTGTACATAGGTTAATATAATATTCAACAGAATACAGTAATGCATTTGAGTTCTGGTTTTTTGTCAGATTGAGACTCTGCAACATGATCTTCAAGCAGCATTGGATGAACTACAGGATGTAAAAGAGGAGCGCTCTTCTTACCAAGATAAGTCTGACAGATTAAACCAGGAGCTTAACCATGTTCTTGGAGGACATGTAAACCGCATTATCGATATTGATGCTCTTTGTATGGAGAACAGGTGAGTTTGTTTAGAAATTGTTATAACTTATCGGGACAATGGGCCACATAGCATTCACAAGGGTCACCTCGAAACCTAAGTCGTTGCTAGTACAGTGGTACCTCGGGTTAAGTACTTAATTCGTTCCGGAGGTCTGTTCTTAACCTGAAGCACCACTTTAGCTAATGTGGCCTCCTGCTGCTGCCGCGCTGCCGGAGCATGATTTCTGTTCTTATCCTGAAGCAAAGTTCTTAACCTGAAGCACTATTTCTGGGTTAGCAGAGTCTGTAACCTGAATCGTTTGTAACCTGAAGCGTATGTGACCCGAGGTACCACTGTATTTTGCAGTTCTAAATTTTAGTTTAAAAGCAATAAGATACTCCAGAAGACTTTGGAGCCAAATTTGCACTACAAAGAATTTTTTCCTAAAAAAATAAAGCCAGTAACATACCATCAAGTGTAAGAAGCTATCACTGTTTCTTAAAAAGCCCCACCCAGCTGTTTAATTATGTGGGAAAGGTATTTGAGAGAATAGTGTGGCAATACTTTCAGGTTCTACAAAATATGGGGTTAGGCGCAAAGTTTATCTTAAGGATTAAATTAATTGTCACTAATCTGACTCCTTCAATTTGGGTCAATAAAACAAGGCTCGAGAAATACAGACTCCAGTGAGGTACCCGACAGAGTTGTCCACTGTCACCAATTTTATTCAACATTAAATTTTAAGGGGGGGTCTAGCTGGTAGCAAGACCACCATGAACTGAGCCAGGACCCTGGTGGGCTTGTTTTATAATGGGCTTAGCAAGGGATGGGTGAATCCTTCAGTTCACCATTGTAGCTTGAGTCCCCTCAGTTTTCGAGCTGCTAATTTATTCCAAGTTCAAGATGTTGCTTTTAGCGCATAAAACTTTTTAAAGCTTGCAGCCAGTTTACTTGAAGGATGACCTTTCCCCATGTATATCCATTTGACCGCTTCACTCTGCAGAACTGGCAGATTTACAAGTGCCACACAATGTTCACTCTGCACTTAGAAGGAATTGATCCTACACTCTGGAATTCCCTCCCCATTGATGCTGTGCCCTGTATTGTTTCCTGTGTCTGCTAAAAAACATTTTTAGGCAAGCCTGCTATAATGGTATGGGGTTGCTCGTGCATAAGTTGCCGCCTCTCCTGGCTATGTTGCCTTGTTAAACCTTTCTGTCTGGACAGCCCTTCAGTTCGTGGCTGCCTCAGTCGCTGGCAGAATCCGTCAGTGGGCGTTTCTTAAACCTTTTCCAACATAAAAGTTGTTTGACACCCAGTCTCCTCCTACTTTCTCTGCGCGGAAGTCTTCTGCGCAGGGAGGGCGTGGGTAGCGGAGGACCAGTGCTCTCCCCGCTGGTGTCCGGTGAAGAGTCTGGGAGCCCTCTCGCCGATTCCCCCATCTGCCCCTCCTTATTCCTGGTGTTGCACTGAATTGCTTCCCCATCTGCTGAGCTGCCTCTCTCCCTGCTGGGCCCTTCTCCAGCATCATTAGAGAGCCTTCCCTCCACCTCTAGCTCCGATGTCAGTTCCCTGACACCTACCCATCCATGTAAACTTGACATATACTTGATCATGAGATTTTATTTTATTATGGTATTTTTTTTAAGCTGCTGATTTTACTTACGCTTTGAAAATGTTTAGGTCAGCTTGTTTTTAAATTTTGGTTTTATTGATACTTTTAATGTATATTTTTTGTAAACCACATAGAGATTGTTGATGCTTAACCAGTACATTAATCCTGCTAATTAATTAAATAAGCAAATTACAAACTCCAGCTCTTTCACTATCTCTGCATTACTTTCTGTTACCTTTTAAAATGGCTCAATGGATAAACAGCTTCATGAAAGTAATATAGTCTGTTTTCTGACTTTCCAGATATCTTCATGAGAGATTAAAGCAAATTCAAGAAGAGGTCAACATTCTCAAATCAAATATTGTAAAGTATAAGGTAGATTTTGTTTTTGTGATATAATATGCAATCAGTTTCATTCATGTGTTTGTGGTGTGCACCTGTATTTATTTTCCATCTTGTTACACATTCAGAGAGTTGATTAGAAAGTAGATTCATTCACAAAAATACAGAGTGCCACACCTTTTCTGTGTTCATAGAGACCTTTAGGGTGATTTTAGTAACGGGAATTGACCTATTTTCTTTTACATAAAGGTTTTCAACATTATATGTTCTGCTAGTATTGGAAGGCTTAATCACAAACCCATAGTGATTAAAACATGTTTTATTTGCTTGTTAGAAAAGATCTCAATTAGCTTTATCCCCCATGAGAATGCAATTGCTACAGATGAAATTGCTGTAAAAGAATTCTGTACAATTATTCAGCTGCCCAAATCTGTTTAGATTTTTTTCAACAATAAAATGATTTATCCATCATGTTCAGTTGAAAGCGACCATTAATATTGCTTATGTATTCTGAAAATTACTCTTTTACTTATTGTTATTATTTAATTTATATGCCACTCTTCCTCCAAGGATCACAGGGTAGTTTACAATATAAAAACACCAAAAATACTTTTTATTGTGATATAGTGGGATATTTATTTTAGACTAATATCCAGGATGTCTGAAATCCTTTCCTATGTACCTCTGTTTTCTACTTAAGTTGGGTGTGAATATGTAGTAAAATAATCTTCCATTTGCCATAACCTTACAGACAACATGGATGCTGTGTTAAGTTACTCTTTGCTGGTGGTTACATATTCACACACAGTTTTTTAATAAATAAATAAATTTGGACAGTTTGAGGGACCAAAGTTTGATTTCTTAACCTCTCAGTCTAATCAAAAGTTTCGTCGACATTTTCTACTAAAAAAAACCACATTTTTTATATACTAAAACAAATTACCATTCTTTGATTGCTGTTTGTTTTAGAATGCACTAGAGAGGAGGAAAAATTCCAAGTCTCACAGCAAGTCAAATAGCAGTGCACTAACTGGAGTCCTTTCTGCTAAGCAAGGTACTGCATTGGTTTTTGTCTTGCCTTTTCTCTCCGAAAACTAAGAACTGCTATTCTGAGACTTCAGCAAAACAGCGAAGATTGTGTTCATGTGTTCATGTTCTCGCTTTGAGATACTGCAATAACTTTGAGCGATACAATGAACACCCTCAAAAGTCACCATTTCTGTGAGGGAAGCTAAGAACTGCTGTTCTGGGGCTTCAATGAAAACAGATCAAGGGGTTGCAGTAATAATGAATAGAATTTGATTCTTTCGCCACCCCCGATGTCTATTGATGTGTCATTTCCAGGCTTCTATCTCCATAAAACTAAGTCAGTATTTCTTTTGTTTTTATTTTTCCAGTCCAAGAGTTGTTATCAGAGGATCATGGATGCAGTCTGCCAGCCACACCACAGTCCATTTATGACCTTAAATCTTTGGCTACTGCTTTACTGGAGACAATCCATGAGAAAAACATGGTCATTCAGCATCAGAGGCAAACCAACAAGTAGGCACTTTCACAGAAACAAAGAATTGCAGAGTTGTAAGGGATCCTGAGGTTCATCTATTCCAGTCCCCTCTGCAATGCAAGAATATGCGGTTGTCCCATACGGGGTTCGAACTTTCAGTTGACTTAGTTTAAAATCTGCTTTGCATTTCGTTTTAAAGGCTTTTATCTTGGGGTATAGAGAAAACGCCAAACAGTGTGAATGTGTGTGTGCATCTTTATGTAATTGTGAAATTGTAGTCATTTTGCCGTTAACCCAGTGCATCAGTTTTGAGAGATACATATTGCTGACATCACCAGCATTATTAGCACCATCCACGTGCGTGGTGCTTTGCAAAGCATAAGAAGACAGGTCTGCGCCCTAAGAAGCTTATGGTCTAAAATCCAACATAGAGAAGCAGGAAGGACTCGGTGGCAGGGTTAATAAAGGAAAGAATATGCTGTTACATTCGTACCTTGTTTTGCGACTGGGATGCGTTCCAGAGCCCCGGGTGCTAGACGAAAAGGACGCACGACAAAGCGCCGCTCTGCACATGCACGCAGAGTGGTTTGCACTTCTGCGCATGCGCGAGAGGCAAACCCGGAAGTAATCCCTTCCGGTACTTCCGGTTTGCTGCGGACGTTCGACGAAATGGCCGCTTGACTCAAAACGAGGTACCACTGTATTTCAGTGGAAGTGCTTAGGTTTCGCTACTGGCTAAGATAAGGTTGGGCTTAGCATCTAAACCTGGGCATGTGGCTAAATTTGCTTTTCACTGACCACTAACCTCTCCATGTGGTCTGTAATTGTGTGAGCGAATGACCAGGTGGATAGAGCTACAATCTCAAGTAGGACTGTACTAGTGACAGTTCTGAACTCTGGAATTGCCCTGGGTGAATTCTGGGCAATATGTTACCAAAACCCTTGATGTTACATTTTTAACATTACTCACAATTGTGGCTTGATAAACACGAACGTGCATTCCTTCTTTAAGGTGTACTGTACAGTTCCGTTAGCATTACAGAGATAATTTCTTTCAAAATATTGATTTTTAAAAACTCTTTTCTTTCAAAATACACAATTTTTAAACTATAGGGGTATGGTTTTTTACTCACGAGCTGCATTGGAACAATTTAGGAAGTGTAAAATCAAGTTGCAGTGAGAAGTACACATTAGCACAAGATGTATAGATTAGGTCAGGGCACACTGGAATTCACAAAAATGGAGTTCCTCAAAACATCCTTAATTGCAGTCACTAGTAAATACATATTGCAATAATACAACATATTCCTTGTTACAGTAGTTGTCAAGTAAACTGCAGATTCCATAGGATTTGTTCATATGTAGACTGGATGTATGGTAACAAGAGATCAGTGGATTTGAGGCAAATATGCAGGAAGGCGTTCTGATTACCGTATTTTTCGCTATATAAGACGCACCAGACCACAAGACGCACCTAGTTTTTTGAGGAGGAAAACAAGAAAAAATATATTCTGAATCTCAGAAGCCAGAACAGCAAGAGGGATTGCTGCGCAGTGAAAGCAGCGATCCCTCTTGCTGTTCTGGCTTCTGGGATAGCTGCGCAGCCTGCATTCGCTCCATAAGACGCACACACACATTTTCCCTTATTTTTAAGGAGGAAAAAAGTGAGTCTTACAGAGCAAAAAATAGGGTAATTATGAAGGAGAAGTGAACCCGTTAATGTAGTCTGCAAATGTGGTGCAGAATACAAGCAAGTCCTGAGATTGTACACCCATTTCAGGAGTGGGTGGATTGCATGGGCATATCTCATATATATATATATTATTTCAGAATAATTTATGATATATTGGAGACGTTTTTAACCTGATGTGGAAAAAATATATGCATTTCACGTGAATTAATCTATATCATACGTTTAAATGTAAATTTGTGTATCACAAGCGAGTGTCTTCTGTCACGACACTGAATATCACCTATCATTGGATATTACCCATCAAACAGGGCACATGCCCATCCGTGGTGTGTTCCCTGCTTACTATACTTATAATTACATTTCATGGAACATTTTATCTTCATTTCAGAATCTTAGGCAATCGTGTAGCAGAACTGGAGAAAAAGTTGAGGACTTTAGAAGTCTCTGGTTTGTGGAGTCTTCCAGGTAAGTCAGAATTCATAGTCGTACTTAATTTGGGGGTATCTGAACATAAGGACATTTAAAAATGTGTATTTCATAAGAAACCTGCTGTTTACATTAGAAAATGCATTGTTTTCCTCATTTACTGCAGGGTTTGTTTTTTTAGTCTCTATAAGAAAAGTAATATGGAAATATTTTTACTGAACAAGAAACCTTTGTTTTCTTTCACACATAACAGTTAGATTTTTCTGAAATGAAAGCCTTTTAAAGGTTCTTTGACAACATAATTAATGATGTGTTACATTTATCAATCACATCTTGCCACATAATTTTTCTGAACATGTAGGCTTCTCAGACTTAAGGAGAAAAACTACCTGGGGATGCCACCAGGAGATTGCCCGTGATCTCTCTCTCTATGTGAAAACTTTGTCCTTCCAATAAAAGCTTTCCAGGGATAAGGGCCTTTTTGACACAGAAGACTTCAAACATACAATTCTGTAGTAGTTTAGTTTCAGGAGAGCTGTGAGTTAGGATTTATTTTAAATTCTTCACCATGCAGATGTCCCTAAAGCATAGTAAGAACATGGGAAATGAAAGCTAAAACGATTCTAACAATGAAGTCCCTATGCATGTGCATTTAGAACTGAATCTCACCGGGTTGTGATGCTCAAAGTAGAGCCGTTGTAATCAGTAGGCTTTTCTCACTGAAGTCCATTGATTTCAGTGGCTCTGAGGGCGAATTGGTTGGACAAAGTCCATTGAGTTCAGTGAGACTTAACTTCCCAGCAAGTATTTACAGACAGCAACCATTTGCGTGTCTGCCGACACACAGGTCCTTTTGGACCCGGGAGAGAGCAGAACAGGCCTGTGCAACGTATTGATACAACACCCGGGACCTGTATGAGGGGCAGACCACGATGGCAGCTTTAAAAAAGGTAAAGGGACCCCTGACCATTAGGTCCAGTTGTGACTGACTCTGGGGTTGTGGCACTCATCTCGCTTTATTGGCCGAGGGAGCCAGCGTACAGCTTCCGGGTCATGTGGCCAGCATGACTAAGCCACTTCTGGCGAACCAGAACAGCGCATGGAAACGCCGTTTACCTTCCCGCCGGAGCGGTACCTATTTATCTAATTGCACTTTGGTGTGCTTTTGAACTGCTAGGTTGGCAAGACCAAGGACCGAGCAACGGGAGCTCATTCCGTCGTGGGGATTCGAACCGCTGACCTTCTGATCGGCAAGTCCTAGGCTCTGTGGTTTAACCCACAGCGCCACCCGCGTCCCAGCAGTATATTGCGGATGAAACCAACACCGCTTCTGCCTCCCTCTGTGATCAGCACCACTTTCAACATCAAGCCTCTAGCAGCAGAGGGACAGGAGCAGCAGTGGTTTCACCCACAATATACTGCCAGGTGAAGCCGCCATCGCAATCTGCCCCTCATACCGCAGAGGGAGGAGAAAGCTGTATCGCGCACCCCTCAAGTGAGCAAGCCTTGATGCCTTGTGTGCAAGCTCGAGAGGCCTGCAGCTCGCTCAGCTGGGGTTCAGGAATTATTATTATTATTATTATTATTATTATTATTATTTATACCCTGCCCTCCCTAGCCAAGACCGGGCTCAGGGCGGCTAACACCAGGTATAAAAACAATTGATTAAAATACAACTTAAAAACAAGATTAAAATAGAACATTAAAATGCAGCCTCATTTCAGTAGAAACTGAAATCAAGAACAGTGGAAAGCTCAGCTGGGGGGGGGGGGACCCTTTTTGCTCCCCACCTGAGCCACACAAAAAAGCTGCACCATTCCCAGCCCACGAGTCATTGGGGTGAAAGCACCTCAGCCCCCGCCCCCCCAGTGAGAGCTGAGGCAGTTTTCACCCCGCACCTTGCGTGCTGTGGCCGATGCAACTTGTTCTTTTAACATTGCGGTGTATCCGCAGATCCCGATGGCTGGCGATAAATCGCGATGTTGAAAACCTGGCATTGCTCGGCCCTCCCACTGACATGCACAGGGGTCAGGAACGGAATCCCCATGCAAAATGGTCACCGCCTGTATAGGATTGCAGTGTCCCCCCTAATTTTATTCTACTTCAAACATATTCCTGAAATTCGCTTTACAAATTGTGCCTTCTTGTTAGGACAATGTATTTGCTATGCAGATCAACATTTTTATTTTTATTCTGTTGCAATCTGGAGAGTGCTACATTGGCTGCCTCTAGCATAGTCGGTATAGGCTGCAGAATGTATATTGTTCATGGCACAGACTTATTGATAAACTTTGCTGCATAGTATGCACATCCTTGAGAATTGTCGTGTCTATGGAGGACATCAGCATTTTGAGGAGTGTTTAGTTCACATGACGGAACAGTTAACAGTTAATGGCTATGCTGAATGTTTGACTCTTGATTTTCAGTACAAAAGCAATGTTGGCTATGTGTGTGTAAATTTCTTCTTGGAAAGATCACACATAATCATTCACCTTTTGTGTTTGTAGCCATTTTCTCTGGTCAGCTACAGGTTCAGTCCATTTCTTTTTAAAAAAGAAAAACTTCTTTCTTTTTTTTAGCATGACCCCAACCAACAGGGAACATATAGAAGGTGTGATAACATAACTCTGTGCTTATCTCAGTGACAAAAGAAGGGTGAGGTCATTTAGAGTGAGGTCAAGTCCTTCCTGGCCTGGTCAGATAGCGATCTCAAACTGGCTGATCACAACTTCCCTCTATCGAGTTCATCACCATGATGGTTGTCAAGCATAAATAATGAATGGTCTAGAAATTTGCTTATGCACTATCTCAGTGGACCTCAGAATCAAGAGCCTTGCTGTAATTGCCTATTGGTTGACTATGTAAGAACACTCAAATTGATGGAATAGGGCATATAATGTAGCTATAATAAGGTATATAAAATATTATCAGTGTGGAACTGCTGAACTTTTCAGCCTGGAAACTATTGAAACTGACATTTTTCTCCAAGAAAATGCTTTCACTAAACTGTAGACTCTTTTCATAACTCCTATATAGTTTTCTCTGCCTTTATGGCCTTTAATATCAAAAGTTAGCATATGACTAAGAATATCTTACCTAGCGTATTTTATTGCATGCCTGAATGCATTTTGTTTTGTCCCTGATCTATTCAGAAGCTCTGACATCCATAAATCGCTTTTGCCGCTTGCTTTCATAAATCCAAAAAAAATGAATATTTAGATGAGGTTGAGAAGTGCAGATCCAGTAAACGAATTTTGTTTTACTGGACTGACTGGTTGTTATCACTTCTGAACTATGTTCTCTCTTCTGCAAGCATAGATGCTCAGAGCAGGAGTAAGATTAAAATTAGGTGTTAGCCTCCCCATCGTTAATTTGATGTGTGTTCAGTCGCTTAGAGGAAAGAAAGCAGGAAGCCATAGCAATCCTAAGAAACCTTACCCTGGAACTCAATGATAGGGCTAGCAGTGGCACACAGCATGCAGTAGCTTGTCAGGCCACATGTACCTTAGCAGGACTCAGCAGTGCTGCTTTCAACCCTACCAGCCCATTCAGTCTCCTGGCTATGAGTTTACCTGGTAGCCGTGGTAATGCTCTAGTTCAGGGGTTGGCAAGGTTTACCTCGCCTGGGCCAATTCACTCCAGCGGAGATCCCTCTGTGGCTGGATCGCGCGCGCGCCTGCCTAAGTGCGCGTGCACGCAATTTCTGGTGTCTGCACAGATGCAATTTTCTGCATCTGCGCTGACGCGATTTCCTGCGCCACGGAAGTGAGGCACCACGGTGCGCCAGTTTAGTGCAGTGTGCAGGGACTTGCTGAGCGGGCTGTTTGGTTCAGGGGCAACTCGTGGGCCGGTTAAATGACCCCCTTGGGCCGCTTGTGGCCCATGGGCCTTAGGTTGCCTACCCCTGCTCTAGTTTCCACCTGCCATTTTGAATTTCCCACAGTGCCCTGGTGGGGAATATTTTTGGCCTGGTGGACTAGATCTCTTATCTTCCCCGCCTCACCAACAAGTGGGTGGGACCAGTCACCTGTCAAGCATCTGTTGTCATATTGACATTGGGCGATTGATCGGTGGGGGGCCCCATCCACCTGACAAAGCTGGACTGCTGGAGTAGAGAGGTGATAACTACATAAAGCAGCGTTGAACTTCCCACACACCAGCTGATGCACAGTGAGTTCAAGTCTCGATTTATGCAGGATTCAGGCAGCTAATTTCAGCTACTGGATATGTACCCATAGCAAGCAGGATTGAATTGTGGTCTTCTATATGCATCTAGGATACTGTTGTTGTTGTTGCTTTTTTAAAAAAGGGAAAGAAACAACAACCAGCAACTCCAAAACATAAATTCAGACCACACTCACACCTATGATCTTCCCCTGAAGACTGGAATATACAGACCAGGAAATTTATATAGCCCACGTGATCATTTTAAGTATATATTTCTGCTCTTAATTCTACTCCACTTGCTTTAGTTATTTCTTTTCTACTGCTATATTTCATTTTATAATTGATTACAGGGGACATAATCTCCCTTCAGTAAACCAGAGTGCCACTCCTCCAGATAGCTTCATCTTTGTTAATAAACTCCATGTTTCCTTTTCTGTAGATTATAGCCCAGGTCTTCTTGGTGCAAGCTCCTACAGGCCTTGTGAAATTGCATTTCCTTGCAGCCAGGGTGTGATGCCTTGCCTCCTACACTATCCATACTCTTGTTTCCGTTGCAAGATTGCAGGACTAAACTTTGTGCATTGATTGAGGCTTCCAACTAGGCTAATGAGTGTGAAGTTGTGCTCACATTAGTGAGAGCCCCTTCTTGGATGCTTGAGATTGGGATCAGGGCAATGACAGCCTTGCAATTAGGGCTGTGCTTTGACTCAGTTCTAAGGGCCACTCCTGCTTCCCTCTTTCTCTGCCCCAAGGCTAACGAAGTTAACCTGGGCTCCTCTGGGGGAAAGGCAGGGTGCAAATTTAGACATAACAACAACAGATCAGGACAGGGGGACACAGAACTGCTAGGTGACCCCAGCAGATCATCCCTTCTTGTTGTGGACCAAGACTACATCCCAGAATCTTCAGCTGAAAACTGACACTGTGTTTTCATTTCCTTTGGAGTCTTAACCTTGTTGAGAATGGCACACATGGCATCAGTTGCCTTTGGAGTCTTAACCTTGTTGAGAATGGCACACATGGCATCAGTTTCCTCCTGAGGATTCTGGGATTTGTAGTTGAAATCTCTGGCCAGGAAAAAAATGTCCTGTACGGACTTTGTGAAAGCACACCACCACTTTTGCCACCCCTCCCACACGGTAACTTACTTGGTTGGTTTTGATTATATACCTTCCTCTGACCCTTCTGATTCTGCTCAGACCGATGCCTGTTTTGATACATGTTTGAACCCCTGTGTATTTTGATCTGCACAGCCGCTTCTGGCCTACTTGGTCTGCCAGCTAGCTCACCCCAGAACCTGTCTTCCTGAAGCTTGACCTTTTCCATGGCCTGACAACCATTGTTCCTTGAATCTTGATTAAGATCCCAAACCTGGATTGAAACCAAAGTTGAGCTTGCTCACCTGCCCTGTTCTCAGTGTATGTGTATCTTGCAAGCGAAAATGACTTAACCATGGTTTGCTTGGTAGAGATACAAGACTTAAACATGGTGACTGCAGAGCATGATAAACAGACCCACCTCAAACCATGGTTTTGCATCTTGGCTTGTATTCAATTGCTGCTCACACTCTAGGGTTTGGTCTTCTGTTTCAAGTAGCCCACAATCCACTAAATAAAGTGTTTTGGCCTTTAAAACAGAACACTGGCAAAAGACAGACGATGGTTTTAGAATACCTTTGTTCTATTATTTCTGTTTAGGCATCAAATTAATATTTATATAATAATTTTTCTTTCCTTCCTTTTTTTCTTGCTGCCTGAAGGCCTGAGCTACAATGTCTCAGTGGGATTTGGGAGTAGGTTCTGTTTGACATATGTATTTTTAGTAACTAATCTTAGCGGTGCATTAAATATTGTCACTGCATGTAAATAAATGGAAATGTTATCTGAATGTTTTTCTATATCTGTCAGATTAAGATGTTCAACCGAGTAAGTTAGATGGCCACAAGAGAAATACAGAACACTGTAAAATTATTTTTAATTGGGAGAAATGGTAATAAGGAAGGATACGAGCTAGTGCTGAATATAATCACGGGTTGTGCAGAACGATGTGATTTTGTAGCTTTTTTATATAAAAAAAAATGACAAGCAGTAAGTCGAGACAATTTCCCCCCTTTAACTCAGCAATTATGAGTATGGATATCACCCAGTGTCGCTACTTACATTTTAATTCCGTGAGTGTTGCTATCTGGTTTATGCATTTCAGATCCAAACATCATGGAACCCAAAGACACTGATGGTAAATGGAGAAGGCGGACATGCCGAACCCATTCAGGGTTTCTACATCCCTCACATATTGAAGGACAGCAGGGATGCTAGAGAACAAGCTTTGCATGTAGAAAGTTCCAAGATTTATCCCTCGCACCCCCAATTAAATAACCAGAATAGATAGACCAAGGGGTGGCTCAATATAGTACACATTTTTAATGTACACATTTTTTTAGTAGGATAGGGAAGGTGGCAAAGTCGCCCTTTTGGGGAGGCCGTTTTTGACAGTATCCCTGTGACAAGAACTTAAGATGAGATAAGAGGAACCTAATTTAATTAATACTTGAGTTAAAATGTTTCTTACTTTAGCCATTCAAAATACTGATTCAGATATTTGGAGTGTGACACATGCTAAGCCAGTACAGTGGTGCCTCGCAAGACGAAATTAATTCGTTCTGCGAGTTTTTTCGTCTTGCGAGTTTCTTCGTCTTGCGAAGCACAGTTTAATTTTTTTCAAAAAAATCTTCAAAAACCTCAAAAAAGGCTACCACACTATGAGTTGCTATGAGTTGCTCCCCGAAGTCAAGTCGCAACTACACCTCTTCAAGCAATGCACCCTGTATTACTGTAACGGTTTTAAGAAAAAGGAAACAAACTTGCAAGACGTTTCCGTCTTGCGAAGCAAGCCCATAGGGAAATTCGTCTCGTGAAGCAACTAAAAAAACCAAAAACTCTTTCGTCTTGCGAGTTTTTCGTCTTGCGAGGCATTCGTCTTGCGAGGTACCACTGTACGTAGATAAAAACAAACAAAAAGTCTCCTTTTATCCAAGCATTTGAATCAAGCCAATTTAACTTTTCTTTTCTTTTTGAAGATTAATGAGTTGGTTCCTGCTTTCCTCTTTCATTTGTTAGATCTTTAATTTTAATTAGGACCAGATTCTTGTATGTTCCTCCATCCAGTCTTGTAAAGGAAATGTGTTGTGTAAGGTAAAGGTACCCCTGACCGTTAGGTCCAGTCATGGATGACTCTGGGGTTCCATGCTCATCTTGCTTTACTGGCCAAGGGAGCCAGTGTACAGTTTCCAGGTCATGTGGCCAGCATGACTAAGCCGCTTCTGGCGAACCAGAGCAGCACACGGAAACGCCGTTTACCTTCCCGCCGGAGCGGTACCTATTTATCTACTTGCACTTTGACGTGCTTTTGAACTGCTAGGTTGGCAGGAGCAGGGACCAAGCAACAGAAGCTCACCCCGTCACGGGGATTTGAACCACCGACCTTCCAATCAGCAAGCCCTAGGCTCAGTGGTTTAGACCACAGCGCCACCCGCGTCCCGTATAATGTGTTACATAGTAAAACTGAAAAACCTCATCATTAGTCTTTGGAGACCAGGATTAATACCTTCCCTTCAGCATCCATCCCCCCCCCCCCACACAAGCAGAGGGAATTTCCCTCTAGTTTTCTAATGAAGTTACCAAACTATGTTTACATGTGCTAAACCATACAGAATAGACACACATAATGAACGAGGCAACAGAAAAGTAAAGCTGCTCAGCCTTCTGCTCTCATTTAGAAGTGATAAATGAGAAGCCTGTAGGACTCTACACCATGCCAACATTGCCCCACTTTCAGGAAGGGGTGACACTTGCGCAGGGAAGAACCCTGGTATAGCAGCCTCTACTGGAGTCGGTAAACATTGATGGAGAGAGGGCATAATGCATTGTCAGGCAATAGATCTCCCTAGAATACTTTCGGGGTCGCTGTTTTAATACAGAAACAGTAGTATAGCTATTCTGAGGGACTAGCTATGTGTTGCATGCAAACACATGAAACAGAGGTGGTGCACTTTGTTCCTAAAAAAAGAAGGAAGTAGCAGGGGAATAAATAAAAAAAACACTTTTGGCTTCCTAGTACATTATCATGGTTAGAGGCATATGAAAGCAGGCGTTTTTTAATGGTTTAAATCAGGGGTCAGCAAACTTTTTCAGCAGGGGTCCGCTCCACTGTCCCTCAGACCTTGTGGGGGGCTGGACTATATTTTGAAGGGGGGGGGATGAACAAATTCCTATGCCTCACAAATAACCCAAAGATGCATTTCAAATAATAGGACACACGCTGATTCCCGGACCGTCCGTGGGCCGGATTTAGAAGGCGATTGGGCTGGATCCAGCCCCCGGGCCTTAGATTGCCTACCCATGGTTTAAATGGTGCATGCTTTAAGGGACCACAAAATTTGCAACACATTGGGAGACACATAGGAACAGTAACATTTTAAAAGGTAAAACTGAATGTCAATTTTGGAGGGTCTTGGCACGCTACAAAAAGACTCTTGACCCATCCGTCCCAGCTGTGTAGGCATTTGCTTGTTTCTCTATCAGAAGGTTTGGGAATGAAGGCTTTGGAATGAAACAAGCTTGATTTTTAAGAGGGCAAAGTCCAATACAGACTTAATGAAGGACTCATTCAGAATGCTCCAAGATAAAAGCAGAAGAAAACAAATTTTGGTTTTAGAAATCATGGCCTGCAAAAGCAAAAGTCAAACATCCTACAAAAATAAGGAGTTAAAAAGGTCCAAGTACTGCTGTAATAAGAATTTCTCATTAATTGGACAGTGGGTCTAAATAAATAGGTGGTAGCAGTAAAATAACAATACTGTAGTCTCACGGCACCATTATCTCAGTAATCTCTTCAACAGCCCAGAAAATCCATTTTTACCTAAGCCCACCCAGCAAGTTCAAAGGTGATATGATATTTGTACTTGAAATCCATAGCATATGCTGTTCCCCATCCACACTCCACCCCTAGCTTGAATTTGCTAATCTATATTGCAGTTGTCAGATATCCATCGTCCATTAAAATGATTTTTATAAATCCTGATAGTATCTAGTATATTTCACCTAAGATGCTTGTATTAGTAGGTGCTGTGGTAGAAATTTCCCAAAACGCTCTTGCAATATATTCTTACACAGATTGGTATCTTATTCTAATCTTCTGTAAATGCAAGTCTGGTTTTTCAGGCCTCTTCTGATAAACCAGCTTGTGCTCATTGGTTTGGTTTTTCAAAGTAGCCCCCTGGCTGACTACCCATTGAAATATACCCAGTGGAGGTATACCCAGATTACTCCTCCCGTCTAAATGTTGCCTATTACCGCTTTTTCCTTTCCGTAAGGCTACATTTTTGTCCACTTCCCTCCCCCCACCCCATATGAACTATACACAAGCGCCTCAAGATGTGTAAATCATAGGTAGGTCAAAATAGGAGCAACCTCAAAGCAGTATCTTTAATTGTCACAGGAATAATGCTTTTGCACCAGCTTCCTGTTTAAAATAGGCCCTGTATATTGGAAATTCAGCATTTCCAGGATGGTTGTAAGAAAAGGATCCTAGATATATGTTTGTGTGCATTTGTACATATGTGCATGAATTCCTGTCCATGGATCTGACTTCAAAAAACATTCGTTTTTCAGGAAAGCCATTTCTCTGTTCCTCTTCTGGCATGCTAAGTAAACATGTGGGAGGGAGGCATTGAATGAGCATGTTAACACCATTCTGATCAACCTCCAACTCGAGGAACTCAGTGGGAGGAACTTCCTGTTTCTAATGGAGGTTCCCTGCGTGCTTTAGAAACCTGGAGAATCAGAGCAGCAACTGAGAAGCAGACCTTGAGTGTTTGTTCCCATTCCCCACCCCCATGTTTGCTTATCATGTAGGTTGAATGCCTGAAGAGGAATTCTGTGAACCTAAGATCTAAACAGATATATTATCTGTATCAGTATTACTCTTTACACAGAAGATAATTCCATAATTTCTGATAGGGTTGGGTTGCAGTTGAACGCATCTAGCTTGTGATTTATTTCTTTAAATTATTGTCAAATGAGGAAACCACATCTTTTAACCAGATGTGCTCATACAAAATGGTCTCATTGGGTTTAATGCAGTTGAGCTGTAGTACATATTTTGGCTCATAGCATAGCTTTTCCTTTTCTGTAGAGCAGAGCTACTAAAATATGCCTGTTGGGTGTATACAACGTGTTTATTTAAATGTAGCCTCACTGTTTAAAACGTTGCATTAGTAAATTTTTCAGTTGTGTTGGAGAGTTAATGTTTCCATGCCCTCTTGCTCGCAGGTGGCAAGGATACCATTACATTCAGTGACCCGGCTATGCCTATTATCCAGAGGTCTCGATCACCATTGCTATCTTTTGCAGATAAGCCACAGCAGAAGACAGAAGGTAAGCATCTAGAGTCATAACAAAAGGCTGGCGTAGGGCGATTCGTCTCTTGTGCCACCGAGTTTGAATGTGTAGGGGAAAATAAGGATGAAACTGTTTAGAGATACCTGCATTGTCTCATTTTTGCACCACCAGAATAGCATGGGAAACAAGCCCATGGCCACGGGACAGGAAACAATACTCAGTGGTGGCTGGTGAGGCAGTGGTGTGTGTGTGTGTGTCTGTCACTCTCCTGGCTCATAGCTGTCAAGTGTCCCTTATTTGGCGGGACAGTCCCTTATCCCAGCGCCATGTCCCGCTGCTGTCCTTTATTGATGAGGCTTCATTTGGCTGCTGGCTGGGCTTTCTAAAGCCTTTGGCTCAGAGGGGCTCAGAAGTTGAACATACCTGTGCCCGGAAAATCCCTTCCTTTGACTGCTGATCCCTTATTTTCGAGGCTGCTGGTCCCTTATTTTCAAATCTGTAAGTTGACTGCTATGTCCTGGCTTCCAACAACGTGGGTCACTGCCACCTACCAAGAGGGTGAGTTATGGTGCAGCATTGTAGCTCCTGTCACCATGTACCACAGTGAGCTTCCCAAACTTTGCGCCTCTCTGTAAGCAGCAGCGAGTCACTGTGTTGGGAAGATGGGAGAGCAACAGAGTGTCGGGATCTCCGCTCGGCCAAGCTGATAAAGCTCATTTTCTTCCCCCGAGTCCTTCGGAATCGCCTCCTGCTTAACAACCTGAGCCTTTGATAAGGCCTCAGGCACATTCTTCAGCAGAGTTTCCAGCACAGGAAAGAGACGAGAGGTTTGGGCTACATTGCAAAGAGTTTTATTTCTAAGCTACGCAGACAGAAAAGACATCCTCTCTCTATGAAAGCAGAGAGCAACTGAACAAAGGAACAGGAAACCACTAACGTCACATCCCGTCTCCTCTCCTGTGAGGCTTCCAACAGCCTGGAAGGTCTCTGGAATGTAAACAGAGCCTTGTGACTCCAAGCAGCTGCACAGTGATAAGAACAGAAACTAACACAGAGTGCCCAATTTTTGCACGATCCAATCCAGAATTTGGGTGATCACTTGCAAGAGTAGGAACGGCAGAACAGACTCCTCCTATGCGGGTTGGGGCTTTTCATGTTGCTCTTGTGGTAGCCGTGCTGTAGTAATTCACCTGCTGCCACTGCGGTTTAAGGAGACCGCATTCTGCAGAATGGCATGGCGGTCTGGAAGGGGTAGAATTCTGAGTCATGCTGCTTTAGCCCAGAGGCAGGACGTCACTTCGGAAAAGTCCCTGCACAAATTAAAGCACCACATCAGGGAGAAAGGTTTGGCATGGCCCTCCCCATGATGTGGTAGCTTCTCCCAGAAGAAATCTTCTAATGTTGATAACTGTTAAAAAATAATAATTAACTCCCCATCTCTGGTCTGAGGTAGTGCAATCCAGAATCGTATCACCTCATTCTGTGCAAAGTGTAAAAGGGATGTGTTAACAGAGGCTGAAATCCTATACATGTTTACCTGGGATTGAGTCCCACTTACTTACTTCTGACAAGACATGTATAGGATGTCTTGCACTAGAAATCCATGTTTGGTCAAAAGGACTGGTTTAGGTCAGATTAAAGAACAAGAATTTATCGGATTGTTTGAGGGGTGAGGCATTCTAGCTACTCCCAAGTATGTAAATAAAGCAGATTTTCATCCAACCGTACTTGCAATTTCCTTGAATTTAAAATTAGCAATTGAGGAAGTTGAGACACATTATGGGTGTACCAAAAACGGGCACAAACAGGAAAACACTAGCATGGGGATGATAGTTCCAGTTTGATTGGGTTGGGGAGCAGAGAGTTCCTTGTCAGGCAGTGTTAGCTGATTGTCTCCCACAGCTCAGCTATTGTCTTCATGAGTTAAGGGAATGGGCAAGTCTGAATGGGAAAATACAAATATTTTATTTATATGTGGCCAACACTATTTAAAGTTCATACAATGTTGGCCTTCCTTTCTAATTCTTATTCACGCAGATCTGATGCACAGCATACAGTTCGTACTACTTCCTCGCAGTAATTAGAACATGGCTTTTCTTTGATTTTTTTTTATTATAAATCTATTGCAATGTCAGATAAAATCTGACTCCAAGGTTGATTTAGTTCCATGAACCTGGCAAACTGATTTTCTTTTCTCCTCTAGTTGAAAATAAGCATAATTTGAAGTAGCCTATTAACCATTCCATCATAAAATATTGCAAGCAGACTAACCCCAATTATCTAACAGGCTCCAGGGACAATCATTCCATCAAACTAACAAGTAAGCAAACTTTTCTCCACACCTTACTGCCCTCTCAGAGTCTGATCTGGAGGTCCCCCATGTATCTTAATGCATTTGGATCAGCTATAATCAAGGCTGTTTGTATATTAAGCACACATTTTGCACTAAGAAAATTAGAAATTCAGCATTTAATAATATGAGCATGTGGTTACTTTGCATACTGCTATTCAGTTTTGCACAGTCCATTCTGATTACAGTATTGGACTTTGAAATGATGTGGCAGGAAAGGTTTGGGATAGAACGCCTTTACAGTGGTACCTCAGGTTACATACACTTCAGGTTACATATGCTTCAGGTTACAGACTCCGCTAACCCAGAAATAGTGCTTCAGGTTAAGAACTTTGCTTCAGGATAAGAACAGAAATCGTGCTCCGGCAGCAGCAGGAGGCCCCATTAGCTAAAGTGGTGCTTCAGGTTAAGAACAGTTTCAGATTAAGAACGGACCTCCGGAACGAATTAAGTACTTAACCCGATGTACCACTGTATATGAATAAATTCTAATTCCTGTTTTGTATAACTTTATATCACTGTTTTATTCGTTTTAAGATGAATCTTCAAGGATACTTCTTACAGAATTTTATACTGTACACTGCTTAGAGAGTTTTAAAATATTAAGTATATTATGTTGTTGTTTAGTCGTTAATCATGTCCGACTCTTCGTGACCCCATGGACCAGAGCACGCCAAGCACTCCTGTCTTCCATTGCCTCCCGCAGTTTGGTCAAACTCATGTTTGTAGCTTCGAGAACCTGTCCAACCTTCTCGTCCTCTGTCGTCCCCTTCTCCTTGTGCCCTCTATCTTTCCCAACATCAGGGTCTTCTCCAGGGAGTCTTCTCTTCTCACGAGGTGGCCAAAGTATTGGAGCCTCAGCTTCAGGATCTGTCCTTCCAGTGAGGACTCAAGGCTGATTTCCTTCAGAATGGAGAGGTTTGATCTTCTTGCAGTCCATGGGACTCTCAAGAGTCTCCTCCAGCACCATAATTCAAAAGCATCAATTCTTCAGCGATCAGCCTTCTTTGTGGTCCAGCTCTCACTTCCATACATCACTACTGGGAAAACCATAGCTTTAACTATACATATAATAAGACTATACATATAATAACTAGAAGTAGATTGTAAATGTTCTAAAATAAATAGAAGATACACAGAAATGGGAAGTGAGGGTCCACAAGCACATACTTCCTATGCATTTCAGTGGCTGTTCTGATCTGATCAAAGTTACGCTTTTGTATTTTTTCATTCCGTGAATGACCTGGATTTTCATCTTAAAAGTGGTCAGGCTTGGCTGTTCTTTTGGAGCCAATTATGTAGTGGAACTTGTGGATAAAGAGAGATCACGCAGGCAGCTTGTTCCCGTTACCCATGCTCAAGTTCAAGGAACCAAATCAACCTTTGCAATCATAATTTATTCTGTGTTGATAAATCACACGTGAACTTACCCAAATAGTAGATCTTTGTGTTGTGTATGCTCAGGTCCTCTCGCTCCGTTAAAAGTGCATGAGAAAGAGCAGAGATGAACTCGCTAGCCTTACTCCCTCTGTCAGATCTGCAGGTCCACTGCTCTCCATGCACTGGAAAGAAGAAGCCTGTGGTAGTTCATGGAAAGTTCTATGTCAGATTTAGAATCCTGTACAATAATGGTTCTCATTCACAGCAAAGCCTCTGGAGTACCAGGGCTGGCCCAAGGCATTTTGGCCCCTGAGGCATAGCAGAAAATGGCAGGGCCCTAATAGCCAGGGAAGAAAGGCAAAGACCTACGTCAGGAACAAGTGGGGTATAAAGTTTTATATTAGGAACAAGGCAGGAGTGCACCCACAGCAGCAGCGGGCGAGGCATCCCTTGGAGGCCAGATCTGCTGCCGCCTGAGGCGGTCACCTCACCTTGCCTCATTGGTGGGTTGGCCCTGATGAGTACAGCGGGCTCCCTGCTGCAAGTATTCAGTCCTTTAGCATGCGAGCAGGAGGAGGGCCAAATATTGGGGACACGGCGGAGGGGATGGGGCCAGCCAGCCAGCCTGTCTTTGCTCTTCCTCACGTGACACTAATCGCGTTGGGGAACTGAATGCCCAAATCGGTGTCATGCATGCTGTGATTCTGCCAGAGTGCACAAGAGGTGTTGGATGTTGAATTCAGCTTGCTGAGAATCTCAGCAGCTTTCAGGCATCAGAACTTGTTAATGGGAACACAAAATCTAAGGGTTTAGGGTTCAGCACAATTCTCATAAGACCTTCTCTGCTTCAGAATTGAGGTGACGGATCAGATATCCAAACTCCCCCCTTCAAAACAGCTCTGCATATGGGAAATTAGAACTCTTCAGAGTTGGAGTTTGTTAGCTTTACACAGAGAGAGAGAGTTAATGCTGTAAGAGGGGGCTCAAAATGCAGATCCTGCACTTGTTTTCTGAGGTGCTACAGTGTGCGAGTTGGTATCCTATGCCAGTGGTTTCCAACCAGTGTGCCATGGCACCCTGGGGTGCCTTGAATGATGGCCAGAGGTGCTGCGGGCAACACTGGCCTCTGTCCCTCTTTCCTTCCCTTCCTCATCTTTCAGTTCTCTGCCTCCCCAAGGTTTGCACAGCTGTTTATTGCAGCAGCCCTGGCTATAAGCTCCGCAGGCAAATGATGCCTCTGGCAGGCACCTCTCTTTGAGGGCAGGGGGCGCATCTCAGAGACCAGGGAGGGTGTTTGAAAAAGGGTGAGAGACTGCCAGCTCTGCAGGCAAGGGGTGACATAAATGAGTTCCCGAGCCCCACAGGGGTGCTGCAGAAAGAATGTAGTTGGTTCAGGGAGCTGTGGACTCAAAAAGGTTGAAAACCTCTGTCCTATGCTCTTTCTGAATTCTTGAGGTGTTTTGAAGAGCAATATACAGAAGGTAGTGGCAGAAATAGAGCCTTCACAACCACCTCATTACACTGTGATGCTCTTTGCTATCCCATGCTTATTATTTATTAAGTTGTTCCGCAGTTAGCATTTCCAATGGGAAACAAAACTTTCTTCCCTTAATTTCTCATACTTTTTCTGTCCCTCTACTTTGTTTTTCCTTTTCCTTTTTTACTCCACACTCCCCTGTTTTATCTGCCCCCAAATATTAAAAATACAGTACTTAAACGGTGGTCATACTAATTAATACTCAAGAGATTCAGACATCTTGGCTGTAACTTCAGGCTGTCTCCAGACTCAATGTAATTGGGGTTTGTTTTTTAAAGAGTGTGTTACATGAATTCAAGTAAGTGTCAGTTCAGCTTTGTTTCCATACTAAACTTCCCCCCAACCTGAAAATTTAAGGTCTAGTCTAGTTCCTTCTCTCATCACTTCTTCCCACGCTGCTGGGAATGGCAAGGTTGGGTATATGCTTCGCTTCCATGGGGCTGGTGTCCCGGCAGGACAGAGATCACAATGTAGTGGGATGAGGAACAAAATTATTGGCACATGTTTTCTGTGGAGTAACTTTGAAGGAGCCACGTAGAAGATGCTTCTGAGAGTAATGTGTAAGTGGGAAAGTGAATTGAATGGGAAATGCCATTGTGAGCCGCTGGGCTAGGTCAGATGTACTAATAATTGCTCTAATAGACCATAAGTTTTAGACCCACTTCTTCCTCCTTTCTCTTGCGTGTCACAATTTAAAACTCCCTGGAGTTTGTTAAACCACAGTTTGTTAAACCGTTATATTTGAACCGGGAAACTGTGGTTTAATCTCAAGACTACTTACCAGGATATGAAACCAGATGCTGATCCAGGAGCAGGAAATGCATGAACACAACACTTGTTCTTGTTACATCTGAACCCACCCATTGAGTGAAATAGCAGACTAAGGACTAGGTGATTCTTAGAGACTTTTTTGGACATTCAAAGGCAGCAATAAGAAAAGATTGAATAGTGTGTAACCCTCCTCATTCTTCTGAGTATTGTCTGAAGGGAGAGATCTTCTTCAAATCCTCTGTGTTGAGATTTATACTCTTGCCCCTACATCTCATTGTGGATGAGACATTTTCTGCTTAGTTCAAAATATCTAAAGAGGGCATTCCTGAAAAGGGTGTAATGCTTGAGGACAGGCTTAAAGACAATTCACTGTCTTGTGTTATGGAGGTGCCTGCTTCTTGGTCCCCTCCAAACCTGGAACTGTGCTTTATATCTACATAAATGTGATGTTTTCCCATTTTTCTCTTCTAGAAGAAACCAGAGAACAAGAGGAAATGTGTGCCGTTAAAACAGAATTGACACTCCCAGAAAAAACGGCTGCAGTTTCTGATGATTCCTGCACAAACCAAAACAACGGTAACAAAACCAATCATTTTCATCCATCATTACCCCAGTTTCCTTCTGAGGAAGACGGTGCAAATGGGTTTGGGAATGAAATCATTAAGCTGACAGAGGAGCAGGCAGCTGCGGAGCTGGAAGGGAGCAGAGCAGAATGTTTGACAGAGAGCCAGGCAGCAGGTCAGCCAGAGCTCAGCAGCTCATCCGAAGGCGAATCCCCCTTGCCCAGCCCTCCTCCCTTTGACTCCACAGAGCCCTGCAACCTCCGGGAGAACAAACACACAAACGAGAAGCAGGCCATGGAAGAAGAGACAGGAACCTCGGAAAGCGACACTGAGAATCTTTGTGACAAAAAGGATGAAAGCGGTGACACAGGGAACGCTGAGGATGATGAAAAGCAGACTCCCCCAACTCCAGATTTCAGTGACATTCCAGATAATGTACCTGCAGCTGTGACAGTTACAGACAGTGCTCCTGATCTGGGCTCACCGTGACTCACTTTGACCGTGGGATTGTTTTCAGAAAGGATGTGTCCCCAGTCTCTTCAAGCTTCTCCCAGCTGCTTCCTTGTTTGTCTGTCAAGAAAGATCTCCTAACACACACACGCATCCAACACTTTGGTATGTACAAACAAACATACCCTAGAGAAATGTGAAAAAAAGGAGCAAGACTAAAATGATGGCTTTCAGAATTTTGCCCTCTGCTATTTGCTGCGATTAACGTTATTAGATAGAGTGACATAATTGAGAATAATGGGACTTAGCACCCCATCATTATGCTTTATCACGTCAGTTACATCTCTGTCTCTTCAGCATGTATAATTTTTGGTGCAGTGCCTGTTTGAATGTATCTTAAGAGCCTGGAACGTCGGGGGGGGGGGAGAGTTGCCTTTGGTGAAGCCGGCAGAATCAGAAATGGTAAAACATAAAGGCTTCAATGAACAAGCTTTTGTTTTCTCAGGGTGGGAGGTGATTCTTCCTGGCACACACAGTTTAATACTAAACAGCAAATTGCCTTGATATAACTGGTGGCTGTACATACACAGTGTCTGGTCATCGGATTAATTACTTGCAGACAGACAAACACACAGCCTATTTTGCTGTTTCTATTTTGAATGAGCTTTTTCCAGTAAGTACTAAGGCACAACAGCGTATTGACAAGGCTGGCCATGCTGGCCATGTATGCGCTACCACCCCTCCCTCTTTCCCCTTATTCTGTCCCCTCTTCCTTGCAAACTGTGAGCTCTCGCTCTCTTCCTCTTCCTTCCCCCCTCTCTTTACTTTGCTGCAACTTCAGTTCTTGACTCATCTCTCTTATGGCTCACACTTTGGGTTGTATCAAATGGAGTTCGTCTGGCCTAGAAATGGAAGTTGAACTTCGTCCATGTCAGAATGACGTCTTTTTGAGCTTAAACCAGGGGAGAGTTGGAAGTCGGATGCCTTCTCTGCTTTCATTTGAGCAGCGTTTAAGCTCAAAAGGTACACCTGTGCAGAAGGGAAGTATATATTTTTCTTTCCCTTCTGATCCATTAGCCTTGTGGATAATAGTTGAAATTACTCTTTTTTTCGTAGCCATTTTCTCTCTTCAATTCTTCCCGTGGTGGCAATCAATTAGCTTCCAGTGGGAGAGAGTCTTTAGGGCTTCCTGGGACTGCTGAGCAAAGCTTTCCATAGCCTACTTCCACTGATTCTGAAGTGTTTCCTTGCGGTTCCTGGTAGGACAATGGCTGTGTAATATTTATTGTGGATATTTTGCAGCTGTGGAGCTAAAGGGAGGCCTGATTTTTGTGTTTTTTGGTTTGGTTTCCCCCACCCCCAATAAGAAACAATCTCAACAGCTGTAGAGCTTGTCTGGGCCTCCAGCCGTAGAGGCAATTTTCCTGCTGGCTTGGGAACCTAATTGCCTGTAAATGTTCATTTCTCACTCCTAGAACTTAAAACCAATTGGAGAGCGGATTAATCCAAATTTAACAATGGCGTTCATAAGAAAGGAGGGAAATCCTTCCTGGTTTGAGCCTTAGTTTTACAAAATAAATACCTGCCAGCCGCACATTGTTACAGGCTGCTTGTTAGCAGCTTCGTGCTGGAAGCAGCTGCAGACCCAAATCTTGAAAGTCGGCTGAGCTAGATAGCAAGTGTCGCTTTGACGAAGGGACTCCAAGTGGACAAGCAGATTGTACCCCAGGCTTGGAACCAGGAGGAACCCTGAAAAGAGCTTCAGGATCCTCCAGCCAGCTGGAACAAGTACTGGTTCTAACAAATGTTTGGCTGCTAGAAAAACCCCATTTGATCGCTCTCACTCTCGCTCTCTGTACAACTTGCTCTTCTTCCAGTACAGCAAGGGAACAAGGAACAACGTCATTAGGCGTCTTTCTACAGTACGTGGAGACTCCTTTTAGGCCAAAGATTGTGGAACGGTTCCACATGGACACAGAACAAATGACAGCGTTTTCAAAGCCGGAGAGTTTTGTTTCAATCTTTCTTTACTTTTTCAACCCGTTCAGTTTCTCTGTTCCAAGAGGAAAGGGGTGGGGGGAGAGACTTTGCAGTGTTCCTTTAACACTCCCTTGATGTTGGGCATTGCACCACTCTGCTATTTGCATCCCATTCTTTTTGAGCAACACTGGTTTATTCTAAATTAAATGCTTTTGTCTCTTGCATTAATATGAAAAAAAAGTTGAAACCATTTATTAGTTTGCATAATTTCATTCCTCATAGTGCAGCGGAGGAGAAGGGGGAGGATTACGTTATCTCTTGAATTTGTGGTACTGTTGCTTTTATTGATAGAGTAGCTGACAATGTTATCAACTCAGCACAGCGTTTGTGCTTTTATTGGTAAAATAACAGATAGCCTTATTGTCTCGATTTGTTGTTATAGGAATGACAAAACTGATACAGTGGGAAGAGTAATGAATATGCACCAAACTTATGAATATGAAATTCTGGAATTTTGCTCATCATAAATAAGACATTCCACATCCCAATGTTCATTTCAAGATATATATTTCTTTCTGGTTTTGTCACAGCCTTGATAAGGGCTACAGCTAATGCTGATGAAGTCCTAGCGCAGAAAAAAATAGACAAGTAGGGAGGGCAGCTTAACGTAAACAAGTGCACACCATGAACGGCCAATGTTTTGCATTGCTTTAAATTATGGAGTGAGGGCTGCCATTTTCATTTTTTATGTAGCGTCTAGTTTGGAGCCCAGCTGCGCTAGTGGAAATGTTTGCATTTGAGCTCAGTAGCTTCCGGTGAGCTGGAATGATGCTATCGTAGGGAGAGATTGAATTAAGGTCATATATGTGTAAAAGCAAGTACAAGCCTGAAGAACCAAGCCAAGTTTTTAAACAATGCATGTAGCTATTAAGGTATTAGTAACAGATACGCTGCTCTCTAAAAATAAACATTCCTCAACCCCGTGATCTAAAAACTTCAGTAATCCAAAGAGCAGGGGGTGATTCAGTGACTACTTACACAGTTGCAAAGAGCGACAGGGGATATAGCAGGTTAAGTGATAATTGAACTTCCGAAACCCAGTCACTATCCAAATCCATGAAGTAGCCCGTTCCCTCTTTTCTTTACTTCCAGTGTCGCCACTCACTGTAACTATGTGTAATCTTATATCTAGACTTCCGGTGATACAGATTTGGGGGGGGGGGTTATCAGGTAATGTGATGGCCCCATGTTATAGCTGAATTCTTGTCAATAACACTCTTCCTGGTTTACTTTCTCTCCGTTCTTCTGCTCCTTCGATTCCAATCTTTGATTTGCTGGCTTCCTTAACCATTTAAAGGTCAAGTGGGCTACATTCCATGTCTTACGCTTACAGAGAAGAGATGGCAGACTGATAAAGTGGTGGTACATCCAACGACATCTAGTTTAGACCTAACTTACAGTCCTCCGCATGTTCACTCACAAGTAAGTCTGGTTTCGGTGTTCAGTTGCACCAGAAGCGGCTTAGTCATGCTGGCCACATGACCCGGAAAAACTGTCTGCGGACAAACGCCGGCTCCTTCGGCCTGTAAAGCGAGATGAGCGCCGCAACCCCAGAGTCGTCTCTGACTAGACTTAACTGTCAGGGGTCCTTTACCTTTTTAAGTCCCCCTGTGCTCTTACTGTGCTTATAGCAGCAGCCTTCAGTTTCAAAAACATTGGCTTGTTTATCTGAGAGCAGCACAGTTGATGCTATTTATCGCAGAGGTTCTTATGAGTATCAGTCGTGCTTCCTTGTTGGGACTTAATTCTTTGCTATCAAAAACCCTGGAGAGCTTTCCTGTTTGTTTTTGATTGCCACTTGCACAGGTTATAGCATTGCAGCTATATTCATTTAGCTGCTGGTTGAAACCAGTACGTGGCCCCATAAATTTGCACTTGCATCTATATACCGTATTTTTTGCTCTATAAGACTCACTTTTTCCATCCTAAAAAGTAAGGGGAAATGTGTGTGCGTCTTATGGAGCGAATGCAGGCTGCGCAGCTATCCCAGAAGCCAGAACAGCAAGAGGGATTGCTGCTTTCACTGTGCAGTGATCCCTCTTGTTCTGGCTTCTGAGATTCAGAATATTTTTTTTCTTGTTTTCCTCCTCCAAAAACTAGGTGCGTCTTATGGTCCTGTGCGTCTTATAGAGCGAAAAATACGGTATTTTTCAGTTGCAGAAAACAGTCCGTGCCAGTGGTAATGAAGCCTGGCCGTCTGGGTACAAGAATGCCAATTCCCCTTATCACTTGTATATAATTTCAGGGGGTTGGACTAGATGACCCCAGGAGCCCTTTCCAACTCCATGATAACCACCTTTGAACATGGAAGTGCGCCACAGTGGATCTACGTATTATTTTTACATGCCAAGTTCTCCAACGTCCCTTTGCGACCTAAGCCTTATTCCGGCATTCGTGCAGTGAAGCCCTTCTCCCAGTGGAAGTTAAATGGCTACAAGGGAGTGCTCCTTGTACTTGTTAAACCTCCCTGCACAATTTATAGCTTTCACTGGGAATTACAGCAGGCTCTCTGTCGCAGGACTTTGTCCTCCAGTGTGTGGTGGGAGTGTGGATGCAATGAAGATAGTGTGTCCAGCTCAAGGGGAAAGCTTTAGCCTGCTCCACCTTAACCTTCCTAGTGTTGCTGAATGCCTCCCCATTATTTCTCCCATAAAACGAGTAGCTGCCATTCTCTTTCACGGGGCGGGGGCGGGGGATAAGCTCTTTACACTGGGACATGGATACTATGAGGACACTGAGTGTTCACTCAGCAGGGGGTGGGGTGGCTGTGGGGTGAATATTGCCATTCATGATAGAAAAGAATAAAATCCAGTTTCAAAGGTTCGGTCCAGTTCGACCAAGAAAGAGACAGAACGCAGCATAGGGCTGCGATTATCAGGCTTCAGCTGTAAAATGAAATACCGTAAGTCTAGTCTTAGGATTCTGAATAGGGATCTGCTATGTCAAGTTCTTGGCTTTTTGTTTCTTTCTCTCACTAGGACTCGTTTTTCATTTTTATCAGTTCTGGAGGCTCTCAGAAATTAAGACTCCTTTCATAAGTTCAGGTGTTTCTTTAAAGCTTTTCTTTTAAGGATTCCCTCGCATCCTTCTGCAAAAGGCAATGAACACTGTAATGTCGGGGGGAAACCCCAAATGTTACATTTTAAGACTCTTTTACGTTAAAAATGTGTTTGATAAATCATTCAACCGTGCAAATTTTCAGTGGTCATGGAAACAACCTCTTTTTGAAGGAAAAAACAATCTTTTGGTAGTGGAGGCTAATTTTATGCACAGGGCATTTTATATAATTCACCAGAAGTTTTTTTTAAGTCAAGAGCTCTCAAGAATGTATTTTAATAAATCGGGTGGAAATCATGTTTTTTAAAAACCTTAAATAAATTAATTGCTTTATAAAATTCTGCTGCTGGTTAATAATTTCCTTTAAAAATGTGTATTCTATTTATTTGCAGGCCTTGCTTTCATTGCAACCCTGTCATCAAGTAATATATATATTTTGTCAATTGTAATAAAGACATTTCCTAATATATTTATCTATATTTTGTGTTGTTTTTACTTCATTTTTATAACATGACTGTGCCTCACTTGGTCTTAAACTCTGGTGCATGGCAGCTGCTGGTGTACTTTGAAGTGCTTTGTGCAACTTCAGTACAAATAACAAGGGGAGAGTATTATGAGCTTGGGTATACGTGTTCTCTTTGACATTTATTCTACATGCTGAAGCATCAACCCAATTTTTAGTTGCCCTCAGCTCTCACTTGGTATATAGTTTGACTGCAGGATTCTGGCCACAAAAGATCCAGGCAATAGTGGGGTTTTAATTCAGAACCTATCCCAGCATCCTCACATATTTAGAATAATGTGGTGGTTCTGTTAAAAAATATATAGAAAGAAATGTAAGCCACACTGGTCAAATGTTTTAAGAGATAAACACGTACAGCAGTACATTCTAAAGTTCATATTTTTCCCAGTTTGCTTGTCCTTGAATTTGTCACTGGAAAAACTCGTTGATTTTTTTAAAAAAACAACCAAACCTAGATTTTGCCCTCTGAACGCTTGTCAGAAACCTTTTTTTCAGAACTGCAAAAACAAAACAACTTCTGGAATGAAAAAATGTATTCTGCTCTATTTTATTAGTTCAGTACTCTCAACAGCTGCACAAAACTACATTGCTGTGCTTCTGTGGCATAGTTCATTTGTCACTCTTGAAAACATGCAGAAAGAGATCCCCCTTCATTTATCAACATTGCACAAACAGCATTACACAATTTAACCAGAAGTGATTCAAATCGCACTTTCCCAAATATTTATTCAGTGACGAAGAAAAAGTCAGGAATGTTTTTGGAAACACTTGCTTCAAATATAAACAGTGTGACACAGCTACAGGACTGTGGATAACTCAAACCAGCTAAGAAGCTTAAAAAGAGTTAGGAAGTAAAACCTGCAAATATAAGCAGAATAAAATAATGGATCTGAAGTTTTAAAATAGAAATAACACACAAACTCCTACCTGAGCTCTGGGGGGGGGGGGGGGCTGTTATCACTCTCTGCCAGCCCATCCTCAAACAGTTGAAAGGAAAGTATTTTCTTTATGCGTTTCAGGTATATAGGAAAACAGAGCACACCATCTTAGTTGGAGACATTTATTTTTACCGTTTGTTCCTCCAGCTTTCTTGTTCTTGATATTTCCCCCCTAAGAGATATGGCACACAATAAGCAGGGTTGCTCAAGATTTCAGTAGCGAAGCGTACAGTCCTCCTTACTATATCAAGGATAAACTTTAGAGCTGGCGGGGTGGGGTGGAGCAAGCCTGAACCTTTAAATCATACGCCGCTACTTTTTATTATTAATCTGCTTACGGAACGGAGCACTACGACAGAGCAAAAGGCGTATCTTACACTTTCTCAAAAGAACCAGAAGGCTTTCCTACGGTTTAGCAGCAACGCCATGCGAGCTGCTGCTTGCCTCTTTGGTCGTGAGCATTTTCTTCCTCTTCTCCTTAACCTCGGGGAACTGCCTTTCCCACAGGTTTTTGGTGCCTGTTCCGACGACACAGCAAGCCAGACGCTTGCCCGCGTTGCCGTTCTCCAAACTGGCCTTGTTGTTCCCTTTCCCCAGGTCGTCTTCTTGCTCGTGGATCACAACCGATCTCCCTATGATGCTGTACGGGCCAAACAGGGTGGCCACGAGATTGGCCTTATATTTTTTAATCGTGCCTTCCTTAGAGTAGAAGTTCCCAAAGTCCCCAGGGTGACGCGGGTGGTTTTCCTTGAAGGGATTGTAGTGTCCGCCTGCGGAGTCGCAGCCGTCGCTGAGGTCTCCGTACTGGTGGATATGAATCGCTCTCCCGGATAAGTTGGCGCCTGCCGGAAAGCCATCCAAGTTGAAAATAGCTTCCAGTTTCCCATTTGGGTAGGCCTGCCTGAACAGAACGTGTCCTGTAACCTGCGGCTTGTCCGCACCTACTTTAGGGCTGGGTTTCATCAAGCAGGAGGCATAAGCAGTCCGGTTGGAGGCCACGATATCCTCGTACAGCTGCGGATAGAGCAAACTCAGCCACAGGTCGTTGACTTTTTTCTGCATGTCCTGGAGTGCGTTTTCTTCATTCGGCTGGGCATCAGTTACACATAGGGCCACGCCGGTGGCGAGAAACAGCAGCGAGAACATGGCGGAGTTATGCGGAACCTGCAAAGGGCTATGAAAATAATGCAGAGAAAAGTGGCGTCAACGGCTTTGGTAAGAGCACCAACGCCAAAGGAAAAATATTAAAAGCATTTTATAACATTGTGCTGAGGAGGGCAACCAAGATGGTCAAAGGTCTGGAAACCAAGCCTTATGAGAAATGGTGGAGGGAATTGGCCGTGTTTAGTGTGGTAAAGAGGAAACATGATGGCCATCTTCAGATATCTAAAGGGCTGTAGCATGGAAGATGGAGCAAGCCTGTTTTCCCTTGCTCTGGAGCAGGGGTAGACAACCTAAGGCCTGTGGGCTGGATGTGGCCCAATCGCCTTCTCAATCGGGCCCACGGACAGTCCAGGAATCAGCGTGTTTTTACATGAGTAGAATGTGTGTTTTTATTTAAAATGCATCTCTGGGTTATTTGTGGGGCATAGGAATTCATTCCCCCCCCAAAAAAATATAGTCTGGCCCACCACATGGTTTGAGGGACGCCAGACCGGCCCACAGCTGAAAAAGGTTGCTGACCCCTGCTTTGGAGGGTAGGACTCAAACCAAGAATCTGAAGAAGTGTGCATGCACACGAAAGCTCATACCAACAACAAACTTAGTTGGTCTCTAAGGTGCTACTCTAAGGTGGGACACGGGTGGCGCTGTGGGTTAAACCACAGAGCCTAGGACTTGCCAATCAGAAAATGGGCAGTTCGAATCCCCGCGAAGGGGTGAGCTCCCATTGCTCGGTCCCTGCTCCTGCCAACCTAGCAGTTCGAAAGCACGTCAGAGTGCATGTAGATAAATAGGCACAGCTCTGGCGGGAAGGTAAACGGCTTTTCCGTGCACTGTTCTGGTTCGCCAGAAGCGGCTTAGTCATGCTGGCCACATGACCCGGAAGCTGTATGCCAGCTCCCTCGGCCAATAAAGCGAGATAAATGCCGCAACCCCAGAGCCACACAACTGGACCTAATGGTCAGGGTACCTTTAAGGTGCTACTGGAAGGAATTTTTTAGTTTTGTTTCGACAATGGAATCAAACTACAAGAAAGGAAATCCCAACTAAACATTAGGAGGAACTTTCTGAGTAAGAGCTGTTTGACAGTGGAACCGACTCCCAGAAGTGGGAGTTTGGAGGTTTTTAAACAGAGATTGGTTGGCCATCAGTCACGTAGAATCTAGTTGAGATTCCTGCATTGCAAAGGGTTGGGACTAGATGATCCTTAGAGTCCCTTCCAACTCTACCATTCTATGGTTCTATGAAACTATTTCACATATGTGATCTCAATCCTTAGAAGGCTATTATGCAGGTGATGTTACCACTCTTCCACTGGGGTAAAGGAGACTGCACCTTGTTTAGGGACACCTAGACCAGGGATCAGCAAACTTTTTCAGCAGGGGGCCGGTCCACTGTCCCTCAGACCTTGTGGCAAACTATATTGGGGGGGGGGTGAATGAACAAATTCCTATGCCCCACAAATAACCCAGAGATGCATTTTAAATAAAAGGACACATTCTACTCATGTAAAAACACCAGACAGGCCCAACAAATAACCCAGAGATGCATTTTAAATAAAAGGACACATTCTACTCATGTAAAAACATGCTGATCCCCGGACCATTCGCGGACCGGATTTAGAAGACGATTGGGCCGGATCCGGCCCCTGGGCCTTAGTTTGCCTACCCATGATCTAGACAATAATATTAATGACTGAGGTGAGATTTGAACTTGGAAGATTTTCTGGTTCACCGCGCAGCATTTTAGAGCTGTCTTTAGGCGATCTCAAAAATGTCATGTTTATGTTACAGAAACAGGGTGTTCTGGTTTTTAAACAGGGGTGAGGTATTTAAAAAAACCCAATTGTTTCTCCAATTCAGATCCCTCAGCCGAAAACATATTAGGTGGCTGTGTTATGCCCATGTCTTTTCTGAGGTAATAACAAAAGTATTCATTAGACCCAATCTCCATTATTCCCTCATCTTGCCTGACTGAATCCTTCACCACCTCTCTATAGCAGCTAGTTACAGGATATATTTGGTTGTAAAATTTATCACCAGATGAAGTTGATGGACTGTATGGAATTGGCGGAAATGACTGGCAGAATCCAAGACCAGGGAGAAGAGTCGGTGGAAGAAGATTGGAAAAAAATTAAAGATTATTTACAGAAATACTGTAAAATTAATGAATGTTAGAAAAATGTTGGGATGAAGTTATATGGCTTTAGTAGAAACGTTATAAGGAATTAAGTATAAATAGATTAATAGAAAATTAAAGGGAAAAACAAGGTTAAAATGTGTTAAGATAATTATAGGATAGAAAACAGAGGAAGATGGAAAGGAATTGCTGAAACAATTAACAGAAGTGGAATACAAAAAGGGAGGTGTGAGGAGGTCGTGGAAATAAGTGAATGAAAGATAAGATATTGAAAATGTTTGATGTGTTTTAAATTGTTTTTGTTTTGTTTTGTTAGTTTAATGTGTTAGTGTTTTGTATTGTTTTTGTATTGTATTGTTTATTCTTTTTTTGTAATGTTTAAATTGTTGGAAAAGTAATAAATATTATTTTTTTTTAAAAAAGTAAAATTTATCACCACCTGATTGATTCCTGCATTGTGGGGGGGGGGTTGGATTAGATGACCCTGGGGACCCATTCCAACGCTACAATTCTGTGATTCTCCGACATGGAACTAGCAATGTCCCACATTATTATTTTAAGAAACCCAAAAACACAACCCCTCTTGAATATGGCTGGGAAAATATCACAGCACTGAATCACCCCTTTTCCTCAGCATTCCCCAAAACGGCATCAGTTTTCCCAAAAGTTGAAAAAAAAGAAGTCAAGACTTTCCCACTGGTGTTTAATACACAGTGAAGACAAGACAAACAGACTAAGTGCAATGGAAGTAGTCTAAACATGTGTTTGCTGCCTTCAAAGCTACTTGCCTTCGTAGGCAGAGAATATATGTTCATTACACTAACGCTGTGTGCATGTTATCGGCTTAAAATACAACTAGAACTCTCTTTTTCTCGATTCAGATTGAAGCTGGTTTTGGCGGGGAAACTCATAAAAACTCAGTGTTTCATAAGAAACGATAGAATAGAGTCTGAATCGAATGCAAACTGCTTCCCAAACCAGTGGTGGATGGGGGTGTGTACACAGTCTAAGAATGCTGTCTGTTTTCATCCTCAGCTGGTTCTAAAAGTAATTGCGATCGTCCTACCTTCAGCGAGGGATTCCTTCTGCAAAGATTTGTTTTCCCCGAAAAACTTTCCAGTTGGGTGCAGTCTCTTTGCGCAAAGGGTGACAAGCAAGCGAGTCTAGGTTCCAGGCAGCTGTTGAGTTAGAGCTTCTGAGCTCTGCTTGTTTGTGTAAAAGTTAGGTAATAGTAGCTCAGGGGAGTGGTTAGCAGAAAAAATGAGGAGAGGAGGGGGAAATGTCATCTAAAATCCATCTAGAGGCAAAGCCTGCAGATTATTCAAAGAAAAAGAAATGCTTTAGAATTAATATTTCATTGCTTCATGCACTAGAGGAAATAAGCTTCAACATGAAGTGACAGAGGAAAAATATTTAAAGAAGGCTTTGTTTAGTCAATTTGCTGATGAGTTCATACGGAATCTGTCAACTAGGCGGCAATATTTTTCCTGTTATTAAGCCTCCTTGGAATCCACTTTTAAGACGCGTCTTAGCAATGAAACTTGATTTACCTATCCAAATTGCTGTAATTATTAAAAAAAAAAAATCAACCAAAGTAACTAGGTTTTGAAAGCTTTATGTGATAACTTCTCTTGCTGGAGAGGAGGCTTGTATTATCATGTGAAGAGACAATTTTGAACAATGGGGGGTTGGTCTTGAGACTAAAACTTCGCCTCTCCATTGGTGGTTCTTGGGAGAGTTGTCTTAATGCCAAGACCACTCAGAGCTGACAAGCCAAATTGCAGGAAATTTATGGAGATTTGATGTCCCAGCACAAAAAAAGGGTAACAGATTCTGTACACTGACACTTCATGATGTGCAAAATTCTTGGGCCGTGAAACACCTAGCAACGATTGGCTCAGCTGCCTGCCATTCACGGACAGTCTGTCAGCCATAGATCTGCAGCCATTGGCTGAATTGCTCTCTCCCCTTTTTAGGGTAAAGGTAAAGGTAAAGGGACCCCTGACCATTAGGTCCAGTCGTGGCCGACTCTGGGGTTGTGGTGCTCATCTCGCTTTATTGGCCGAGGGAGCTGGCATACAGCTTCCGGGTCATGTGGCCAGCATGACTAAGCCGCTTCTGGTGAACCAGAGCAGCGCACGGAAACGCCGTTTACCTTCCCGCTGGAGCGGTACCTATTTATCTACTTGCACTTTGACATGCTTTCGAACTGATAGGTTGGCAAGAGCTGGGACCGAGTAAGGGGAACTCACCCCGTTGCGGGTATTCGAACCGCCGGGTATTCTGATCGGCAAGTCCTAGGCTCTGTGGTTTAACCCACAGCGCCACCCATGTCCCTCCATTTTAGGGTAACTGCTTGCTATTGAGTGAGGTCAGACTCTCTTCCTGCCATTGACAGAGCTGCCTGGATGCTAGAAAGTTGCATCCAGGGAAGGAGTCAGGGCCAGAAAGTAGCAGACCAAGGGATCAGGGAACTCTGGTGTGGCTGAGCTAGGAAAGAAGGATTAGGAAGAGAAGAAGAGGGAGAGAACAGAAGGGAGAAGCATGAAAGGAGAGAAGACGGAATACATGTAGAAAAGCCGGTGCTCTTTCCAATACAGTGGTACCTCGGGTTAAGAACTTAATTCGTTCTGGAGGTCCGTTCTTAACCTGAAACTGTTCTTAACCTGAAGCACCACTTTAGCTAATGGGGCCTCCCACTGCCGCCGTGCGATTTCTGTTCTCATCCTTAAGCAAAGTTCTTAACCTGAGGTACTATTTCTGGATTAGCGGAGCCTGTAACCTGAAGCGTATGTAACCTGAAGCGCATGTAACCTGAAGCGTATGTAACCTGAAGTGCATGTAACCTGAGGTACCACTGTAGTATTGGAAAGGGAATCAGTTACCGACTAGGAGAGAGTGGTTATGTAAGTTTTCAGAATACTTAGAATTAGCCAAACTGACAGACATAATAAGACAAAAACCAAAATGTGAAGTAAAAAAAGAATGGGAGTGCCTAAATGAATACCTTAAAAGTCAAGGTTCGAGGACTGAAATCTGGCTGAGTCTGTGAAGTGAAAGGATAAGAAAGAGGGACTTATATTTAGATGTTAGGATAGAGATGATAAGGAAAACAGGAAGACACAATAAAGGAGGTGCTGAGGGATTGGTGGAAGTCAATGTTTGTTTTTCTTTTTAGTGTGTATATTATTAACTTGTAAGATATGGATTTTTTTGTATGTTTTTGAATGTTAGTTTTTGTGTTTTGTGTATTGTTATTTTTCGATATCTTTTGTGTTGTTGCTGGGTGGAAAAATACTAATAAAATTTATAAATTAAAAAAGAAAAGAAAAGCAGGTGCTCAGAAGTAAGGAATACATACTAAAATAACCATTCATTTATACACAAGAGAGCCATTTGTAAATGACAGCAAGTGAATTTTTAAGGCCACTGCTCCACCTATTCTTTTTGTTCACCAACATTCTGCTCCACTGTAAGGAACTGGTTAACTCTCATCGCTAACGTTCCTCTGTGTTATTTTTTCCTTCCAGTGCTCAGTACCTGTATGAGAGCAGCAAATCCCTTTTTCTAGAGTGCATCTCCCTCCCTAAATAATGGTTTCTCTATCACGCTCATTCAGCATCTATTTTAATTTGAGGTTTCGAATAAATTCCCCTCTGCATGCATATAGTCTTTCAATGTCAGGCTTTCGGAACATGTAGCCTCTCTCTCTTCCCCCGCTTCTGTGGCTCCTTTTAAAATGCAAAAACTAGACAAGTACACAATTAATCTGGCATCTGATCAGATGTTTGGAAGCTGTGGCTGGATGGTTACGTGGGAGCCGGTTGAAGTTAAATCCTTCGAAGACAGAGGTCCTTTGGCTGGGTCGGGACGATATGGGATTAGGGGGCAACTCCCATCTCTTAAAGGTAAAGGGACCCCTGACCGTTAGGTCCAATCGTGACCGACTCTGGGGTTGCGGCGCTCATCTTGCTTTACTGGCTGAGGGAGTCGGCGTACAGCTTCCGGGTCATGTGGCCGGCATGATTAAGCCACTTCTGGCGAACCAGAGCAGCGCACGGAAATGCCGTTTACCTTCCCGCTGGAGTGGTACCTATTTATCTACTTGCACTTTGACGTGCTTTCGAACTGCTAGGTTGGCAGGAGCAGGGACCGAGCAATGGGAGCTCACCCCATTGCGGAGATTTGAACCGCCGACCTTCTGATCAGCAAGTCCTAGGCTCTGTGGTTTAACCCACAGCGCCACCTGCGTCATCTCTTGCGGGGGCGCAATTAGTGCCAGCACCGTCCGTTAAGAGTTTGGGTGTAATCTTCGACACCTCCCTTTCCATGGAGGCGCAGACTGCGGCTACAACAAAGGTGGCATTTTTTCATCTCCGCCAAGCTAAGCAGTTGGCTCCTTACCTCTCTCGCCCTGACCTAGCCACTGTGATCCACACGAAGGTCACCTCCAGACTGGATTATTGTAACTCACTCTACGTGGGGCTGCCCTTGAGACTGACCCAGAAACTCCAGCAGGTGCAGAATGCCGCGGCGAGACTCCTTACGGGGTCCTCGCTGCGGGATCACATTCACCCAGTGCTATAACAGCTGCACTGGCTCCCGGTGGAGTACAGGATCAGGTTTAAGGTGCTGGTTTTAACCTTTAAAGCCCCATATGGCCTAGGACCCTCGTACCTACAGGACCGCCTCTCCTGTTATGTCCCATGGAGGACCTTACAGTCTGCAAACAAAAACATCTTGGAGGTCTCGGGCCACAGAGAGGTTAGGCTGGCCTCAACCAGAGCCAGGGCTTTTTTGGCTGTGGCTCCAATATGGTGGAACGCTCTGTCACAAGAGACTAGGGCCCTGCAGGACTTGACCTCTTTCCACAGGGCCTGCTAGACAGCTGTTCCACCAGGCCTGGTAATTTCTTCACAGAACTCTAGCCCAATGGTTGCCATCAACTGGATTTGAAATGATTTTATAATGAATTGATTTTAGAATGCTGTATTATTTTACTGTTGTTAGCTGCTCTGAGCCCGGCTTTGGCTGGGGAGGGCAGGATATAAATAAAATTTTATTATAATTTTTATTATTATTATTATCTAGTTTGGCTGCATTGCAATGTGCTGTGTGTGGTGGCAAAGTGAGGAACTGTGTGAGCGGTGCATCAATCTTTGCAGATGCTTGCATGTAAAACATACGTGAGTGCATATCTACCTAGGGTTGCCACATTTCAAAAAGTGAAAATCTGGACACAAACGTTTGCCCAGCTTTTGGGGGCAAAGTTTTTGAGCTTTGAAGTTTTTGAGCTACAGTGGTACGTCAGGTTAAGTACTGAATTCGTTCCGGAGGTCCGTTCTTAACCTGAAACTGTTCTAAACCTGAGGCACCACTTTAGCTAATGGGCCCTCCCACTGCTGCCGCACCGCTGGAACACAATTTCTGTTCTCATCCTGAAGCAAAGTTTTTAACCCGAGGTACTATTTCTGGGTTAGCGGAGTCTGTAACCTGAAGCGTATGTAACCCGAGGTACCACTGTATTTCTAAGGAAATTCTCCCTAATCTACACTGTCCTCATGGGCTGCCAATACGTCTGGATTTTCCCAGACATTCTAGCAATTTCCTCCTGGACGCCGTTTCCGATGACTGAATCCTGGCTATGAGCAGGAAATTCTGGCCGTATGGCAACCCTATCAGAATGTGAACAGGGAATGTACCATAGAGTAAAGGCATCTGTGGATTTTTTAGGGTCTTCACTTAGCATTTATCTAGGTGCTTAAAATGCTTGCTCAGTAGTCCTCGCAACAATACCTTGTAAGACAGGTGAAGCAGACAGAAACCTGTTTGGAATGGGAGACTTTCTAACTCACAGTTCATATTCTTTTCAAATGGAAAAAGTCTGAGCAGTCCAGTTCAAAACATTCTTGAAATTCCTCTGCCTGGTAAGGTAAATATAGGAATGGGAGAGCTTCATTAACAACGAACCCTGAACTTTGAGATCCCCTCCAAACCTTTTGTAGGGTTTTCAACTATGCAACACTACAAAAGGTTTAGAGGGCACCCCAGATTGTGATAATTCGTAGATCGTGGTGGCTCTAATATTTCCCTAGTCTACAGCCAAGTGCAAGCAAAGTTCAGTGCAAGTGCAGATTGACTTGAGCTTCTATATCAGGGAAGAAACTGTCACAGCCCCAAAATTATATTAGGAAAACTTTAGTTTTGTTGTAATAAAGGTAAAGGTAAAGGGACCCCTGACCATTTGGTCCAGTCGTGGCCGACTCTGGGGTTGTGGCGCTCATCTTGCTTTATTGGCCGAGGGAGCCGGCGTACAGCTTCCAGGTCATGTGGCCAGCATGACTAAGCCGCTTCTGGCAAACCAGAGCAGCGCTCAGAAACGCCATTTACCTTCCCGCTGGAGCGGTACCTATTTATCTACTTGCACTTTGACGTGCTTTTGAACTGCTAGGTGGGCAGGAGCAGGGACTGAGCAACGGGAGCTCACCCCGTCACGGGGATTCGAACTGCCGACCTTCTGATCGGCAAGTCCTAGGCTCTGTGGTTTAACCCACAGCGCCACCCGCGTCCCATTTTGTTGTAATATTATCAAAAAGAGGTTTTTTCCTCATACTGCACTGCCTTTCTCTTAGAAAGTCAGTTTTCCTTTCTCTCTCTTCTAATTCTGAAAACTGAAAGGCCACTATTTTGGTCCAACTCTGCTCCTATCGATTCAGAAGTAGTTCTCAGTGAAATTAATTGGATTGACTTCCATAGTGTGCGTAGGATTCCAATATTCTTAGGGCTCTTCTTATATGTGTGACTAGCCATAACTGCTATTCATTTTGCAGTGAGCGTTGGAGTGGCGTTGGAGTACCAGCATTAGTGCACTGCATTAGAGTTGGTGTGGGATGTGCATTAGGTAAATGACTTAAATCATGTATGAGGCAGCTTAAACGATCAAATGCAAGTTCTGTTTGGCGGGTGCTTGAAAGTTTCTTCATGCCATTATTCTAAACGGTGAATATTAGAATCATGGAATCGTAGAATTGGAAGGGATCTTGAGGACGATCTAGTCCAGCCCCCCACAGTTATAAATCTCAAGTGATAGAGGGAATATGCACTATGTGCTCCATTCTTCAATACCACTGGCATTCACTGTTTTTTTAAAATATATCTTTATTAATTTAAAATAAATACATTTATGAAAAACAGACGTACATGCAAGTAAACAAACAAACAAACAAACAAACAAACAAACAGAAAAATCAAACAACCCACCACACTATAAGATATAAGAAGATTAATATAATTATCATCATATATACTCCTGGTATTGAACACAATTATAAAATTTATAGAAAAGAAATTTTAAACTGACTTCCAATTAATCTCACTGTTCTTTGTCTATCCATTACATTATACTGCACAGTTACATATTTCTTATATAATTTCTTTTTACCTCCCTACAAGCTTATATTTATTTATACAATACAGGGATCAGTCTAATTCTGCCAGGATGTTTCCTATTATTCCATAGTTTTCTAAATATTCTTTATGCCGAGGTAACCGACATTTGTGTGCAGACAGTTTTTCCGGGTTACGTGGCCAGCATGACTAAGCGGCTTCTGGCGAACCAGAGCAGCGCACGGAAACGCCTTTTACCTTTCCGCCGGAGCAGTACCTATTTATCTACTTGCACTTTGACGTGCTTTCAAACTGCTAGGTTGGCAGGAGCAGGGACCAAACAATGGGAGCTCACCCCATCGCAGGGATTCGAACTGCCAACCTTCCGATTGGCAAGTCCAAGCGACACAGAGATTTAAAGCACAGCACCACCCGTGTCCCCAAAGTGGCTTACAAAGGATGAAACAGTAAAATCAAGAGAGAGAAAACACAACCCTAGTTTAAACATACAAAAGTTAAAATACGAAAACAGATCAAAATTATCTCAACTTTATATATAAATTTGTATTTGAAAATGAATAAAAATATTACAGAATGGCAAAAAAAAACAAACTCAACTTTCTAAGGGTAGGCTTGTCTAAACAATTGTGTTTTTAGCAGGCAGCGATAAAGCATGTTTGCTACTGTTATGCAGGGCTATTTTTCTAGAAAAAGAAGTTCTGGGACTCACCCTTGTTCTCTTAGAATGGCAATGGTGCCCAACTGGGAGATGCCGGAATTGAGTTCCAGCTGGAAAAAAAACCCTTGGGTATGTGTATCCTAAAGATGTGGCGGTAAAGCAGCAGTGATTGACCTTTTGGGTGCAGCTGTGTAATGTCCAGAACAGCTCTAATTCATTTGAAAAAAAAATCCCAAATTTATTTGGTGATTCAAATTGCACCCCTCCAATACTTAAAAACAACCCCTAATTTTGCTTCGACGTCAGTTGGGTCTGAAACATCAGTGACTAACTAGAAAAGAGTCATTGGGCTTGTTGGTAGATGAAAAACAACATGTGCAGCAGCTATGAAAATGTCAAAGAGCTTGCTACGGATTACGATGCCTGGAATTTCCTGTAACACCCTTATAAAACTCTCTGCCTTGGCCACATTTTAGAGTACTGTTCATGCTTCTGGTTTCTCCATCTCAAAACAGATGCATATCATAGATATTGAATATGTCGATGGAACCAGTGCCCAAAAGGCAACACCGCATGCCATGTACCTTCCCACAGTGCCTACAGCTGCAGGGACTCACCTGTCTTGCTCCTAGCCAATTTGCATGCGAAAGTAATTGCATCAGTTCCTATCTGAGTAGGTGAACTGTGACACAACTTCCAGTAACTTTGAGTAACCACCAGTCGCTAAATACCCTTAAGCAAGAACCTCCAGTTATCAAGCTACAGATATCTAGAGGCAGTGAGGCATTTAACTCAACCCAAAAGCATGCTTTCAATAATATTTTTCATCTGCGGTGATTGAAAGACCAGTGAGTGGGTGGGTAGGCAGGTGAGGCAGGGGCCCTGAGTGGGATGCACGGAATAACTGTTACTGCTGTTACAGTGGTAGCTCTGCTTACGAACTTAATTGCTAGGTTGGCAAGAGCAGGGACCGAGCAACGGGAGCTCACCCCGTTGTGGGGATTCGAACCGCCGACCTTCTGATCGGCAAGTCCTAGGCTCTGTGGTTTTTAACCCACAGCGCCACCCGCGTCCCAGCTAAAGTGATACCCCAGGTTAAAAGCAGTTTCAGATTAAGAACAGACCTCCAGAATGAATTAAGTTCTTAACCCGAGGTACCACTGCAATATTAGAAATCTATTAAGTGCATACCCTCCAAGATTTCTCTGATGAAAATAGGAACATCCTATTCCATAATAATAATTTAATTATTTGTACCCTGCCCATCTAACTTGGTTTCCTCAACCACTCTGGACAGCTTCCAAAGACAAAACAAAACAAAACAAAACAAAACAAAACAAACATTAAAAAAAACTTTCCTATACAGGACTGCCTTCAGATGTCTTCTAAAGGTTGTATTGTTACTTATCTCCTTGGTTCAGGAGTCATGTAACTCAATACCCTCCTCTGATGACAATATGAACATCCTAAAGAAAAGCGGGAGATTCCAGGAGCAAATCAGAAACTGGGATGGCGTCTGTAAATTCAGGACTGTCACTGGAAAATAGGGACACCTGGAGGTGTGTAAGTGGTGTTCAGAAAACACTATAAAAGAAATATCAATATAGGGAAGCTTTTAATGTTTGACGGACTACAGTGGTACCTCTGGATATGAACAGGATCTGTTCTGGAGCCCCGTTCGCATTCGGAAGCGAACGCAACCCGCGTCTGTGCATGCGCAGGTCGTGATTCGCTGCTGCCGTGCATGCATGTGACGTCATTTTGACCATCTGCGCATGCACAAGCGGCGAAAACCGGAAGTAACAGAACATGTTACTTCCGGGTCACCGCAGAGCGCAACCCGAAAGCGCTCAACCTGAAGCAACTTCAACCCGAGGTATTGTATTGTATTTGTGTGCTCTGTTGGAAGCCTCCCAGGGCGGCTGGGGAGGCCCAGCCAGATGGGCGGGGTATAAATAATAAATTGTTATTGTTATTATTGTTATATCAATATGCAGGTAAAATTCAGCCAAATTTAAAAACAGATATGCATAATTGTGTTATACGTCTGGACTAGGCCTCACTTCACCAGATGAATGAAATACATATAGCATACAGAATGAGAGAGAAAAATTATTGCAAACAGTATCATAGAATCATAGAATCATAGAGTTGGAGGAGACCACAAGGGCCATTGAGTCCAACCCCCTGCCAAGCAGGAAACACCATCAGAGCACTCCTGACATATGGTTGTCAAGCCTCTGCTTAAAGACCTCCAAAGAAGGAGACTCCACCACACTCCTTGGCAGCAAATTCCACTGTCGAACAGCTCTTACTGTCAGGAAGTTCTTCCTAATGTTTAGGTGGAATCTTCTTTCTTGTAGTTTGGATCCATTGCTCCGTGTCCGCTTCTCTGGAGCAGCAGAAAACAACCTTTCTCCCTCCTCTAGGTGACATCCTTTTATATATTTGAACATGGCTATCATATCACCCCTTAACCTCCTCTTCTCCAGGCTAAACATGCCCAGCTCCCTTAGCTGTTCCTCATAAGGCATCGTTTCCAGGCCTTTGACCATTTTGGTTGCCCTCCTCTGGACAACGTTCCAGTTTGTCAGTGTCCTTCTTGAACTGTGGTGCCCAGAACTGGACACAGTACTCCAGGTGAGGTCTGACCAGAGCAGAATACAGTGGCACTATTACTTCCCTTGATCCAGATGCTATACTCCTATTGATGCAGCCCAGAATTGCATTGGCTTTTTTAGCTGCCGCGTCACACTGTTGGCTCATGTCAAGTTTGTGGTCAACCAAGACTCCTAGATCCTTTTCACATGTACTGCTCTCAAGCCAGGTGTCACCCATCTTGTATTTGTGCCTCTCATTTTTTTTGCCCAAGTGCAATAAGAGTAGGTCCCCCAAACTCTGGAATGCAAGGGTCGATGATTAACTTATTGTTATCTCACATCCATCACATTCCTAACCCTTTTGCTTCCCCTTTGAAGTTTATGTCCCTTCAGTTCAACCTTTACCCATTAGAGAAATACTGGACTGCCCTTTCTCACAAAGTAATTTTGGTGATACCTGCCGTACCAACGTTTTTCTCTCTCCCCCTTTCATCTCTGCTCAGCTATGCGTGTGATGTTTTATTGCATAAAATTAGAGAGCAGTAGTCAAGACTGCATAGATCAGTGTAAAGGGGGCATCCGTCAGCGTAGGTGTTATAGAGACGCACGTACAGTGGTACCTCAGGTTACATACGCTTAGGTTACAGACTCCGCTAATCCAGAAATAGTGCTTCAGGTTAAGAACTTTGCTTCAGGATGAGAACAGAAATAGTGCTCCGGCGGCACGGCAGCAGTGGGATGCCCCATTAGCTGAAGTGGTGCTTCAGGTTAAGAACAGTTTCAGGTTAAGTACGGACCTCCGGAACAAATTTAGTACTTAACCCGAGGTACCACTGTACATCTTTCATGAATTACCTAATCGCATGGAAAGGGAACCCTTCCCTGCCCGCCCTCACCCAGTGGAAGTCGTGCCCAACAGTTCCGCATTAACAGACAATTGCCCTGAGATGCCTCACCTGACATCTTCCTGACTTTCCTCACTCTCTGCTTTGGGCAAGGAGAAAGTCAGTGCAGCCACCACCATTGGTTTGCCCCCGGAGTGCTTGCTGTGGCTTGCTGTTTCTTGCCAGAGAGCGAGAACAATAGGTGCACTATTTACACTCGAACGGCAGGATCTAAATGCTCCAGTGAGGGAAAAAATAAACAAGGAAATCCTTGTTCCAGTCCTCAAATCTGCCACATGCTGCAAATGTTTCCACAGAGCAAGTCCCAACAGGAATATAGGAAGCTGCCATATCTGATTCAGGACTGAGTCAAGCTCAGTATTTGTCAACAGTGAATGGCTCCCCCCTTCAGAAATAAAGACACATGACAACAGTATTTAGGTTAATGGGCAAAACATGACCACAACTTTATTGGTTACAGGTAATGAGCGGTATTGGGACGCGGGTGGCGCTGTGGGTTAAACCACAGAGCCTAGGACTTGCCGATCAGAAGGTCGGCGGTTTGAATCCCCGCGACGGGGTGAGCTCCCGTTGCTCGGTCCCTGCTCCTGCCAACCCAGCAGTTCAAAAATATGTCAAAGTGCAAGTAGATAAATAGGTACCGCTCTGGCGGGAAGGTAAACGGCGTTTCCGTGTGCTGCTCTGGTTCACCAGAAGCGACTTAGTCCTGCTGGCCACATGACCCGGAAGCTGTACGCCAGCTCCCCCGGCCAATAAAGCAAGATGAGCACCACAACCCCAGAGTCGGCCACGACTGGACCTAATGGTCAGGGGTCCCTTTACCTTTTTATGTATAAGACACCCACTATTTTGGGGGACTCCAAATTAAGAAAACACCTCCTCAGCACTACCAGTGTATAAGACAAAGCCCAATTTTAAACCTAATTTTTTGGTTAAAAAACCTAGTCTTATACACGGAAAAATACAGTATTTGCTGGAAGCAGTTCCTAGCTTAGAGCCTCGGACAACCTGTATTGATTCTAGAACCTGATTCAAGTGAGTGTTTGAAAACATCCTTTGAGAACACTGTATTGACCAGTTCATTCTGCATTTAGCTCTGTCATACTTTCAGACATAGTCATGTCTGTTTAGGTGAACGAATATGCCCGCCCCCAAAAAGGGATATATACAAGGTCCTGTGGATGACAAATCTACCAATGAGTTATTGTTATGTACTGAGTTGAATAGGATCCAAAATGCAGCAGTCTGATTGGTCCTAGAAAAATACGATTCAGAATGCAGCAGTCTGATTGGTCCACAGGAGCCACCCAATCCAGCTCCAGGTGGAAGTGAATCCGCAACCTGATTGGCCTACAGGAGAATCCCCGAATTAGCCAATCAAGTGGGGCCCATTGTGTAAATAATGTATATAAAGCAGACATTCTGGGGGAACTTCCATTCCTCCTCACCACTATGAGCTGAATAAAGAGCATGAAATCCACTCTCGACTCCGACTATATTTCAGTTATCCATGCCTTTCCCTCCCTGCACATGCCTTGGGTGAACAACCACATGAGAAATATGTAAAATAACCAAGCAAGGATTAGAAATCACCCCAGAACTGGCCTTACTAAATATCTTCCAGGACAATAATGCCCACTCATATCACAAAGAACTCATAACCCACCTATTCTCAGCAGCCAGAAACACCATAACCAGACACTGGAGAGACCTGTCAGGAGTAAGCATGGACCAATGGTACCAAATCGTATGGGAAACAGCCTTACTAGAAAAATTAACCAATAAACTGAAACTGACAAGGGGACAAATAGAAGAAGATGCCTTCACACCGGTATGGCTCCCCTTTATCACATAACACAGCCCAACAAGACAACGACAAGAATCCACCAAGAGCATCCGAATCAATATGGCTAACCTGATCCAAAACACCCGACCACCCCACTCACACATGAAAACAAAGTTCAACACAGCCAATCACAAACAAACCACACCCTAGACCATTGATGGCCAAACTTGGCCCTCCAGCTGTTTTGGGACTACAACTCCCATCATTCCTAGCTAACAGGACCAGTGGTCAAGGATGGTGGGAACTGTCCTAGGCCAACCCCAACCTCTCTCAACACCAAAGGAAAACAAGCGAATAGTAAAGAGAACCCGCACAAGTGACACTGACACAAAACCCCACACATACATCAAGTGGAATAGAAACACCGCCACCCGACCCCACCCCCACTCACCCCCTCCACCTTTCCCCCCCTTTTCTTCCTAATGTAACACTAATGTCTCAACCAATGAAACTGATCTGTAGAAAATGTAACTTGAAAAAAGAGGCATTGCACATACTTTTGTGAACCAAGAAATCTTTAATAAAAATACATTTGAAAAAGAAGGAAGTGGTCATCTGTAATTATATAGGGACTATGTATATTGTCGTCAGATTCTGTTTGATAATACTCTATTGTGCATAATTTTGTATAACATCTTTTAATATACATACTGTATTTTTCGCTCTATATGACGCACTTTTCCCTCTCCAAAAATTGAGGGGAAATGTGTGTGTGTGTTATGGAGCAATTGCAGGCTCCATGGCTTCAGGGATAGCCGCCCGAAGCCTCCGGAGCACAGCGGGAACTCCCGCTGCGCTCCGGAGGCTTTGCGTTGCTTTCGCTGAAGCCAGGAGAGCAAGAGGGATTGGTGTGCACCGATCCCTCTTGCTCTCCTGGCTTCGCTTCGCTGGAGAGGCGCTGCGCAGCTTTCCCTCCCTGCGCAGCGCCTTCAGCGAGGCGGGAGGAGAACTGGAAGGGGCTCAGTTTCTCCTCCCGCTCGCTGAAGGGCGCTGCGCAGAGAGGGAGAGATTTCCCCCCCCGTGTTCTCCCCCTCTAAAACTAGGTGCGTCTTATGGTCGGGTGCGTCCTAGAGAGCGAAAAATACGGTATATATATTATTATTGCTATTTTTAAAAAGAAAAAAAGTAGGAAATTGTGGTTGTGACCTTGGTATACAGCCACCCACAACTGAACCCACAGACCCATTTGCAGGACTTCCTACATCTGTTTTCATCTGTTTTCAAATGGACATACTGCAGGGTGATGCAGAATTAATCCGCAATGAGCTTTCCCCTGCCCCCTAGAATGAAACCAGTTTCTTGAGAAGTGTTTTTTCAGGGGCAATATATATATATATATATAAAAATAAAAAATGCAGTAAATCTAGATTGCACGCAGACCACATAGAAAAACACACACCTCTCCATTGATTCCAGACTAAAAAGGTGTGTTTTTTGTACATAGCCTCAGACAAATGTGCACATTAACGTCTGAAGAAACTTTCAACGGGAGTTCTGCTATCAGAACAATATTCACTAGATATATTTTGAAGGCAATTATGCAGTAAGAAAGGGGCATTGTTCCCAGTGTGGAAGAAAACAAATTTTCATAGCAAAGTGGCTTCCCACCTTTTTAAACACTATTCACTCTAATGTGTTGATGTTGCAAGCATAATTTAAACCCTGGGAGACTAATGAAGTTTAGCAGTATGCGTTAATTATTTTTTGTTGTCTTGGTTAACGCACGGTCCTAAATCCTATTTACAGCCTGAAACTTCAGAGGGTCCAAACCTCTCATGCAACTTTAACATCTTTCGGCTTCACGGGGCTTTCGCAAAGCCTTGGAACGTTTATTTAAACCCCCCCCCCCGTGGCGTCCGGTTTTTTTAGATCCAATGTGCAAAGATTCTAAACTGAAGAAATTGCACGTAGCTGATTTTTTAAACTTTTAAATAACATGACCAACCTTTGGAAAGGCACTGACGGATACATTAGATTTTTATGGGCAGTTCAGTAATTGCATCTGTGTCACACTGTCTCAGTTGGCACAAGAGTTGAAAACTTGCTGCATGCTCCCTTCCTCTCTTTCCCTGAAATGAGATTTGCAGGAGTTCAGGGCTGCTTTGTTATAGCACCCAGCCTTTAGAATTCCCTGCTCAGGGCAGCATGCCTGGCTAGCTCACGGCTGACCATTACGAGAATGGCAGGACTCTGAATTTAAGAAAGCTTAGCCATGCAGCTAAGGGACGTGGGTGGCGCTGTGGGTTAAACCACTGAGCCTAGGACTTGCCAATCAGAAGGTCGGCGGTTCGAATCCCCACAACAGGGTGAGCTCCCATTGCTCGGTCCCTGCTCCTGCCAACCTAGCAGTTCGAAAGCACGTCAAAGTGCAAGTAGATAAATAGGTACCACTCCAGCAGGAAGGTAAATGGCGTTCCCGTGCACTGTTCTGGTTCGCCAGAAGCGGCTTAGTCATGCTGGCCACATGACCCGGAAGCTGTACGCTGACTCCCTCGGCCAATAAAGCGAGATGAGTGCCGCAACTCCAGAGTCGGCCACGACTGGACCTAATGGTCAGGGGCCCCTTTACCTTATCCATGCAGCTGATTTTTAAAAAATTTTTTTTATTGATTTTAACATATAAATTATAAAATGTACCACAAAACTTATCACTTATACAATCTTTTTAGACTTCCATCAGCACCTCTGATGATCCACTGTTTTAACCACTTCTTATGCATTTCTTAACTTTATATTGCCTTTACATCTCTTAACAAGTCATCCTTCACCTTCTCCATTTTTGCAATACTTTCAATAATACTCCTCACAAAACTTCTTGCAAACCTACAAACGTCATCTGATCTTCACAAATACTTTTCAAGTAGTCCGTAAATTTACTCCAGTCTTCCGTGAATTTCTGGTCCCGTCGGTTTTGAATCCTTCCTGTTAGTTTATCTAGTTCTGCATAGTCCATTAACTTCATCCTCCATTCTTCGATCGTCAGTAACTCTTCTTGCTTCCATTTTTGGGCCAATAATATTCTTGCTGCTGTTATTGCATATAAAAAGAGCTTATATGTTCCTTTCTATTTATATCACTCCCAACAATGCTCAATAAGAATGCTTCTGGTTTCTTTATAAATGTATATTTCAACATTTTTTTCATCTCATTATATAACATCTCCCAGAAGCATTTCACCTTTTTACATTCCCACCACATGTGATAAAATGTTCCCTCTTTTTCTTTACATTTCCAACATTTATTGCTGACTTTATACATTTTCGCTAACTTAACAGGTGTAATATACCATCTATACATCATTTTCATCACAACAGCTGAT